AACCTCCAGAATCGAAAGAAAATGGCATTTTGGAAAAATTGCCTGAAATCAGTGATGGTACCCCTTTGGAATCTGCCAAAAATGGGCCCGGAATAAATTCGCCCAAATCGGCACTTAATGGACTTAATCATCGTTGAAGAATAGCCTCAGGCCGAATTCGTGATCTTTAGCCTTCAAAATCCAAAGAAAATGGCCTTTCGTCCGAAAAAAATTACGAAAATGTCATCCGAAAATAAATTGGCCCAAATAGGTGCTTAATGGACTTATCATCTGTGGAGAATAGTATCGATAGACTTCATTAACGATGGATATAGGCTCGTTCTGATTCCGTGATCTGCAGCCTCCAGAATCGAAGGAAAATGGCATTTCGGAAAAATTGCCCAAAATCTGTGATGGTACCCCCTTTGGAATCTGCCAAAAATGGGCCCGGAATAAATTTGCCCAAATCGGCACTTAATGGACTTAATCATCGTTGAAGAATAGCCTCAGGCAGAATTCGTGATCTGTAGCCTTCAAAATCCAAGGAAAACTGTCTTTCGATCTAAAAAATTACGAAAATGTCATCCGAAAATAAATTGGCCCAAATCGGTGCTTAATGGACTTATCATCCGTGGAGAATAGTATCAATTTACTTAATTATCGGTGGATATAGGCTCGGCCAGATTCCGTGATCTGCAGCCTCCAGAATCGAAAGAAAATGGCATTTCGGAAAAATTGCCCAAAATCTGTGATGGTACCCTTTTGGAATCTGCCAAAAATGGGCCCAGAATAAATTCGCCCAAATCGGCACTTAATGGACTTAATCATCGTTGAAGAATAGCCTCAGGCCGAATCCGTGATCTGTAGCCTTCAAAATCCAAAGAAAATGGCCTTTCGTCGACAAAAAAATTACGAAAATCCCATCCGAAAATAAATTGGCCCAAATCGGTGCTTAATGGACTAATCATCTGTGGAGAATAGTATCAATAGACTTCATTATCGGTGGATATAGGCTCGGCCTGATTCCGTGATCTGCAGCCTCCAGAATTGAAAGAAAATGGCATTTCGGAAAAATTGCCTGAAATATGTGATGGTACCCCTTTGGAATCTGCCAAAAATGGGCCCGGAATAAATTCGCCCAAATCGGTATTTAATGGACTTAATCATCGTTGAAGAATAGCCTCGGGCCGAATCCGTGATCTGTAGCCTTCAAAATCCAAAGAAAATGACCTTTCGTCGCCACAAAAATTATGAAAATGCCATCCAAAAATAAATTGACCCAAATCGGTGCTTAATGGACTTATCATCTGTGGAGAATAGTATCAATAGACTTCATTATCGGTGGATATAGGCTCGGCCTGATTCCGTGATCTGCAGCCTCCAGAATCGAAAGAAAATGGCATTTCGGTTAAATTGCCTGAACTCTGCGATGGTACCCTTTTGGAATCTGCCAAAAATGGGTCCGGAATAAATTCTCCCAAAATTTAAGTATGGAATCTCGGGAATGGGGCCGATCGGCCAAGATGTCTAGCTGATGTGGTGTCAAGTTGATGAGGACATGGTGTAGAGCCCGGCCTTTAGGAGACCATATGGAGACTAAGTCCAAAGTAGTCCCCCTAACAGGGTACCAAGCCGGCAGGGCGGCAATGTTCAACTTGATGAGATTCTGAAAGCTAAGTATGCAGACTAGGCCACCAGAGCTAGCTTGATAGCACGGGCCGACATGACTACCTTGGTAGCAGGGGTTATCAAGCCGGCAAGTCAACTAAGTGATAAACCGACAAGATGAAATCAAGCCTCCAACACTAAGTAAGGAGTCTTGGTGGATAAAGGGGCTAAGTTCTCATCCCATCAAGATGAGTAACAAGTCCTAGCTAACGAGACGATGATATCAAGCCGAAGAGACGAGCTAGGTAACGAGACTAAGTAGACATAAAATGAGCTAGGTATGGAATCATCAGAACTATCAGGGTTATCAATAAAGCCCGATAGAGGCCCAATTTGATAGACACAAAATGAGGACACTTCAACCCCATCTGGTCAGGACGAGGCGAAAGACCATCAAATACCAACCAATCACCAAGACGGGACACATTACTTATATTCCAACAACATCAAGTTATTAGAATTAGTTTAATAATGACTCTCAGCAAAGATGAGTGGGGTGGCGAAGGGTTACAAGAGGAGCCTATAATACTATGCACAGAAAGATAAACCCGAGAAGTGGGTCGGCAGTAGTGGTGCGACTGGTGGTAGTGGTGGTGACAACAATCCACAACAGACGACACACAGATCAAAAGTTCACGAGATGGTGTTCATGAAATACGTACTGTACAACGAAAGAAAGAAACAAAGCACTATATATATAGTTATTATTTTAGGATATAAAATTCCCTGACTTCACGAAAGCTTGTGAGCGGCGGTGAGGAAGGAGGAGATCATGGAACCCACTCACTCACCGTTGTTAGTACTCTGCTTTTGCCCTCACGTGTATATAAGAGGCCAAAACGAACGAGCCAACGGCACAAGACTTGGGGTTCCATTCCCGCACTCAACAACAAAACACTAACTCACGAGCCTTTCTTTCCCATTCCACTTTGTCTCCTTCTTTCTTTCTTTCCATCTTTCTTTAACTCCCACCATTATCGACCCTTCGATGGGGTTGCCTTGCCTGGCTAGTGGCTAGGATCAATTTCAAGATGTACCTAACCGGCCAATGATATCTCATTTGTAGTGATAAATCCGAGGCTATTGCATATTTTGAGTAAAAAGACGTTATCAAGATCTTGAAATCTCTCCTTGAATTGATTGGATTTTGTGACATTATACCACTAAACTGTTAATGAGTGATTTTTATATTCCGATTATCTAACTCAAACATTAAATTGTGCATATATTTTTGGACAAACCATAATTATCAATTATAATTTCTCATTAGATTAATCTTACTGTATATAACTTAGAGAATTAAAATCCAAATTTTAATCTTTAAGGGTTATAGCAGGATATGATGCCACAAAGTTAGGTCAGTTCAAGTTCTAGATAATGTTTTTTTTTTACCCAAAGCATGCGATACCCTCAAATTTATCTGTGTCGTGACTTTCTCTGCGGATCGGAAATTAGGAGGAACGATAAAAGCAAGAAATAACGAAAGTAAGAACGAACACGACACACAGATTTACGTGGTTCACTGACACGATGTGTGTTAAACTAGTCCATGGGCAGGAGAGAGTCAATTTCACTATACTTCATTGAGATACAGACTGCAGAGTGTTAGTGTTGTGGTATATGATCCACGATTGACACTCTCCCAACAACTCGAGTTATTGGGATCAACTGGTTCTTGACATGGTATCAGAGCCTTCTGTGACCGAGAGGTCTTGTGTTCGATTCCCGGTGACCCCCATTTGTTAAGCACATGGTATTCTTGTCTTCAGACCTGTGCAAACTTCAAGCCCTTGTGAGTGGCTTTCGTTTGAGGGGGCGTGTTAGTGTTGTGGTATATGATCCACGATTGAACCTCTCCCAACAACTCGAGTTATTGGGATCAACTGGTTCTTGACACAGAGGAGTATGAGAAGTATTTATTGTACTTCTCCATGTGGTCTAACCCTAATCCAATATGGTAAAGAAAACGGTTACAAACCAGGCCCAAAACAGAAACCCAAATAACATCGAGCCCATACATCGTGGAAGCATCGCTCCCCCGAACCTCCTGACCTGGGCATTGCCCCTGGAGTCCACTCGTTGAAGTGACATCCAGTCGTAGTCAGATAATCCGATTCAAATCACATCAACAATCTATACTATATTAGAATCATCTATATATACATCCATTCGTTTTATGATTACTCCATTGGGTGGGCGGTACAAAAATTCCTGTGGGTGCACGGAAACCATATCTATCATCATCACATAATAGATAGACAAGAGTTGTGTAGAAGAAAAATGGCCATGCTTGTTAGGAGGAATAAGTGGAAACTGAAATGATGAGTCGCGTCGCGTGCAATTGTTTATTGCCTTACTTTGGGTGGCTATGGTTTGATGATGTATTCGGTGCGGCTATTAACCCGTGAATATGAATATTTTCCATAGTTGTACGAATATTTTCCATAGTTGATAGGTTGAAGTTAGAGGGGATGTAGTGGTCTCTATTTTGAAATATTGATAAAATTTAAGAATTAGAATAGTCGGTAAGGGTTTAGGTCCTCCTTCCGACCTTCCCCTAATTATGGTAGTTCAAATCAGCCTCAATCGTGGGTACCTGATAGCTCTTGACCCAGTCAACGCGGGAAATTCTAATATTGATTGGGTATAGGGTGGGTACGGATAAAATCCACAATTTTTTTATAAAATGAGGCGGGTTTTGTTTCTGCCTCCCCCCCGTTACATACATATACTCATACCTGTCCTATCAAGATTATTTTTTTATACATTAAACATATAGGGATCATATTGTAGCCTTTCAATGGTGAGAATGGTAATTAAAAAAAAAAGAGTTGAAATGTAATTGAGTAGCCACCCAAACTAAACATTCATTTCTTTTTCTTAATTCATCCTTCGCCCTTTCACTTCTTTCATTTTTGTTAACAATATTATTTTAGCTATCAATTGCTTATTACATGTGTCTGAGTCAGAATGATTTTATATTTTGTTGATTTTATGATTTATTAGGTCCATTAAGTGTTATAGTTGAAGATATACATGTGTTGATTCTAGGTAAAGTAATAACACAGGGCGGGAATTCTCTCTGACTACTCGAAAACTGCGAATATGGGGATGGATATAAATTTTTTATATTTGAAAATGAGTAGAGAATGATTGAGGATAATCCACCTAAAACCACTCTCATTGCCGTGCAAGCACGCAATATTGGCTATCAACATTCCTTTGAACTGTTTTTCTTGTTTTGTTTTTTGTGAGCAAAGTGTAGGATTTCCCCAAATTTGATCAAATACGATACTGAGTCGATGATATCAATTTCTTATGTATGTATGCAACGAAGCAAAGAAATGTCATTCCCGGGCTGTTGCTTTTACTTGTGAAGTTCTACCACAACAACAAAAATGGCTGATGAGATTACCAAAAAATAAAGACCAAAATGTATTTGTATCTTCCCACTTGCAAGTTGCAACCCTATTTGTCCATCCTTCTTTCCTTCCCACTCCTCTATAAATAACAAAAAACCGTTTCCTTCCACATCTGCACTTTAACTAATACAGAAACACTAACAAGCATAATCCCAAACCATGGATTCACTTCCCATCAAATTTCAAGTAATTTGCTCTGTTTCTACTCTGTTTTTTTTCTACTCTGTTTTTCATTTTCCCCAGGAACCAAACAGAGTGACCAGTTAATCAATGGGTACTGAACCCTTTTTTTTTCCCTTCCTTAATTGCCTTCAGGTGAAGAAGAATGGAGTATGGATGCTGCTACTACTGGCGGCTTTAATGGCGGCGTCAACGGAGAGCAGAAAAGCAAAGGTTGTCGATTCCTTCGAGTACATTGCGATGAACTGCAGAGCCCACAGCGCTTCCATAACAGAGTTCGGAGCAGTTGGGGACGGCAAAACTTCCAACACCAAGGCGTTCAAGGACGCCGTGGATCACCTCGGTCAATTCTCGTCGGACGGCGGGTCGCAGCTCTACGTCCCCGCCGGGAAATGGCTCACCGGCAGCTTCAGCGTCGTCAGCCACTTCACTCTGTTTCTCCATCAGGACGCCGTTCTTCTTGCCTCCCAGGTAAAGCAAACGTAACGTAAAAAACCCACCAAACTAAAAGTAAAAAAAAAAAAGTAACGGGAACGCTTTATTGATTTTCGTGAGATTGTGCACCGCCGCAGGATATTAATGAATGGCCGGTGCTGAAAGCTCTGCCGTCGTACGGCAGAGGAAGGGATGCCGCCGGCGGGAGGTTTGCGAGCCTGATATTTGGGACCAACCTCACGGACGTCATTATTACCGGGGAGAATGGAACGGTCGACGGGCAGGGAGCATTCTGGTGGCAGCAATTCCACAAGGGCAAGCTCAAGTACACCCGCCCGTACCTGATCGAGCTGATGTTCTCCGACGGCATCCAGATCTCCAATCTCACGCTCCTCAACTCGCCTTCGTGGAACGTCCATCCGGTTTACAGCAGGTGGTTACACAACCCAAAAATGCTTTTAGAAATTTTATCGTACCGGCCGGTCCAACGAGAAATACGAAATATTGGACTCTGAATGTGAGTGGTAGATGGTTTAGCGGCTACAAAATGGTTGAATAAGAATTTAATCGCAATTTTATTATAATTATGATATGTTTTACATCATTTATTGATTTTGTTTTATTTTATTTTATGGCAGCAATATCCTGGTGAAAGGTATAACAATCTTAGCTCCGGTGACCTCACCAAACACTGATGGCATCAACCCAGGTATTACATTGTTCATGTTTTTTCCATTTTTGCCCCTCAACTTACGAACTGAATTTCCTACCAATTAGGGTTTTTATTTCTTAATCAAAGAGGAACAAGGAATCATCCGTGATTAAGTGTAGACTATGAGATTTGGATCAAAGGAAGCCAAATTAAGTTTAGGTGAACCAGCTTTGTGGAAAAAAAATGATTCTGCTATGCCTACTTTGATTGAGAATACACACAAATTAAATTAGGTAGGAAATAGCAGGAGCACATTTTGCAAGTAGAACCCTTTCCCCCCTTTTTTTAGGCCTGCAAACTGTGGGCTAATAGGTCCTAACAAACAGAATGTGGGCCTTGGCCCATTCCGAGATCGCCGGCGGCGGTTACTTAATTTTGCTAAGGCTGCGAATATTCTTGTTTCCCCAGACTCTTGCACGAACACCAGAATCGAGGACTGCTACATCGTCTCCGGCGACGACTGCGTGGCCGTGAAGAGCGGATGGGACGAATACGGCATCGCATTCGGGATGCCCACGAAGCAGCTCGTCATCAGGCGCCTCACCTGTATTTCGCCGTACAGCGCCACCATCGCCCTCGGCAGCGAGATGTCCGGCGGGATCCAGGACGTCAGGGCGGAGGACATCACCGCCGTCCACACCGAGTCCGGCGTCAGGATCAAGACCGCCGTCGGCCGGGGAGGCTTCGTGAAGGACATCTACGTGAGGAGGATGACGATGCACACCATGAAGTGGGCGTTCTGGATGACCGGAAACTACGGGTCCCACGCCGACAAGAACTACGACCCCAACGCCCTCCCCGTCATCCAGAACATCAATTACAGGGACATGGCCGCCGACAACGTCTCCATGGCGGCCCGGCTGGAAGGAATCGCCGGCGACCCGTTTACCCAGATCTGCATCTCCAACGTCACCATCGGGATGGCGGCCAAGGCGAAGAAGGTGCCCTGGACTTGTTCCGATGTGGGCGGGATCACGGCCGGGGTGAGCCCCCGGCCGTGTGATCTGTTGCCGGAGCAAGGACCGGGGAAAATGGAGGAGGGCTGTAATTTCCCCACCGAGACTTTGCCGATTGATTCAGTGGAGCTCAAGACGTGCTCTTATAAGATTAATTACTAAAGTGGATAAGCATAGTTTTGTTCCAAGTATCTCCCTGTATCGAAGCTGTAGCTTAATCTGCACTCTGCTGTTTGTATTAAGAGTAGCAGATATACTTAAACAGAAAAAGGGAGAGAAATGAAAGTCCTGAGAATATCATCTCCATTATTGCAACAATACACAAAACCCCGCCACTCGTTCTGAGACAGTTCGTTGCAGGTTACTAGCTGTCTACTTCGCATGGAACATGTTCTACATCAGAAGCATAAACAATCTTCTAACAGCAAAGGGAGCTTTGGCTTTCTACGAAACTAATGCCTGCAGATACATCCTCCGTTGCACCGCGCGCGCAATGTCAGTTTATACACACCAATGATACTGCATACCAAGTCAAATTATGGTTGACCTTCTTCATGCACAACAAACAACAATCCTGCTGAGTTAAAGTGGGAAGCCAACTGATGGGTGTACTTGGGACATAATCCAGAATCATTAACAACTTCTGTCCGTATTGTGCGATTACCACCGCCGCACGACATTTTCTCATGCGTCTGGGTTGAATCTTGCAGATTCTCTCCAGATGAGCTCCTTTATGTTCTCCTCAGTGAATGATGGCTGCTCAAAATCGAAAACGAAGGGCCTTGGACAAACTGGCTCCTCGTTGATATCGTGAAGAGGTGCCAAGTACGGGTGGCATAGAGCCTCGTCCACTGCAAAGGTCAAAACTAGGGTTAAACCTCGATACCCAACATTAGACCGAGTTCACTTGCTCAGGTCAGGAACAAGTATCAGGGATCATTTGGCTATAGATAACAACAACAATTGCAACAGAGGCTTCAATCAGTTTACCTGTTATGCGTCTGTTTGGATCAAATACAAGCATCTTCTCTAATAAATCAACAGCACCAGCAGATGAGTTAGGAAATCGAGCTGCAAAATTTTGCTTAGGGTATTGTGGAAGCTGTCTCACGTATCTTCGAGCATTATCACTTCGTAGGAAACCCAGGCTCATGTCGTCAGGGGAACCTATGAGCTTTTTTTTTCAAACAAATAAAAAGTAAAGCAAATTAAGTTACAGAACGCAAGCGGAAAATTCCTAAATGAGATGAGATCGGTACCATACATCAACTAGAACGTCATGAAGTTTCTACATACCTCTGTGATAAGTCTCAGCTGATGAACATAGTCTCTGCCAGGGAACAAAGGTTGACGGGTCATGATTTCGCCGAGTATGCAACCCACTGACCATATATCAATAGCTGCGGTGTACTCTGAACAATTAAGGAGTAACTCAGGTGCTCGATACCAGCGAGTAACAACATACTCGGTCATGAAATCTGTCTCTGAAGTCGTCCTGGCAAGCCCAAAGTCTGCAATCTTCAGGTCGCAGTTGGAATTCAAAAGCAAGTTGCTGGGCTTCAAATCACGATGCAGAACATGTGCTGAATGAACATATTTGAGTCCTCTCAGAACTTGATACAGAAAATACTGCAACAAAAAAGACGGATTCCCAACATTAACAATGGAAGTCCAACATGTCGTTATGCATCTCTCGGACCTCTTCATTGCAACCTCAATAGTTGAAACTGAGGCAATCGCGATGAAGAGGGAGAAACACATAGCATACTAATCAGGAGACAAACAATAAATCATAGGATCATACTGACACGACAATGATCATCTGTCAATGATTGGTTGGAGCGGATAATTTGATGAAGATCTGTGTCCATCAACTCGTAAACGATGTAAACATCATTGAAGTTCTCCTTTTGAGGAGGCCTAATTATGTCTTTGATGGCAATAATCTGCAAACAATTATCATGAAGAGAGTAAACAACCAGAAGGTAAAATAAATTCAGAAAACACGATAGCACCAGCAAATCAGAAAATACCAATTATACGAAGCCATCGCCCAGTTAGAACTCAGAAAATGCTTTAAAGATTTATTAGATTCATATTCAGAGATGGAAATACAAGGCTGAAATAAGTGAGATGAGTGTCTAACAGTTCAATCAAATGGATTCTGGCCAGATTATCACACCTAAGTGCATGTGCAGATAAACAAGATTGATGAATTTCAATTGACACCTTCAGATAGTTGCTAAGTCCATCAGGTACTCGGATTAACAATACCACGTGCCTGATGTTCTATGAGATGGAACACCAAATTGGTTTATAAGTGAGACAATTAACCAACAGCACAAGAACCAGGGAATCCAGAATTACAAGCTTCGTCGTAAACCCAAAAATGAAATGAAATGACACAGACAACATGTGAAAGCAACTCACATTCTCATGATCCATGTGTCGCAGAAGCTTAATTTCTCGCAAGGTCCTTTTGGCATCTATACGGTTGTCAAACGCATTGCCAATCTTCTTTATGGCCACTTCCTCTCTTGTCTCTGAATTCATCGCAGCACTGAAAGAACGAAAAATAAATAAATCAGGCAGGCCTTCCCACATAGCACTTGAAATATTCGAATCCAAGTCTCTTGCTCTCTCTGTAACGGAAATGAAGCAGAAATCCTGGGAAGCATGTAGAACCGGTAGTAGCCTTCCCCTTCTTCCCCAGAACTTATTAGATCTTTGATTATGCCATAGGCACCCAAGCATCGCAATTCAGACTCTTCTACTAACAGGTCACGGTAATATACTAACATCAACGAGTTCCACCGAAACGAAAGCAGCTGGAAGAAAACTTGGAAAGCAATCAATGACAAACAGCCTCGGCAAAAACTAATTATCGCAATTCATCGCACAGACAGAAAACAGTAGCACAGAAAGTCGGCCAAAATCGAGATCGAAAATGAATATTACAAGGCCATCTAATCCACACACGATCTATATCTTCCTTCATAACAAAGAGAGGGAGGAGGAAGGAATCACTAGAAGTGAAAGCACCAGAGGCAGAAAAAGGAAGGAGGAACATCTCACCAGACGATACCGTAAGCACCTCGACCTACGGGGCGAATCGGAGGGACGTACTTCCTGGAGACCTCGAAGAGGTTCCCGTACACATTATACTGGACGTATCGACCGCCGTGAGTCGGCGCTCCTCTGATGCTGTGCTCGCCTGTGCTAGTCTCCGTCGACATACTCGAGTACTCTTTTAACTCACTTCTGAACTTCTCGCTCCAAGCTACACCGAAAGAAAAGTTGAAAAGAAGTTCCGGCGGCGGGCGGAGCGGAGATTCAGAGGAAGAGGCGGATCGAGGAAGGACGGGGAGAGAGAGATCGGCGGAGGAGGAGGAAAGGGGTGGGACTGTGGGAGTGTCGGTGGGCCTTTACTTACGCGTCTCTCCGTTTCGTCGTCTGCGTTTCTTGGGGTTTTGGTGGACAGGAAGGAGAAAAAGGCCGCGCGGGTGGGGGAAGGAAGGTTGGTTCGTAATGTGAGCGAAACTTTTGAACTGGAAAAACTTGGCTTTCCTCGTGATCTCACCAATACGACTTTTATTTACAGGAGGAGGAGAAGGGGAAAAGAAAAAGAAAAAAAGACTTCCCTTCCTTCCTCTCTCTCTGGGTCTGCGGTGACTTGTGTTTTGCCATTTGCTAAAGCCTGATATTTGAACCTTCCTCTTCCCTGCTCCAAATCAAATGACAAATATGGATGAATAATCGCCTCCTTTCCCCATTGACGGTTTACTTCTGAGTTGTTGGGGTGTGACTTGGTGGACCATGGACGAACGCCAAATGCAAGACCCCAGTTCAATGCTGAATTTTCAACGAAGTATACAACTTAGCGAGTTTTTGACCAATTTGAACTTGGCTGGGACAAGTTAAGCACAAAGTGGAGAGCAAAGGTGGCTTTTGGGACTGGCTGACTTGAATCGAATTATCGATCGCTATAACTAGAAGTCACGGGACTATCAGTCTATATAAAAAAGTGGCAAACACATCCTACAGGTTTTGGATGGAAGCACCGGTATTTGGATTGCCAACAAGTTAGAACACCGGACCACACTGGTAAGTGGTAACAATTCATTCTTTATCTATATTTAATGTCTCGCAGTACACAACCCTGTGAACGAGTAATAAACACACACAACTCATGCCACAACGACCACGATAAAATCTTACACGATATACGTAGCCATAGGACAGACTTGTTAGACCTAAGACTATAGTATACAGAGTGGCTGCACAACATCATCTAACAACTTGATGTTCCCCTATGTTACCAGCCGTCGTCACAGCATTTGTTTCGGTACTCGAAACTCTTAGATTACAAAGCAAAGCATCACGACCACTTAAAACTATTTTGAAGAAGGTGTCCACTTGTTTAGCAAGGAGATCCAGGCCTTTCGATAGCTTCTCAGCTCCACCCAGCAACTCGGTGAAGCAAATCTTCATGGCTTCCTCCTCCACCTCAGGAGGTTGCTGCACCCCATCTTGAATAGCAGGATACAGGGCCTTCACAATAGAATCAACAGACTCCAGCTCTTTCAGAGCAGTAAATTTTCCAGATGAGAATGTCTCTCTGATTTCCCCATTCACTCTTGTTTGCAAATCGGAAAAAGCACGATTCCACAAGACTGTATCTGGGATAGTTAAATCCAAGAGATTCTTTGACGAGCTGGAAAAGGCAGAAGCAAACACGCTGCAGATGAATATTGTCTCCGCCTTGACACCATACATGGCACGCATCAGGACCTTCCCCTTGGCGGAATTCTTCACCTTGGGAAGATCCAATGTCTCGACAAGACTGTCTAAGATGGAGCCACAACTCTGAACTCTAGGGTTCTTAGAGCAAATATGATGTCTCCAGTTATCAAGGGACGAACGTGCTTTCATATAACGCTCAGGGATCCCTGATTCCAAATTATGCAAGACACACTGAAGCAAGAGATGGCCTTGGTTAAGCCTCGAGATCTCAGAGCTTAGAGCAATGCAAATATCAAGCAACCTCACACTGACGTCCAAATAGACATCAATCCACTTCTGATCCCAATCTGTGACTGGAAGCTCGAGATCGGTGATGAGGGTTTTAATGTCGGTATGAGTCTCACAGAGGGATTCCATGGCTGATATCATCCATGTCAGACTCAGAACATCACCCTTGTCTTCTGGAATAAGTTTGCTCAGCCTCTCTGCCAAGGTTTCCTCAAAGCTATTCAGTACAGAAACAAGTCTTGGAGACATCTGCGAGCCCTTTGGCGATATCATCCGGAAAGGATTTCCAAAGGGGAAAAAGGGTCGGTGTGGATCCTGTGAGCGACTCATTTTCAAATGTCCACTGCAATATTACAACAAGAAGAGATTATTAGTTTGACAACATCCAACAGTAAGGAAATCCCTTCCCTTAAACAACTAGTGAATTGTTTCAAAATAGAACTCATGAAATCAATTCCATCCACGAATTCACAGGATTTTCACAGATCTATTTAACTAGTAAGGGGTAACATGCATCTGGGAGAGAAAACACAAGTATTTCAGAGTCATTCTGCTTAGTTCAAGCCAGATTCAACATGATCATAAACTACGAATCTCATCATCTGCAGTACACAGGACATCCAGAACAAGAACAACAACAGAAACAAAAGAAAAGAAAAAAGGATAGTAATAATAACAGAAATGAAAGCTGTGTTCTTGACTGACCATCATCTAAGTTCCATTCTTCCTCTAACAAAGTCTCATAATCCCAACTTATCAGAGCATCTATTTGTTCAATTCTGTCCCTGACCCATCAAATCCAACCCGAAATATAACCAAGTAGCCACCGGAAACACCATAATCAAAACAGCAAAAGAGGAGAACGAAGCAACCAGCGGAAGACTTACCAAAGAAAGCCTCAAGAATCTAGATGTCCCCGCTTAGAACAAGAGCCCAAGTGACACACAACTTATCAGAGCTCCTCTCCCTAAATCCCTCAAGGAGCACAAAAACTAAAACCGCCTAATCGCCACCTAATCCCTAACCTCCCTTTTCTCGACAATCTGTTCTCTCAGATCCAATAGAGGAGGGCGTATGTCTTTTGACCGAACCAACCAAAAGACCTAAAAATGGGGGAGTAAACCAAAAGGAAAAAGTCCAGAAGGAGCGAATGACGATCGTGAGCGATTTCGTACCTGAAACAGTACTCGGCAGCAGGAGCAGGAGTATGGAGATTTTCCGGGAAAAATCACTTTTCGTGATATTAAGCTCTCTCCGAACGCGTACACGAAACTTCCTTCGAGAAACCCTTCCCCCCGAGTTTTCGCCCTTTATTATTTTCTTTTCCTCCTACCGGTTAGATAATAATTTATTAATTAATGGTTGGCGGAAGGAAATGGGCAAACGGGGCTGGCATGAAAGCGGCGTCTCACGGGCCGACCACGTGGAAGAAGATTAATGGTTGGGGAGATGGGTTCCTCTAAATCCAATGGTTGAGATGCTCAATCACGATTTTCCGTTTTTCGCGATTTTCTTTTAATTTGTGTTTATCTTTTTTGGGTTGAATTTGTTTCTTTGTTTTTAGGGGGAAAAAAGAAAGAGGAATCCAACGGATATAAACAATGGGAAGAACGTTGTGTGTGTCGACCGTTCACACACACGGTAAGATGCGTGTTGGGAGGCATTTTTCCTTTATATTTTTTTTGTTTTTGTTTTTGTATAGTTATTTATTAGCTGGAAGGCCGGCTTCGGTCAACTTCATATAATATAATCCATCGATTTAATGCTCATCCATGATTATCTTCCCACCTCCACGTTTCATGTCTTAATTCCGATATTTTTTATTGCGCAAGAATGACGATTGGAAGAGGAGATGGGCTTGATCGGTGTAGTTGGGCTTCGAGTGGAAAAATTGGTTAAGTCGTGTTATGGGCCTCACTTTTTTTTTGTCCTTGAGCCGTCACATGGCAAACTTTTTGTTTATTATTTTATGGAATGAAGTTGTCATTTCGAAAGCTTCTAGACGTCGTTTGGATCAGAAATTTTAATTGATCAATCTTGACTCCTTTGATAGCAGAAAATTTGTATAAAGCAATTTAATTTGGGGAATTCTGAAATGACTCGTTTTGGTGCAATTACAATTGTTTTGGGTGGGGGCAGGTAATCTGAATTGACTCATTTTAAATAACTCATTTTGTAAAACGAGACAATTGGCTAAATATTTTCGTTTTGCAATTGATCCATCCAAACGGCCCCTAGTTAAACATCCAGTGTACCACTGAATACCTAGCTGTTAGACAATTGTTGGACTTGTATGTATGATATAACTCGACCTTGATCACAATTAGAGTCTACAAAGTCGCATATGGGCCCAAACCAACATGACACATTCAAGAAATGTCATGCCAAAGCCCCAAAAAGAAACACATGTTTTTGTCTATAAATACATCACTAAACCCTCCAAGTAAGGGATCTCTTCTCTCCATTTGAGCATATCACTTATCTCTCTTCAACATCCCTCCGCAACTTTACTCTTCTAAATTGCACTATTACGATACTAATGTTGATCGTCATATACCAGAGGCCACATCGGACCCCTCCCTTGTTTCTTGGCACAAACACATCCTGTTAACATGTACTTGGAAAAAATGAACATACTTCCCTTACTCACAGACACAGCCGCCAGCAACTTGTACAAACAAATAAGTGGGACAAACATGCATGGCCCTCCAATTTACTTCCACTGCCAATGCCGAGGACTATATTATACTGCATTACTGCGTTCCCATCCTAAATAATATAGCACGTCAAAATCCCTGCCTGCCTGCCTGCGTTTATGAAACCCCACAAACAAATGGCAGAGTCTGCTGCTGAAATCAAAGCCCTATGACATGATATGACCCGATTTGCAGGGCAGCCAGCTGGATCGATGGGGAAGAAGAAAAACCCAAAAAAAAACATGGTTGGCCCGGGTCCATTTTCTGGGGTCGCTCCCCTTTGGATTTTTCTGGGTGATGTTGAACCCTTTTTCCTTTCTACAAGATGTTTCTATCAATAGCAGCTGTGTACTTAACTTGGACACAATGAATCTGTATCCTTACCATCAAGGACCATACACACAACAGATTATAGCCAGCACAAAATGTGATGAACCCTAACAGAAGCAACAATGAATAAGAATAAAGAATCGAATCGCTTACAGACAATGGGCTAGTTGGCTACCCAACGGATAGATCTCCATCTTTCTGAAAGCAACATTTGCAGAAAAGGACAACCCTAATTCACATAACCCAACAAAAATGATAGCACTATAGCCATGTGGCTGTGGAGGGAGGCGTAATGGGAGAGAATGGACGTTCTGTTATGGCTTTGTATTGTATAAAAATAGAAGAGAATATAATGAATGAATTCTTACAAATTTTACAGCTGCGTTTCCGAATTTTATAATACAAAATGCATCCTCAAATCAACGTAGGATATAAATAATGAAATGAAGAAGAAGAAAAAAGAGGAGGGAATTCCTGATTATTGATTTTCTAGAGTTTGTATGGTACAATAATAGTGGATTATGACAGCAACAAGTTGAAACATTACTTGAAAATAAAAATAGTTAGAGATCACCTAAAAATCGCTGGCTGGACTGGACTGGACGTGTATCTTCTTCTTCTACCATCTGCTTTGCTGCTGCTGATTCCTACTGCTACCCTCTTCTTCGCTTTTATCAGAAACCACATCTCCTAGTTTCCCACGAGACTTATTTCCTGCTGCTGCTTGTCCTTCTTTTCCGATTCGACGCTCCTGGAAAAAAATGATCATCACAGAGCCCAAGAGAATCTGAGTTCATGAACTATCTAGTTAAAGCTGAGGAGGAAATGGAAACATGTTAGAAAGCTTTCAGTCATTTTTGGAGAAGAGAGAACGGTTTTCATACATCACGAAATAGTACATCATCCGCTTCAAGCATGTGAATCACATGCCCCATTTTGGGTCTTTTCGTAGCATCAGGATCCACACATCGAAGAGCAACCAAGAGTACCCGCTTCAGGGCTTTCGAAGCTGGCATTTCCGGCAACTTAGGATCCACTACTTCCTCCGATTTTCGGTTCCCAACCATGGTTTTTAGCCACTCCACCAGATTCACCTACAGTTGATTGTTGAGTGAGTAAGTTAAACCACAACAAAATCCCGAGCATAGTTTAGGCGAAAGGAGAGAACTTTCTGTTTTCTTGCCAAAAATAGTAAAAAGGAACTGAAAACTGACCTCTCCTTGTGGACGACTGTAATCCACAGGGCTTCTCCCAGAAATTATCTCCATTACAAGTATGCCAAAGCTATAAACGTCACTTTTTTCATTCAGCATTCCAGTGCAAGCATACTCCGGTGCTACATAACTGCAGAGATACCAGCAAATTTGGTTTAAATACTTCAAGAAGAGTATGATAATCAGCCATGTATGGATGTAATGAAATTATGCACTCCTAACGTGTCATTTGGTAGTGTGGAATACATGACTTTTTTTATAAATCATGTATTATTACTATATCGAATTGCAAGTATGTGTATAATGTCAGAATGTAGTTCTTGGTTTGTAGTGGCTGTAAAGGTGGAGGACCTCACACAATTGTTGTATTGTTGATATCTTTGGAACACAAGGCGCTGTGAAATGCTTGGCTTTCATACCAGATTATGATGCAACTGATAGAAATCATGTATTCATAGAACAAAATGTAACACGCAACTCAGATTACCAAACAACCTAAGCTTATGCTAACTAATGTGGAATTGACAGCAAAAGAAAACGAACTAACCCAAAGGTTCCCATCACACGAGTGGTGACGTAACTGCTCTCGGAGCATAAGAGTTTGGCGAGCCCAAAATCAGAAACCTTTGGGTGCAAATTGTGATCCAGGAGTATGTTGCTGGATTTTATGTCTCGATGGACAACCTTTGGTTCAAGACCCTCATGAAGATAAGCCAATCTGGAAACAGTGGAAAGCATTAGTCTTGAGTACTTGCAATGCAGTAGTTCTCCAAAAAAGAGGAGGAAAAGAAAAACAAAACACAAGATTTAGATGATTAGTTATGGTTTACCCTTTCGCCATCCCAAGTATAATATTCACACGAACATCCCATTTGAGAGGGCTCACTAAACCAACATCACCATGAAGCCATTGGTCCAGATTACCATTGTCAACATATTCATAAACAAGCATCCTTGCCAAAACAAAACATATAATCAGTCAGTCACATCTGAAGAACAAAACATGTAAAGCCAGTTCATTTGCTGATGATTTTCAGCTCACCTATAAGCACCCTCAACACAGTATCCAAGCAATCTCACAAGATTCTTATGCCTCACCCTTCCAATCGCCTCCACCTCCACCTTGAACTCCTTCTCAGCTTGACCCCTGATCATCAATCATCCTCAAAGGTTAGTTGATTATTAAAAGTCTACAGAAGAAGCAAGTTAGAAGTATGGCAACAAGTTTCTGAAAAGGGGATGATCTAAGTTACCAGTTCAGATTAATAAGAGGAAGAGTTATCGATCCACCAAGTAATTAAGTAAATACGGAGCAGACACGACAAGTATAAAGGACAAGAGAGAAGGGCAAGAAGGATTGTGGGGATCAAAGCAGAGCCAATCGATTCAAACACACACAAATTTGACATATTCATAGAATTTCCTACTAACCGTTCATTGTCTCCAATCCTGGGATCTCTGCTGGAAACAGAGGAATCCAAGCAGACATATTTATTTGATTCCTTCAAAAATATTCAGTACCCACCAACCACAATCCAATAAAACTAAAACCCCAACAACCAGAAACCCAAATCCAGTTTTATCCATGGAGTAACACTGACGTCACTAGGAACAGCAAAGCACCTAAATTTAGCTATGGGCAACAATCAAGTTTTGATGACAAACTAACAGCGAGAAAGAAGAAAACTGGGAACCTGTTATTGAGCAAGTTCTTCACAGCAACTTTGGTGCCGTCGCCCAAAATCCCACGATAGACAATCCCATACCCACCTTCCCCAATCACATTCTCCTCACAAAGCCCATCCGTCGCAATCTCCAGCTCCCTCAGCGTGTACCACCGCCCCCACCCGAGATGAGAAACCTCCGGCCCAACGCTCCCGCTTCCAAAAGACGCCGTCTCCCCGCCGCTGGCGGTGGCTCTGCTCTCCCCGCTGGAAGCTCTGTCGGAGAACACGACCCGATGCTCGATCTTGCCGATCTCCACCTGAATCTCAGGGACCGGCGCCGCGTGGTGGTGGTGGTGGTGGTGGTGATCATGTGCTGGGAACTGAACAATCTCCTGGATTTCTTTAGAAACGGGCGGAGTGGGCTCGGCGAGTTTGGGGCGTTTCCGGCTTTTGCGGCGAGAAGTTAGGCAGAGGGAGAGGAGGAAGAGGGCGAGGACTATCAGTGAGCCCAGAAGGATTCCAATCACCACCCACAGGCGGAGGCCGAAGATGGAAGTAGGCTTCGAGAGTTCAGTGTTCAAGAATGCAGCGTCGTACAGAGACATTATTGGCTTGTTTTATTCACTACTTACAGTCTCGCCGTCCCTCTCTTATTTGTCCCCCTCCGGCAATTAGTTGCTGTTCCGGCAATCAGCAGTAATTGTAGGGTTTCAGATGGTTGGAGGGGAAGGAGGAGGCATTTGGGTCGCCGGCCGGTGGAAGGGGGAGGAGTGCTTTGCGGCGAATGTTTCTGAGCGAGGGGAAAGAAAGGAAGAAAGGGGAATATGGGGAAAGGAAAACCAGAGAGCAAAGCAAAGGCTGTGAAGGAAGCAAAGCAAAGGGAGGAAGAGAAGAGAGAGTGATGAGCTGTAAGTTTGTCTTCGGATGTGCGATGAAACGGAATAGAAAGTGGAGGATCCGCTGGAAGAGAGGGATGGACATTTGGGGTAATTAGTATAAATGGTAACAAACCTTTGCACTTAGTACAAAATGGTCACAAACCTTTAATTTGTAACAATACGGTAACAAAACTTTGAAATTGTATAAAATGGTCACCGCTATTTAATTTATGACCGTTTTGTTTTAAGTGCAAAGGTTTGTTACCGAATCGTTACAGATTAAATGTTGGTCATGTTTTGAGGTCGGGTAGTTTGTTCGTTAAGTATATGACACTAACCACTTGAACGACATATAAGACGTCAGGTCATGTGTTCATCGACATATTTGCTTTGCCGAATAAGAATGCCATCAGTTGACCTTTCAATTTCGATACCAAGAAAGTAAGAAAGTAGACATAGTTTTTCAACTAAAAAGCAGTCTGGAACCCGTTTGTGAGCCATTGAATTCTCTCATTGTCCTCCTAAACAACATAATATCATTCACATACATTAACAAAACCACCATACAACTAGAGTGAATTGTAACGGTGATTGAGCGTTCAAACGTTTGAACTTAATTTGTACAAAACGGTCACCAAAAGTCTAATTTGCAACGACACGGTAACAAAAGTTTGAACTGGTATGAAATGGTCACACTGTTTAATTTGTGACCGTTTTGTTCTAAGTAAAAAAGTTTTGTTATCAAATGGTTACAAATTAAAGGTTTGTGACTGTTTTGTACTAAGTGCAAAGGTTTGTGACCATTTATGCTAATTACCCTGGGCATTTGGGATTTGGCATCCCTGCCCAAGGACACAAACGGAATTATACATGAATTGGTATTTCATACTTATAAATGGAATTTTTATTTGCCTAGTAGGAAAATCAATTTGAATGTTTCACTAGATTGCATTTAAGAAGAGATAAATATTTTTTTGTTGACAATAAATTTCATCTTTTATTCCACTTCCCACTCGAAAAAATCGAGAATACACTTTATCAAAGGAAATCTGAAATTAGGTCAACAATACCAATCCAGTCAACAGGGAGAGAGGATCTAGCAAGTGATCGTGCAACCCAATCAGCTCTAACATTGAAAGCACGTGAAATTGCCTTGACCTTTCACTTGATGGTTCGTTCTTAAGATTGAGATCATTGATCCAATCCAGGCTGCACCTCGCCACGGCCAGTTTCTTGGCTCATCCGAGAGAGCTTTGACAATCAGCTGGTAGCCTGATTGGACAACACATTCCGTGCCATATTCTTGGGCTAATTTGAGACCTTCCAAAAGAGCTGTTGCTTCGGCTTCGAGTGGGGTGGAACAAAGGAGAGTGTCAGCTCGCCCATCACACACTTGTCCATGGTGGTTAGTGACCACAACACCATATGTCGCCGGCTGGGAGTCGTTTAAGAATGACCCATCACAGTGAATCACAAAATTGTGATTGCTTGGCGGTGGAGAATTGAGTGATTGGGCTCCCCTGAGCTGAGTAGAAGGAGAGTCAATGGGGGGACTCCTCGGGCAATTAGTCCATTCCGTGAATTCCTTGTAAGTTCGCAAAATAGCATTCGGATGCAAAGGGATCCGATTCTTGAACACACATTCATCTCTAGCCTTCCAGATATTCCAGCAAAGGAAAATAATATGAGAGAGAAAGTAGTTTTGTTTTCTAAAATTTGGTTAGCTAGGTGTCTGGCCCTTCGATTTTGACCAGCCGCATCAGACACCTGTGTCACTACTCTTATTTTTCTTTATATGGATCCTTCATCTTCAATGAATGTTCCTCCCCTTAGATGTTATTGGAGTTATTGTCTCGAACCCCTAGTTGGGGGCAATGGTGGGAGTAGTGGCAGAGAGCTCTAGGCTGGTTATGTGGTCGAATTCAATGGTGATTGAATCAAGGATGGATGCTAGGATGTCTGGAATTACGGTGAGTAGGGGTCGAATTCAATGGTGATTGAATCAAGGATGGATGCTAGGATGTCTGGAATTACGGTGAGTAGGGTGAAGCTAGACTAATCTTTTCAAGTTGTTGTATAAGGTGTTCTAGAATCTCCTGAGCTTCATACTAAAGCTGAGTTTCAGAAGGTTGTGAATGGTGTGAATGGTATGTGTCCAAAAGTTTTGGTAACCTAAGACAAATCCTACCAGTTTCCTAACAATTTGCAGTTTTCTTTTAATGTGTTTGGTATTTTAGATGAGAAAGAAGTGGTGAAATTGCAAGAGGCTCCTAAAAAAGTGACAGGAAGACAGACATTTGTCCCTGCTTCCTAATGATTGTGATATTTTAGAATGTCAATGAGTTCTCTAAATATAAGGACTTTTTTCTAGTCCTTAGTAGGTATGATATTGATGTTGTTGTTGTCTTGGAAAAGAGATTACATTCTATATATTAAAAAAGAGAGTAGATGATGCTAATTCAAATGACACTATAGAAGGGCATTTTAACGGTCGAGAGAAGCATCTAAACTATATAGGTTCTTATTTGCGTAGGATTTGGCTCTTTTGCTGTTTTGGTTTTGTGGTGAGAGTTCTCATGCTAGTGAAAAACTTTATTCACTTGTTTGTTAAAAGTATGGAGGGGGGAAGTTAATTTATGATGATTGTCTATGGTTCAAACGATGATGCTAAAAGAAGGGCAACATATTCAGTGATAGCAAAATTTAAGGTGGGAAACTTTCCTTGGATATTGGGAGTGATTTTAACACGATCTTGAATTTGGAGGAGAATGCTAATCAAACAAGTATTACATCTTGTATGTATGATTTCACTAGTTGGGTGGATGACATGAAACTTGTAGGACATAAATTAGGTGACGTGTTATTTACACGGATGATAAGCAAGATCATAATCCTATTGGCACACGAATGGATATAAATCTTATCATTATTGTAAACGAGAAGTGGATAAGTGAGTTCGCTAACTTGAAAATGGAGGTACTCAATCACAACTAGCTTCTCGAATCATTGTGGTATTTTAGTTTCTATAAGGCCTCTAGAGTATTCCCTTTCTAAATCGTTCAAATATTTTGAGTATTAGGCATAACATCCTGAGTTTTGAACATTGATGTAGCAAACATGGTCAATCCTGGTACTCCCATGTTTGTAGTTCAAAGTAAGCTGAAGGAGGTGAAGCGTGTATTGAGGCAGTTGAACAAAGTAGTCTATGGTAATTTAAGTGAACATGTCAAGGTTTCAAAAGCTCAGCTTCTTATATTGTGAGTTGAAGCACTATAGCATCCATATGAACAGTCCTATAGTGAAGTCAAGGTGTTGGAAGTTAACTCTGATGAACAATATAAAGCTAAAGAGATCCCCCATGATTCCTTGCTAAATGTTGGAGATACGTCTTGACGTGCACGACTACGAGCCATCCTCTATCTCATGCAAGTATTTGGCTCTCGTGACTAGAGCACATAGTGCCCCTTCTTCGGTCAGCATTCGCCAAGTTAGATTCTACATAAAAGCCTCATTCATCCTCGTCACCAACCATAGTCCTAGCTCGCCCTCGTCGATTGGGTGACAGTGAGTGTCCTAGTTAACTATATGCACGTTTCTGCCAGCTTTCATGCTTCCCCATATGATAGCTCAAGTCTTATTGTCGATATAGTTCCGCACACTAGCTGGAAGAAGGCTCGTCTGCAATAAGCAAGGAGGGAGGCTAGTAGCGATTGCACCAGAGTTATCCTCACATCTAGCGTCATAGTATAAGCTTTTCATCCTGCAAGGCGGGAGTCAATTTTGTCGATGAGATCGGTGTATGTTGCCTTCTATATCCAGTCTTGGATCATAGGGACACCAAGGTAGCGTATGAGGTAAAATGCGCTTGAATATCTAGTGCCACACTTAACTCTGCGCTCCTTGCAGGTGTTGCATTCTTTGAGAAGAAAACACTAGACTTTGTCAATTGATTTCTTATCTCGATGCCATACTGAAGGCCTTACAGAATTGTGAGATGATAGAGGCTCGAGTTAGGGAGGCCTCACCAAAAAGGATTAAAGCATCTGCAAAAACAAAAAAATCGATGTGACAAAATTGGCCCGTGTCTAGTGAGCCAAATCGACTTCCAAGACTCGCTAGTGACACAACTAGAGATTAGATAACTTAATTTTACATGGTAGAGTAAAAAAATAATGGGATAGAAGACATCCATGTCTCAAGCCTCACAAAGAAGAGAACATCTCTGAGAGAGCACTATTCTATTGGACTCACATGGTAATGTTAATAAACGATAGGGTGCACCCACAACATGAAGCGTGTTTCATAAAAAAATCCCACTTTATGGGGTCGTAAATTTTGACCTAATATACCTTAACCACCATCCAACCAATTCGACCTTACTTGGCTCACATTCAGTGGAGAACTTCTTAAAGGATACATATGTTATTAGTGAGTTGTAGTCCCAGGACAAAGATCGTCAATATTTTTTCAACAAGTTCTTGTATCATACCCTTCAACTATTCTCCTAGGCATTTTGTGATTATTTTGTATGTCACATTACACAAGCCAATCGAGCGAAAATGCTCCACTGGGGTCAGTGCTAGATTCTTTAGATTAGAAATTATCATGTCGTTTATTTCTTTGATCATGGCAGATTACGCCAACAAAAGGTTGCGAATTGACAACCAATTTACCCATGATGTCACAGCATATCTTGAGTAAAATAGGATTTAGCTCATAAACTTCAGGAGCTTTCAAAGATCCCATCTTGCGGATTGCGGTACTTTTTAAATTTGCTTAAGAGTAATGTATTCTATTTTGTATGTATGATCTAGTGTGTAATTATTTGTGTAGTATAGATAATATTCATGTTTATGAGATATCGATTCAATAACAAATTTTTAACGGCCTAATACAGTTAAACCAGTAAAGTATTAACCGTTTACTAATGTTCTATACTCTGTTTCAGTTATGAAAACATTGCGTATTAATAAGATTGAATGCTATATTATTATTTTTATGCATCATGCATTTTTTAAAGTATGTTGGTCCTTCTCTATAAGCAATTTTCTTTCTAAAAGCATGTTGGTCTTTTTCTATAAGGAATTAACCACTTGTATCGATAAGCATCGTCAAGCACCTTTATCCTCCTTTCGTTTGCTCACTGAGATGCATTTGTAGCTTTATTTATCTCATCTTCTTTACAATCAGTAGTAGCTTTATCTGTTGGGTAACCATACAAGAATAAGAGTTTTGATTGGATCTAACTAAGAATAGCATCGATTTATTGAATGGGGGAGCAACAGAAAAGACAAACCACTTCCCCCTTTCCTTAATACAAAAGCCTCCACTCCACTCCACTCCATATGCAAAATTGAAAGTGATGATTTACCTTTCATAATTTCTAGAATTGCTTTCCTAGCATTTGGTGCTTGCCGATTAAGCTAGCACTCCAAACAAGCTATAGCTTAATCGGTGTCTTCCATAGCTCGACAAACAAGCTAATTAGACCACTGCAAAAGCCGGGAGCAACATGACCGGTTGGAAACCCAACTAATCATGGTGATTCCTTCTGCCTCTCAACCGTTCTCTGGATGTTTTGCTACGAATCTGAACAGAGTGTTTGAGTTGTGCGCAACAGTTTGTGTACAAGTACAGGGAGGTAGTAAGTAATACAACGTCGGGAGCGCAAGGCATAGAAAGGGAACAACAAAGTTACAGAACAGAAAGAGACTGGCACTAGCCTAGACTACCAAATTCCGACTCACAGCAGTATTGCTCTCTCTGGTGGTCCACTGACGAAACAAAACTAAATCGTGCATATCTGCGAGCTGCGCAGGAATCCACAGATTACTCTTCCTTTTTACTGTCAGCGTCGACTTCATCAAGGGCTGATAATCTTTCGACGAGGGGAGGGTGGGAATAGTGATAAGCTGAGTACCATGGATCAGTATTCATGGCTGATAGATTTTCTTCCTGCAGATGCAACACCACACAACACCAAATGTTGCCATCAACTTACATGCATATATAAGTGTAAATTGAAACATGCAACTTTGATTGCAATGGGACTGGAAGTGGAAGTATACAACTTTTGTGTGTTTGTTATGGCTAAGAAGTAAGTCATGTTAGAAGATGTAAAAAAGCAAAACACACTCATATGACCCAACTCGTTGGAGAGAATATCTTTGGCTTCAAAACCCTACAAATTATTTAACAAAACTTCATTCCCTTTCAAAATACGAATCTGTTTCAAAACTCATACCCATGATAGCCAGGAATTCAGTCACTAATTTCATTATTAAACAAATTCTTTACTGTCCTATTACTTGACACTCATTACAACTCTAAACCAATGGCCACTCATCAGTTTATACTCTAATCAAATCCACTCCCAATTCTTTCCTCACATAATTTGATTTTGTAGCAAATGCCAGACCAAACACACACACACAAACAAGGAACAAGCAGCATAACCCATATAGCAAATTCATGAAGGAAATGGGAAGTCACCTGCAGTTTCACTAGTCCAGCACGAAGAGGACCAGCGTAGCCAAGCTTCTTAGCAAATGCATCAGCCTACATTATTAGCCAAATGTTATAAGTTAAGCGAGAACTGGAAAGACTAGGTGTGCGAGAAGAGAGAGGGATATACCTGAAATTCAAAGGATCTGCTAATCAGATTAAGGCCAAAGCTCACAAGATGCTGGACAGGTATTATAATATGCTGCAAGATAGATCAAGAAGAACTATTTAATTTGATGAACAAATTACAGTGAGTAAATATATCCATAAACAAATAGGACCCAGTTAAAAGGACAATCCCTTCAAACACAAGTCATTCTTCGCAACAGCTATATGTTATATAGCTACAAGTACCTGAAATATCATCAGCCCAATGAGCACTGGCTGAGAGTCAAACCCAAAGCTTCTAAAGAGATCCGTTGAATTCCTTACAAGGGTATACCCTCCAAATTGCAGGAAGGTAAGAATCTGCATTGAAGAATAACAACATGATGGATTATAACCCATGCAAATTCAGAGCATCTCGTTTTGATCAAAATCATAAACCACAAGTATTCTATTCCTCTCCAATGCCATTTGTACCACATATAAATCAAAAGCATGCACAATAGAACTGAGAAGCATTGGTACAATTTTGAACCAAGGAGAATCAGTTACGTCAGTCTTCATGGAAGAAATATCACCTGCATGGCTATGAACGTGTACATTGTATGATTAAGCTTCCAGTGCCCCAGTTCGTGGGCAATAACAGCTACAATTTCCTCATCTTTTTTGCACTGCGCAGGAGACAAGTACAGTCAATTACCACATCACCAAAATAAGCCATAAGGAGATTCTTGTACACCATGTACAAGACTGTTGAATCCAATACTTCTGGTAACATGCACAAACGATCAGCCAAGTCACATGTTCACAAGATTGATGAAGAAAGCATTCCTTACAAGAAAATACAAAAAATAATTTAACAAAGAAAGCAGACAGCATTAGACCCAGAAAAATAAAGCCCGTCTCACCTGCTGAATCAGAGTGTCATAGAGCACTATTCTCTTGTTCTTGAAGAAGCCATACATGTAAGCCTACACAAAAACAGAGATTGTATTAAAATATTAAGTAACTGCAAAGGAGGAAAAATGGCACATTATTGCTAGATAAAGGTTATGGTATGAATTATGATAAAGTAAAATAAACCTGCAACCAATAGATATGTGAAATCCGGCTACCCAGAATAATGAAGGATAAGAATTATCAAGAGACACAATATTGCTGCAATTAACAATAGCTACACCTCATAATGCCTATTGATTCCAATTTCGTGTGTTACAAACAGGTGATAACAGCTTAATAGAACAACTGGGATAAAGCTTATTTTGTAAACAACAAACAAGTGATGAAATGAGAGAATGTAATAACTCCTCGATGCCAAAGCAAAATTAGACAAAAACTAATAGAACCACTCTTGAATCATGTAAGGTCTCTGTATGAGAATGGAAAGGTCTTGAGAACATACATTGCTATGGCTTGATCTTGTGGAACCGTCTACAACAAACAACTTCTTCAAAGGGAATTTGAGTGATGCAGCAAGTTTCTCGATCTTCTCCCTGAGACTTCCTTCTGGAAGCTTTTTATTTTCACAACATAAGCACAAATTAAGTCAACAATATGAGCATAATACGGTAATTATTGAAAACTGAAGAGCGGGCAAGATTTCTCACAGGGGTGAACTTGTTGAAAAGGGGAGCAATCAAAATTGGATAGATTGTCATCATGACGAGTGAGAGGGCAAACATGAAGCCCCAGAGATAAATGGCCAAGTATGGACCACCTTTCTGCAAACATGGAAATCAGACTCAAATAATAAGAGAAGTAACATATTTAGAGGTTAACTGGTGCAAAGGTACAGTAACAAATTGGCAAATGCTGATAGTAAGTACATGGCAAATCAGGAGCAGGCAGCAGTAATTTCATTATTTCAATAATATGAAGCAACGTACCTGTACAATCAAGATCATTGCAGATATAATAGGTGGTCCGAGAACGACAGCGAGCAGAATTCCTTTGAACAAGTCCCTAATGTACAACCATATTGTTTGCTGTAAAGCAGATAAAGCTAGTAAGCAAATGACATTGCATGACACAGAAAGGGTGAAAAGGAATGTCAATTGAAGATATTAGATTCAGTACTGAAACCAGAAACCATACTTTGTTGAAACCATGGCGTGCCTCGATCACAAAGGTTGAATATAGGGAGAATGGCAAGTCAGTGATCTGCATCACAAGTTCAAAGAAATGTAAGCTATCTTCCATTTTATAACTATACCAACACAGCGCAAATACCAGACAAGTACATGAATAAAAAAAGTAGTAAAGAATCCACCATGCCTATTACTGATACAGCAAAATGTGAAGTGGAACCTTTAGCATTTTAAGTGGCATATTCAGTCACAACTCAAATAACAAAGAGCTTTGTCTATGTTCATATTCCAGTTAAGTGGACTGTAAACTGATGCAATCTAAGACATGCTTGCAGCAGACTTGATTTCTGAACCAGGAAATTGAATCCTTATGCTCCCAAAAGAAGAGAACACAAAGCAACAAAAGTACATACACATACAAGGAACCATACGGTTACATAATGTGTCCTATGCATGTATTACAGAAACATAACACAAATTACATCATTGGTAACTTTCAAAACTGCCAAGAACCAGAGGAATATCCACACACCTGTGACCATATCATCATACCGCCCAAGAAGCCAAGAGTGTGGATTATCTCATTCTCTGCATTGAGACCAATTGAGACCAGAAAGTTCCCTGATACCTGTATATAGTACAGAGTACTCAGATAACCAAATTACAGTCACAGTCAATAACATCATACCAGATCAATTCAAGTTACCTTCCAAAACCATGGCAATACCCCATACCACAGTATGGCCGAGTCCAGCACGATAGTCACAAAGTCATGAACAAAACTGAAGTAGCTGAGAGCAACATAATAATCCATGTCATATTAATAACATGTTAACAAATCAGTACCATGAACAAAAAGAAATAATATCACTGATTGAACTCGAAGAAGGAAGTGATTTGGGAGTGATCTAGCATCCTGGGCAGATAGCTTTAAGACTACTGAAAGCAAAAAGAAATCATTAAACTTGAGAACAACCTTTTGTCGAGGCTATACGCACGAGCTTTTTCAAACTTCTCCTGGCTGATTACTCCTTGTAAAGATCTTGGCAAAGTGAGAAGTTTGTGCGCAGCAAGTTGCCGAAGATCAAGATAGGTTTCAAAGATGTACATCACTATCATAAAACCTGAAAGTATTTACAGAGAAGGTGAAATGGCCACAAGGACCACAAGAAGAAAATGTATAGCCAACGTAATCAAGACTCTCAGTAAGCTTCCGCTAAATGGAATTTGAATCAAAATTAGCCATACAGAAACCCTTCCCGACGACTAGCGCCTCAAGAACTTATTTGCTGTCCTACCCAACTAAGTACTAATCCACAAAATATGGACGATTGTAAGGAGGTAACTCGTGAATTATAACCTAAACTTTCGAGGGAGCGATACAGACACCCTGCTCAATGACTAGCGCCTCAAGAAACGCAAATCAGAAATGAGCGAAATGAACAAAGAAGTCCGCAAGACGCATCTCATGATCCCCCAGGGGTTTCAAACGATTGCGCCGCAATCTTGAGCAATCGAAAGAAAGAAGAACGGCAAACTGTTTCGGTAGCTATCTAACTGGAATTGGAACTAGGGCAGAAACTAACGGGAAGCCGGGGAGCGCCCATAAACGTAGTAACAAGAGCAACAGACGTCGACTGTACATAAGCTTAAAGTGCATACATATACCAGCTACTTGAGAACCGATTCAAAATAAGAGGACGGCTGGTTTACCTACTACGGTTTCCAAGTAAGGAAACGCCATGGCCGAATCGCCGAGCTCGACAGTCGAAGGGAGAAGGCTTGGTGAGACTCAGGACTCGGGAGGGGAAACTGGGGTTTTAGCTTTTCTGTGAAGACGGAGGGAGGGATTTTATATGACCCGTTCCTTGGCTTAAATAATAATCGAGTAATTCCGCATAAATGAGAAGTGGTTAGTGCTAATTACCAAATAAATTCTATTAACTATTGGATATGATATTATAATCAAACTAATAATCTAATACAACAACTCAACTAATTAAACTAATATTAAATAGAATTGGATTGGTTAAACATAAAAATCCAACACATAATTAGCCATTAATATAAATACATGGAACTAATACAATCTTACAAAAATATATGACACTGGTATGATTTTAATAAATAGGATGTGTTGTGTAAATTGTATTAGTCTCTTAGCAATTATCATATGCTGCAAAAAATCATTTTCTTAAAGATTTTCATGCAACATAATGTATGAGTTTTTATCTAAATTAGGTGCTAATATGTTGTTGTCTACATTATAAAAAACAAAGGCACTATAAGAACAATAATGCACTTTATTTCTTGTATGGGTCCAAAAGTAGGAAAACTTGACTCTCGAGTGGTTATGCAAAGTATTAAGTATGTGTACAGAATATATTAGATATGGCTAATTGCTTAACTAGTTAATTGGTTTGATTGGTTAGAAAGGTGTGAAACCAAACCAAACAAACTTAAAAATTTAATCAAACCAAATCAAATTATATTAATACTACTGATTAAAATGGTTACCACAGTAACCACTTTTAGGAATGACTCGTTTGAGTTGAGTTTTTCCAAATCCAAATTCAATTTGCCGGTTTATTCGTTAAAAATCAGTAAAATGTTTATAGGTTTTTAGAAGAAAATTTAATTCAATGAGTACTAGTGTAGTAGGTAGTTTGATGTATGCTATGGTTTGCACTAGACCTGATCTTACACATGTTGTTAGTGTTGTCAAAAGGTTCATGATACAACATGGGAAAGAACATTGGCAGGCTGTGAAAAAAATTTAGTACGTTAAGGGTATATGTATGATTTGGGGATTATCTTTGAAGTGATACATAGTGCTCAGTGGCTGGTTATTTAGATTTTGATTATGCTGGAGATGTTGGCGCGATGAGATCTATGGCCGATTCTATATTCACTTTGAGAGTTCTGTGGTGAGTTGGGAAGAAACTCTATACTCGGTTGTAACATTTTCTACTACTGAAGTAGAGTACATGGTGTTGACAGAAGCTTCCTAGGAGGGAATATGCTTGAAGGGGTTGATTGGTGATCTGGGTCAGTAGTAGTGTATTGTGACAGTTTGAGAGTAATATGTTTGGCCAATGACCAAGTCCATCATGAGAGGACTAAGCACATCGACGTGAGGTATCATTTCTTACAAACATAGAAAAGGATTAAGGTGAAGAAGATTGGCATTGCGGACAATCTTGCTGACTTGTTCACGAAGTTGGTTCCACATGCCAAGTTCTAACAATGCTTGGACTTGTTGAATGTTCGAACTATCTGGCTACGACTATAAGTCATGGGGTCTATACACGTTTGGGTTTTTGTTTTGGGTCTGGTTTGTAACCTTATTCTTTTACCATATTGTATTAAGGTTAGACCACATGGAGTAGTACTATAAATACTTCTCATACTCCTTTATAATTTGCATCTCCTTAAGTATCGTGAAATTGGCTCTCTCCTATCTGTGGACTAGCTAACATACATCTTGTTAGTGTACCACATAAATATGTGTGTCGTGTTCATTTCTTGCTTTCATTTTTATTGCTCCGTGGATCCTCCTATTTCTCAATCCGTAGAAACAGTCGTGACAATGGATCTTAATCCAGTGGAGAAGGCAAGATAACTGCACAACCATTATTCGAGAACACACTTTCTCAAGTAGTGAACACCATGCCTAACATTGTTCCATTACATTCAAAGGAAGCGACCATTGCTAGGGTTGGCTTTAAAATTCAGTCTGTAGCAATTAAAATGATCCATGATTATGCGGTACAGATCGACGTTATAAATCCTAGGATGACTAAGGATCGTATTCCACAAGGTCTTCTAATGCATAACTACTCACACCAAACCTGCATTGACTCACACGAAAATAATAAAGGCATTTAGTGGTCTTCATTCAACTAACAAGCAAGAACAATAAAGTTGTTTAGGGGTTTTTTTATTTATAGACGCATAAAAGTAAAGATATGTTATTGTATATGAAGGTAAGCTTTGAATACCATCATGCAAACTAAGACTTTATCACATCATACATTGATAACTCATATATAACACCACTATATACCTTCCACTAAATCCATTCTCTACATGTGCATGTGTCTCTTGCAATAGAGATTTAACTAGCTAATGCATGCTTTCGCTTCATGTCATCGACTAATTAGTAAAGAACAAGGAAGTAAGGATAACACATGATTAAGTGTGGACCTCTACGAGCCATAATTGATGGTCTGTAGCATTGATGATCTAACAATCAAGCATTGATACTACTAGAGGTATGGATGGTTGATCATTTTCTATATACTCGTGTAGCATCAATGGGATATCACTAGAGGGTAATTTCTGATCAACCTAGATGATACTAAGAACAACGAATATAGTAGCATATTGTAGAATCATAAGCATCGATGATAAAGAAGCATTCATCCTAGATAAACAACAATGATCATCACATAAGCATAAAAAAATCAAGCATCCATGCATGCACAATGAGCATCAAAATCCATAAGCATCAACACAAGCATGACATAAAATCATAGCATCAATACATATAATGATGACAACACAATCAATTTTGAACTAGCTACATAGAAGAGAAGGAGGGTACCACCATTGATGATGACAACATCTCCTTCGCCGCAGACTCTCCTACGAAAACTAAGCTCTTACTCGGTCATAGTATAGAAGTTTTATTGTGGTTGTGAAGCCTTCCTGAACTAATTAGCCATGACCTCTAGTTATGGGGGAAAACTCGATTGACTAAAATTCTCCTAAACCAACTAGGAAAGGGTTTCCTAGTCCTTGTAGACTATGTAACTTCTTGAAGCATATTTGAATTGTAGAGAGAAGGGAAAGGATTTTCATGTAAGAGAAAGAAGGGAAAGTGACAAAATAAGGGGTTGTGTGGTGTTGGTGGCCGAAAATGAGGGTTTTGTAGTGGCTAGGACATCATGTGTGATGCGGCGGTTTCTAGCATTTTTGTGTTAGAACAATTACTTCCATAGTATGAAAGTTGATTTCGTACTATTTTTTACATCTTTAAATCCTCCATTCTCATCTTAAGTTCAAAATTTGCTCCAAATGTAACACCTACCAAAAGGATACAATGTTTTCCTCCATTGAGTAACTCAAAATTTAAAGCCAAAAACAAACTTCAAAATTTAAAAATTAGGGTAAATAAAATTTATCAACCAAACATCTCAAAATATAAAATATTAGCAAAATGTTAACTTCTCGTTAGAAGTTTTATTAGTAATATTGACTTGGCAACACGAAACTAACTTGGAAAAAAACACTTGCCAGTCAACATTCCAAAACTTTAGTATTTTAACTAAGATAAAAGTTATAAAATTACTAACGGTAACAGACAAATAGCGATAGGGCGGGTTTTACCCGACCCGCAGTAGCCCGAGGGGGGGATATGCACCTACTTCAGACCTGTCCTGCCCTGTAAGGAAGTGGTTAAGCACCATACACGGGCCTGTATAAGATCCAGCATAACCTTCTCCCAACAACTCGAGTTATTGGGAGCAACTGGTTTATGACATGGTATCAGAGCTGGTTGTCCGTGAGGTCACGTGTTCAAGTCCTCACGACCCCCAATATTAACCGTTGTCTTTCAAGGACATGGTATGGCAGGCCTGTGCAAACTTCAAGCCCATGAATCGGCTTTCGTTTGAGGGGGCGTGTAAGGAAGTGGTTAATCACCATACACGTCAACTGGTTTATGACATGCCCCGCCTCATTCCTAGCCCATTCTATCTCAATTCTTACCGTATCTAATTATATTTCTCATATTTGACTTTTTTTTATCTAGTTAGACTTAATCTTTCAATTAGTTAGACTCAATTACTCATTCTATTATCACTATTTTGCATTCACCAAGTGTTTTCCCATTCGTTTTATTGTAAAACGTAAAATATTGCTTGTATATTTTCAAATAACATATAAGGGTGGGTCGACCCGCCCCACCCATACCTGTAGTAGCATGGGATGAGGCATGAGTATTGATGTATCCGCCCCACCCCACCCATCTCACCCCATTGTAATAACTACTCTTATAATGATTTAGGAGCTTATTGATTTTTCATTCGTTTGAATTGAAATTTTTATATTTCTACTTGTGTCAAACTGATTTAGAATTACGTATAACATGTTTGATATAGTAGTTTTTTATGGCTCTTTGAATTGGATAAATTGTATGCTCGACCTAGAATTGGAACATGCATTGTAGGAATTTTCATACTATATTCACACCTAATCTATTTTCCTTTATTTCATTCATTCTTCATTCATATGAGATTTTCTGCTTTACTTTGAACCCAATCTCTCTGCCTCGGCTTCCTCTACCTCTTTAGCTTAGAGTAATCCATTTCATATTCTCATCCACCGCCATGCAAACTTGTTTCTAAGATTCACTATGATGGGACTCTTACTATCCCCAGGAGGTGGCACATGATTTTATGTGATCACTAGCCATGAATTTTAATATGATCGGACAAGTTGATATTGTTTCACTCTGATTGGTTGGTTACTAGAGAGATTCATGATATAATGTTTTCGTTCAATAGTTTTGCTCTTTTGGGTGGCTGCTTTCAGTCTGCGTTTCGTTCTTCGTATCGATATATTTCCTAAACATGGTTTGATTGTAACCAGACATCTTAAAGTGCAATGAAGATTATCTTACGTAAAAAAAAATACTAACTGACAGAGCCACATTGGTTGATTCATAAATTAAATCGAATTGGATCAAATGAATTGTTCAATTTGAAGAACTGGTTAGTTGGTGGAAGAACTGGTTGGTGATGGTTTGAAGTTTGAACAATCTTTAAGGCCCTGTGAATTATACAGCTTCACCCATCTTACGATAACTAGCTACCACCACGTGATGGACAGGACACCCACCCCCAAACCCACCCTTGCATTAATCACAAACTGTTAGTTGACTCGATTTACACATGTCCGTCGCCGACTCTCACTTGTTTCCCGGAATAAATAATTGGTATCTGAAATCTCAGAGTAGAACCGGACAAAAAGAAACTGAATTACACTTCACTAAAATAAACAAGAAACAACTCCTTGCATGGTATAAATGACTTTTTTATTGAGAGATCGATTAATATTGACTGCCGCTTTTACGTTCCAATTTTGTAATCTTCCATCGCTTTACAATCTAAAGAGTCGAAGCAAAAGCTAAAGAATGGAAACCACTCCATGCTATGCATCTCCTATTCTTCCTTCTAAGAGTTAGGAGATCGTACATAAAAGTGAAATTCGTACTTCAAATGTATTGTAATGTTGATGCACATATATTTCAATGTTTTATTGACTCATATAAATTTATAGACCAGTAAACTGCGTCGTAATGAGAAATGTATGAGAAGATGAACTCATATTCTCGACTCCATATTGTATGATAAATGAGATTCGTTTTCCAAATGTCTGGTTATATTGATGGACACATTATTTATTGATTGGTTTGATCATAAAACAAGTACATCATTAAAAAAAGAAATAACTTTCACAAAAAACACCCACCACGTAACAAAGTCATTGGACTAGCCCCTCGTCACACAAACTTATTGAAAGGATGTGTGCCAAAATCATAACCATGTCTCTTACCCATCAAGTAATCAACTGACATAATTAGCTTCCCCTATACCAGTGAGATAAGTTTACTTCCCACTCAAGACTCAAAAGAAAATTGAACTGTTTTGCAATACTGCCTAGTGATGGCAATGGGGCGGGTATCTCAATACCCATGCCCCGCCCCATGTTAATTCGGGTCAAGACGGGTAATACCCGTACGAGTACAGGACAGGACGAGTCGAACCACTCTTACACGTTATTTGAAAAAATACACACAAAATTTTACTTTCTACGATAAAACGAAGTGGAAACCAATTTATGAATAAAAATAGTGATAATAAAATGGACAGTCGAGACTAACTAGTTGAAATATCAAGTCTAAAAGAAAATTCAAATAGGAAAAATATGAACAAATATTTTAAAAAATTGATACAAAATGGGCAAGAGCGGGACAGAGCGGAAATAGATACTCATGTCCCGCCCCACGTTAATGCTGGTAGAATAATACCTACCATATCGCGAATTAGGTCGGATAATACCTGACGGGACGGGTTCAAATTGCTATCACTAATGTTGAGATGGCAGTGGTCATCGACTCATCGTTTTAGCCATGCTTGATAATATCGATCACACTATCACAGTCATGCAATGCAAACCACAATAATTTTCCAAAGACCGGACCGCCGAAACGGTGGCGTCTCAAACGGAGTGAAAAATTGGCACGAGTATCTACCTACCGACTTACTCGATGCTGCTGCAGAAAAAGCACTGGCTGGTTCTGGTTGTTGATTATGCCTTTTCTTTTCTATCCAGGGTTCATCCGCTGGACTCCTTAAGCAGGAAAACACTAATCCACAACCTCCCAATATCGCCAAACCAGAAAAAAAGCAACAGTTTAATTAAGCAAAAGCAGCCGGAGCTCTGATCTTGACTGCCACAGCAGCACTGTAATCCAAATTGAATTCCTGACAACTCCAATTCTAAAGATGACCACCAGATCTAACATTTAATCAATCAAAAACCCCAGAAACAAAAAAGCACCAAACGAGGAGAAGGGAAGATGATGATGAAGATGAATGAACGCACAAAACCACCTTCCCCATCTCTCACTCTTTCTCATTTCAACACTAGCGCGCCATTAATCCATCACTTCCCAGTACCACTCCCTCTGCCCACCATCTCCTTGTACCTGATTATGGAGTCGACCCTCTGCAGCTTCAGCTGCTGCTTGAACTTGTTGATGAAGTCGTCCGCCTTGGCATCCACCCCGCTGTCCTCCCCTCCATCCTCATCGGCGACCAACTTCTTGCTCTTCCCTTCCTTCACCGTCGCCGGCCTCCGCGCTTCCACCACTTCCACTTCCTCGAAATGGGCGAACGCCGACCTCGTGCTAGCCGATTTCCTCATCTTCTTCGCCAGCTTCTTGGGCACTTCCCCGGCTACGGGCTTCGTGTCCGATTTCGATCTCCCCACCAGTTTGTTGCCGGTTCGCAGCTTGCTGTATATCTCGTCCAGCGTCTCTGCCGCTTCCTCCGCCTCGATCTGCTGCTCCCGGGTCGTGTAATCAACAATCTCAGCTTCTGGCTCCTCCCGCTGCGGCGTGGTTGGGATTTGGGGGGACTGGATGTAATTGTAGGGATTGAACGATTTCAGCCTCTGCAGCACGGAAGGAGATCTGGAGAGAGCCGGCACCGCCGCCTGCTGGCTTTCCTGGTGGGTTTGGTCATAGCTTCCAAAATAATGCGTAGCAGTCTCGAATACTCCCTCCGATGGAGGCTTCTCATAAGCTGCTGCTACAGTAGTATGGACTTGGGGTTCCTGAGATCTGTGGCTGTAGAAGTTGATGGACTTGAGCCTCTGCAGCATGGATGGTGACCTCCAAATCTGCTGGTGGTGGTGCTGTTTATCTTGTTGCTGATGTTGCTGCTGGTGGTGGTGGTGGTCGTCTTGATGATTGACGGCCTTCTGGGAAGCTAAGCTGGAGGTGATGGCAATGGTGCCAATCATGATGTTCAGGAAGAGGAAAAGGAGAGTGGGTGTGCACCAGCTGGTCATGGATGCCCAGATCGAAGAATGTACAGCGGATGCTACCGTTTCTTCCAACATTTCTCAGCTTCTGTTTTGGTTGGATGTGAGAGAAAAAGGGGGGCAGAAAATAGGAAAACGAGCAGAGTAAGAAAAGGGGAAGTGAAGAGTGAGGATGGAGAGAGAGAGAGAGAAAACAATGGGCTGGTGCTGCTGCCTTAATTGCGTTGTGGGTGTAGTCTAAACTCTAAAGTCTAAACCCACTTCTTAAGAAAACAGGGAATAGCCCAACGAATGGCATCACCATCGACATCAATTTGGAGGATGAAGAAGAGCGAAGGAGGAGAAGGATTGGAGGAGCCACTTACTGTTTCGTTGAGAAAGAAAGAACAGAGGATGCGAAGAAGAGTGAAAGAAAGAAAGAAAGACATGCGGTGGGGAAAAAAAGAGTCTGTTTGCCGCTTGGGAGATGGGGCGTCCACAATATTAAAAAAAAAAATTCCTCGTTAATAATCTGATTTTTCTTTGCAGGTGTTTGATGATTTTAAACCAGGGTAATAATAGCGCATTGGGATGAAAGCTAATTATTAAAAAAAATTTATTTAAAAGATATCTAATATTTTCGATTGACTCAATTTCCAGCGGGAGAGCACCACCGCTTGCTTCCAATCCGGCCCCGAAGTCGTCAATTGCGAGTGAGAGGAGACACAAAGCACCTCCTCTTGCATCTTGCAAACAATTCAAACCTGGGAGAGGTGACCTGGATGTGTTTCATATTTTGAAGGAAAAAAAAGAAGTTATATTCATAGTGTTAATTATGAAGGATGATTTAAATCATTTATGATTTTATTACTTATTTGATTCTAAAAAATGTGTCTCAAGTGATAGTACAGTAACAGGAGCTCACCGATATACCAACCTCTCTACGAGTCCACCTATAGAGATGTCATCAGGGCCGGTCGGCCGTCCAGCACAGGGTCTCCATACCTCACAAACCTTTGTACTTAGTACAAAACGTTACAAACTTTTAATTTGTAACGATATGGTAGCAAAAGTGTGAAATTGTATAAAATGGTCACTTTTATTTATTTTCTGATCGAGTCGTTACAAACTAAATGTTTGTGTCGGTTTTGAGGTAAGGTTATGTGTTCGTCAAGTATATGACTCTAACCATTTTAACGACATATAAAATGGCGGGTCGTGTGTTCATCGATATACTTGCTTTGCCGAATAAGAATGACCTATGTTGACCTTTCAATCTCGATAAAGTATACCGAGTTTTTTCAGCTAAAAGCAGCCTGAAACCCGTTTGTGACGTGGAATTTCCTCCTTATCGTCCTTTATTACGATCATAACATTCACATAAATCAACAAAACCACCATACCTCAACTGGAGCGAATTGTAACAATGATTGATTGTTCAAACCTTCGAACTTACGGTCACTAAAAGTTTAATTTATAACAATACGCTAACAAAAGTTTTGAACTTGTATGAAATGGTCAATTTGTTTAAGTTGTGATCGTTTTGTTCTAAGTACAAAGTTTTGTTATCGAATCGTTACAAATTAAAGATTTGTGATCGTTTTGGACTAAATGCAAAGATTTGTGACTGTTATGCTAATTACCCACACACTAAGGAAGAGTCTTGGAAGCTAAAAAGAAAAAAAGCTAGAAATTTTGGAGGCATGGTTGTCATGCCGGTGGATGATAACAAAGAAAAATTTGCAGAAGTTATCTTGGCAAAATTCAATCTCTAGAAGAGAAACAAAGAAAAGGCAGAAGCTTGTGATCATATCCAATCGTAAATCAAATGCGACAAAACAGATGACAGCAGTAAAGTAAACAACCGAAATGTCTGATTGCCTTCACTCAAAATTGCTTACTTAAACCAACTAAAAGCTGTTACAGGATCGCAACTTTCTGTCGGAGTCGTACTCTAGGTCATGTTATTTCATAAGCTTTCGGCATCAAGCTGTTCTTTGTTCTGTGGTTATTCGCGCAGATTTTCTTCATATGGCTTTCAACGTCTCAATAGGAATGAGAGGAGCCTGGAAGTGGCATAGAAATGTCACCGTATCATCTGAATAGCAGATGGTAGAATGCAAAACTTCCTAGGGAGAAACCCCAAGTACTCTCCATCCGACTGGACAAAAATCTTGCCACTTCCAGAGACGTCCTCGATCTCGATCGAGTGTGCCCTGCGGACATTGAAGTGCAAGCCATAACTATAGTGTCATCTGTTTACTTTACTCTAAGCATCTGCTTGGTTTGGCTGATGATCTTAAGCCCATCATGATTTGAGTTTGACTCATTATTCAGTCGATTTAAACTCGGGGAGAATAATCTAAAGCAAGTTGTAAATGATCTAAGCCAGAAACATGGTAAAAGGTATAGTAAGATGCAACAACAGAAGGTGTGAACTAACCTTCTTGAGACTACATTTGCCACAGATAAATGTGTCCCATTGTAAAGTTTATGTAGCTTCAGAATGAAGTCATACCATTTGAAGTCCTGGAGGATAACAACCTACAACCAACAGAACGGAACAAAAACCAAGAGAGAAAACCTCATTACATACACAATTACATACGAGAAGGCTAAAGTCTCCACGTTTCTTTCTTTCTGAATAGGAGTGGCCTAAGTTCAAGTTTGTAAGACAGATGAGTGCCTAGAAGAAATGGTGTCAAACCTCAAACTCTCCATTTGAAGGGTCTGCATTTGGAGTAATTTTCATGCCACCGCCAAAGTACTTTGCATTTCCAATACACAAGGCTGTCACTTGAGGGCATGCTTCCCACTCCCCTCCATTGACCTACAAGTAAAATCTTTAAGGATTAGGCTGTTGAACAGCTTCCCGAGTTGAATGCTAATAAAGTCATTAAACCAATCCACAGAACCATGAAGTGTCACTAACTGAAAATCAACAGAAGTCCAACCACATACAGCTTTAGCTAACTCACCTTGATTCTGAGGTCCTGGTTATTGTGACTCATGAAGGCTTGCAGAGCACCAATAACATAGCACAGATTTCCAAATCTCTTGTACCTTGCTGCATAGTAACCAGCCTTTGCACTCCTGGAATAAATACCATCAGTGGGAAAATTAAGGTTTCAAGAACAGTTGTTCGCATAGATCAATAAATTTCGTGGAAAAAGTTAGCCTTACAAATGAATGTCAGCAACATTAATGAAGTAGTGAGATTCTTCACTTTCACTGCCTATAGCACCAACATCAACTCGGGTTCTGAAACCTTCACAATGGCGACATCTGAAAGTTACAAACTAAGGAGGCGAGGCAAGGATACAGAACTAGGCCCTCACATGAGCTAGAAAGTAAGCACCTTTGACAATGCGATCAACTGCTTCCCGAGGATCATTGTTCCTAATAAACCAAGTGCAAAAGAGCACCTCCATCATGATCAGTTCGAATGAGAAATAAGCTAGCAGAACACTGCTACGAAGTGCAGAACAACAAGCTTCTTACCAGCCCAAAGTTCTGGCGAAATCTGAACCAGTACCCAGGGGAATGAGCTGGAAAATGATTAAATTTACGCCAGTAATTAGACCAGCATATGACCCATAACAGAATAGTTTGGTAACAGACGACAGAATGTAAACTGAACAAAAGACTGTCAAGCACCGCGACCACTTACGCCAAGGGCTGTTGAGCGTGAAGCGTCTCTTTCATGATTGGTAACAGGTTTCCCAGCCCAAAAGAAACCGTTGACCACCTGCTTATTGCAAATGTCGATAAGCAACACAAATACAGCAAAGGCTGAGTGACACTAAAATGAATATTACAAGGAAAGGAAGTTGCACCTCGTGCAAAGTACCGTCCCCGCCAACTGCAATAACAGCATCCGCACCTTCTCTTATGGCCTTTCACAGAGTTCCCAAAAGCTAACATCAGTCTCTGACTATAAAAAGTGGGACGCTAAACCATAATGAAAGCCGAGGGTTGAGAAGTCTGTGGTACCTCCCTGGTTATATCAATGGCGTGATAAGGACCGGAAGTCAAAGATTCACATATCTGGCCACAAATGGCAACAACCCAATTCAAATCATGACGAGCATAAGAAGAATAAGAAGAAAAAGAAGAACGGGGAAAGGAACTCACTTTACAATCTTTGTCAAGGCGAGACCTGAGATATGGGAGCAGTTTCTTCCACTGCTTCCCTGTCCTTCCATTAGCACCTGCATCCAATTTCATCAATTTACAACATTATGAAGGTGGGGAATCCAAAAAAGGCCTCGCATTTCTGGGGAGAATTGTTTCTTTGGCTCAAGGGTGGGGAAGAAGAGAAAATTGACCTCGGGGATTAACGACGAACACGAGTTCGCGGCGGTGCGAGGAAGAGGAGTCGCTGGCGGAGAAGAGAGAACGATCCAGGGAGAGATCAGAGGAAGTAGCCATGGAACGAGATTCAGCCCTGACCAGGAATGGGTTTGCCGCCATCGAAGAAGAAGAAGTAGAGGAACGTGGTGATAAGATTCCTCTTCCCGACGTTATCTGGAAGCAGCACAGCATCTGTTTCTCGATTCGCCCGCTATTAATTGCTAGCTGATTCACCGCCGGAACGGAAAGCAAAGCAATGAACAGATACCGACGACAAGGGGTGTCTTCCGATTCCGATTAATTACTGGCTGCGTGCGGCAAATTCCGCACCGATGAATAATCCAAATCCAAACGGGTGCCCAAGCCAAACAAACGGGATCATAAGCTACTAAGTACTAACAAGAGAATTTGACTGCGTTTGTGGACTATTTCCCAAACTAATCACCTAGAGAAGTTTTTGGGCAATCACGTTAGAATCTAGGCTCATCACTCATTACTCATTAGTGTCATCCAAATTTCAAAACAGTCATGTGACTTTTTCCTTTTTTACAAAACACTAATCGAACTGCAACAAAACAATCCTTCTCGTATATAAGGCTCTAATACCAACTATTTTGAGTTTGTAACAACTCATGGATCTTTTAAGAAGTAGAAAAATGACGACGTTCTAATTGAATTTTATTCAACCTCTCAAATTCAGACGTAATTCGAGAACTAGCATGAGTTTGTAACAACTCATGGATCTTTTAAGAAGTAGAAAAATGACGACGTTCTCATTGAATTTTATTCAACCTCTCAAATTCAGACGTAATTCGAGAACTAGCAGCAAATCCCAATGTGAATTTACTATTCAAGATCAGGTCTTCAAATTCACTCTCTCTAAGATTCCGTTCTTTCAAATTATTGGAAAACTCGTATATCTTATTACTCAGAGGATAGTTATGAAAGACAAGGTCCAACTTGTATAGGGTGACTTTATTCAACTGGCGAGATGGCATTTTTGCAATACAAATTGAGAGGCACCCTGAGCACCACGAAAGGAGGTAATGCTCAAACTTTCACATTTGATACTTCGGGGGGAATGCAATTGCGGGAAGTTTCAAGAAGTCACTTGCCTTGCTCTCATGCATATGCCGGTTCTAAAAGCGTGCACATGGACCCACTTCGATTTGTTAGTTCATACTACAAGACTCATTTGTTCGTCTTGGTTTGGGATCACTCATTCGTGCCTTTAGCTCATGAAGCTTACTGGTCCGAGTACCATGGAGCAGAGGTATTCCCTTATGAGCACTTGAAGTGCACCAAAGGCTAGAAGATTCGAAATGAGATGGATAGATTAGGGAGACCACATCGAGTTCTGAAGTGGTGCTCCTCATGCCGAGTTGAAGGGCATGACAGGTGCAACTACCCGTAACTAGAGATGACATTTGATGGTAATGTGTTTGTGTTGTAATGAATATGTAGGTGTTTTACTGTGTTTTAATGAATATTGTGATGCATTGAAATTGATTTTCAAGTTCATTAGTAGTGTTTGTTCGGCTTTTTAAATTTTTTATAAGGATTTAGGCAATGATTGCGGCCGATTGAAGTGGTCTAAGAAAAAAAAAAGACAATACACAATCAACGAACTATTGTTTAATTTTCTCCTAACAACAGCAATTAAGTTTGATCGTTGCTCTCAACCGCGAACAAATGTGTAATTCACTTCTCACAGCAACGAACAAGCTTGATCGTTGTTCAACGCCACTTTGGTCTGTCAAGCAAACCAGGGCAAAAGTCGGGTATTTTTGAAAAATTAGGTGGAACTTGATCAACATGGGGGCAAGCCTAGTGCAATCTGACTAGGTTTGAATCGACAACTAAATTGCAGCTAGACTACAAAGCTATGGGTTGGAGTTCATCCTGAATATTGGTTCAATTATCCAAATGAAGCCAAATGTGTAATAATCCATTAGTCAGGGTCTCAACTTTTGGGTGACGAGGACAAAACAAATGAAGCCAAATATGTGTCGTCCACGAAACCATTCCTCATCCTTTTTCCAAATTAGATTGGGTTAACAATTTTCCTTTTATCCCAGCCCTTACAAGTTACAGTCCTAAAACTTCTTAAGACCACATAAAACACACCACATACCCTGGCATAAAATAAAATAAAAACTTCGCTATTTGTTATGGGAATTCCATTTAAAACGATGGACATATGAGCTCTGGAATTTGGATTTCAAAGTAAACCCCTCAAACAAAAGGGTTGGTTGAAGTAAAAATCCCCCTTCCATTACATGAACTCTTTAAAATCCCTGCTCCCCGAGGAAACAGAAAACCATACGCCAAATGAACACCCGAAACCCCGAGGACTGCTTGAATACACTGCAAATTTACACATATCCATCAAGGTATCAGAGAACAGCACTACAGTTATCTGTAACCGAAGCCCATGTCCAGCTCATGACCAAACGCTCCTTGACCTTGTCCAACTGCAGCCAAAGGGTGAACCTGCTTCTGCTTCGACCTGAGTTCCATCTCAATTAACTTCTGCAGCGCCTCTGGACGATTGGTTCCACCGTCGACACCTGGAGCTGATCAGAGTAGGAAGATACCTTAAGATGTGTTTTGAATAGGGTAGACATCACAAGATACAACAATAAATCTCGAGTAGACAAGTTTCAGCTGACGACTAAAGAGGATCCTATATATAGGCATGCTTCATGTGCATTACACAGGAAATTAGCCGCTAGGTATAAGCAGTAGCTTTATTTTCTCATTTTCTGCATACCACATCTAACCATCTCAATGCATCAACTAAGGCAACAAACCCTAACAAAATTTCATGCTTTCAGATAAGGTTCCCTGTAACAGCTATGTTATGAAAAATCTCTTTCAGTGTGAAACTGAAAGCCACAACTGTTCTGCTATCAACTAAGCAAAATAGCAACGAACAGAAGGCCAAATATCTCAGAAAATAACACGACAAAGACTCACCCTGGGGTGGAATCGAGACCGCGCCTAAGTTGGTCTGCCTCTGCCCGAAAGGGAAACTTTGCATTGGATTCGCATCAGGTATAAAGCCTGACATCTGGTTGTTATGATGTGGAACAGCAGGAGCACCCCTAGGAAATCCACGTGACAGGTGAGGAAAATTGCCTCTCATGTGCATCTGTTGCAGCAACACGTTCTGAGGGGTAGGATCAAACCCAGTAAGTGTGCTGCTGCCATTAGCATGATGGAAAGGCGAAGGAAGCATGTTCCCATGATATTGATTGCTAGGAACATCACGATGAGTGATATTCTCAGGAGACATGAATCTCATCTGACCATTGATATTAATAGAGGATTGAGAATCCAATGGGTGAAACATCGATCCAGCATTATTGATTTGAGAGGGATCAAGCTGACGTCCAGATGGATTGACCCGAATATTATGATACCGAATGTCCTGTTCCCTCATATCATAAGGACTGCGACCAAAAGGTAGACCATCTTGGCCTCCTATGACAGACCTCTCATCTCTGAACGAAGAACCTAAAGCTGGAAGCTTTTCAGCAATGTCAACTGCAGTCCCTTGCGTACCCAGCACTTCAATCTTATTCGACATGTTCCTAGCATGTACAAGATCAGGTCGATTCAGAGGGTCACTAACTGCAAGCAGGCTGTTCTCCTCAGGGAGCCCAATGTCAGCACATGCATCAAGTCCACCAAGTCTGGGGACCAATTCAGACCGGATCTGTGAAGTATCTACTTTGTTGCTAGAATTGAAGGCTATGAAGTGATCCTCAATCCTGTCTGACTTAATTTGCTGATGCTGGTTTGGAGGTGGGATGCCACTTCCGAGACCTAATAAGTTGGATGTCATTCCTAAAGTAGACTGAAGTAGACCATGGCACTCGGGAATATCAACTTTAGCAATACCCGCCTTGGCCGGTTGGCTTTCAGCTGGTACTCCTACTGGCTGCAGTTCTTTCATAAAAGCGGTTCCAAAAAGAGTTTCAAGAGTCAAAGCCTTGCCCGGAGTAGCAGAATGCTCAGTATCTGACCGAATAGAGACTCCTGGAAGCCCAATACTAGGCTCTTCTACATCCTTTACATTGTCTACAGACTTGGCTCCTAGAACGGAAGAAGGAAATGCATCACTCAAACTTGTGCCCTTCTGCAATAATGAGAGAATATGCTGGGATGCATGATCATCACCCTTGGCTTTCTCTTGAAGAGTTTTCTGATCCACAACATTCCTGCCATGTTCACTAGCTGACAAAGATGAACTACTTCCAGTAATCCCAGACAGAATTGCCTGTTCGAGGTCTTCACATGTAAGTACAGCTGCAACTGGTTCCACCTTATTATCAGAGAACGGTAGAGTCTTTTCAGTATCTTCAACAGTAGGCAGCGCTGAGCTTGATATCCTATCCTTGTTTGCATGTTCACCATTTCGGATGGACAAGTCAGGCAAGATGTGATGCTTAGTTGATCTACCATCGGAAGGATGAGACAGCACTTTTTCACCACCCACAATCAAAGAAAGCAAACTGTTGGCCCCACCAGAGGAGACATCGTCGACTGGATTCTTTTCTGCAAGGACTCAGTCCAAAATGAAGCTTATAATATATAAAAGCAAAAGGCCTATTTTAGCAAGAAAAATAAACACCCTACAACTGGCAGGAAACCAAGAGACGCACAAAGGCCTGAAAACTTTGACATACCTTCTTCAAGAAACCACTGGGCAAACTTGGAAGATTGTACATCAGGCGAAATCCATGCCTCCTCCATTTTGGGATCATGTTGCTGCAGAAAGAAAATGTTAAAAGAGGCTTATCCTCCTAAAACAGGATGAGTTCAGATAGGATGTGCAAAGTGAGAGAACTATTACCTCAACAGAACTAGAAGAATCACCACCATTTAGAGCTAAAGCATTCCCAAAAAGCTTTTCCAGAATTGAGGCGGAGCTAGTTGGGCCAGATCCACCAATGAATTTACCTTTCATCACATCCTCGGGACTCAGATCTGTAACCATACTATTCTTTTGAGTTTGAAAAACTTCTAAAACTTCGGGAGGTTTATGAAATTGATTATCTTTCCCAATTAGTTTGCTAGATGCATCCACTGTTGAAGGTAAATACAATGACTTTTGCCCTTTGCTGCTATGGACAGAAACATTAATACCAAGGTTGCCAAGCCCTTGCTCGTTCACATTTAGGGGTTCTAGAGGCTGCATCTGATCTTGGTTATGTGAAACTCCAATAAACAAATTGTTCCCTTTATCGTGTGAAAGGCTGCCTTCAACTTCATTGACTACCTGCCAACCAACATAATATAGAGGTTACTGCTTGGTAAAACATTAAGCAACAACAAACTGCCAAATTTGAATTAGTACCAGGCTACCAGCACTGTGAAAATTCTCCAAGTAGGCAACAAAGATTGAGCAAAGGTCATTATCTGATCTTGAATAGAACCATTCGAATTCCATGCTAGCTTTTAGGAAAATCTTATGAGGTTGAACAGTTACAAACCAAAATCACTATTCAAAAAACAGTTGCAACTAGGAGAGTTGCCCACACCTAAATCTTCTCGGTGATGGTTATTGCAATTAAGAGTCCAAGAAGAATAGAAACTAACAGTAATCACACTTTCCCTTTCTCTGGGCCTTTCTAAATAACATTACCACTCTCCAATAATGCATAGAGTGTCTGATATAATTAACGCCCCTTACTTGAACTGCTTAGAGAAAGAAAGTCAACGAAATTTAATGAACTTTCAAGAGCACAAATGTAAAAAAGGACCTAATTTGCCAAATTCTCGGATCTAAAAAACAATTGTGGAAGAAATACCTCCAACTGAGAGTTCGCCACCGCTTTGGTTCCTGTGCTTTTCTCAGCGGCAGCATTTGAAAACCCTGGAGGCACGAGAGGTCTAGATACAGGGGCAGATGATGAGGCAGCTTTATGAGAATTATTACTTGAAACTGGTCCATCCAATTCAGTGCTTTTGTCTTGACTTCTCTTGTCATCTCTTGAATCTTCCATCAATGAAGCAAAATCGAAGTCACCTTTACCCTTTCCTGGAGTCAACTTCTGCCTTTCTTGAAAAGCTTTTTGATGTTCCTTCCTCAATAATTCAAAAGAAGCTGAACGAAACCAGAAAAAAACGGAGCTTACATTCACTTGATAGGGCGATACACGAACATGTCAAAACAAACAAAATTATCCAACCAGAAGTAAAAAGAACCTTACCTCTTCGTTTTCTTTCCTCTTCTTCCCTGTCCTCAGTTGAGCACTCAGAAGAGCCAAAAGTTTCATCATTAAATGAGTCATTGGTTTCCCGACGAGAGTGAGGACCAGCCTGAATAATAGGATGTTCAGTTTAACATCAATTGGGCGCAGCACTACACGCCGCATTTTGCTCATTTCTTTGTTATTAAAGAAATGGCTTGGAGCATATAGAGAAACTAAACAAGCTACTAGAACAAGTAGGCAGGAGAATAGCATCATGCTGCATACATACGTATATATTTACACTATACCAAATCTACCACAATTCACCTTGTAAGGGCGAGGAGGTTGATATGGTTCGTTAGCCTTGCTGGGCTCTCGCAACTTTGAAGCTGAAGAGCCTACAGCAAACCCAGGCGGCCTTGGGAAGGAACCACTTCCAAGAAGCCCGTCATGCTCAGGAACCTGCCAAGGTCGTCGAGATTGGTTGCCATAACGTCTTCCAGTATCTACACATTAACATCACCAAACTGGTCACAAAAAAACCAATTGGGAATTGTGTGAAAACAAAACTTATTCTAGTTTCCTCGACCAAGTTCTTATAATGAGAAACTAAAAGCATTCTAGTTTCCTTAACGAAGTACTTTGAAATACTTTGTCCATCAAAGACAGTGAGCATCAGTCTAACCTGATTCCTTATCAGATTGTGAATCACTGTCACGGTCACTTCTAACTGACGAGCGACTATCCCATCTTCCCTGAATCCCCCGAGAAAAATTGCTTGTCTCCCCTCGGGTTGGTGGGGATGAACCATATTCTGTTCGCTTATAACTTTGTAACGGCAAACCACCAGAGGCTCTAAACCGATCTTGTGAAGTATCCTCAAATTCACTGAGAATAAAGTATTGAGCAAGGAAAAGGTGAGGTGATGATACCTCTGAACATATAAGGAGTGAAATCAAAACTCTTTCTTCATAGCATATAAAATCCCAATTTACAGAATATCAAGAACCACCCCCATGCTACTGATGCATAAATTACCTCAAAAGTGATTGGTCAAACCCACTCGGCAGCCGCTTGCAAACATCCAAGTCGCTAAGAGATAGCAGAAATTCTCTAGTGTACAACAATTTTGACCTGGACATTAAAAAACAATTTGAGTTAAAAGTCAGACCTCGATGCTGAGTTATGAAATCAATGGAAAGAGACAATGAGAAACAGAGGATGCCAGGAAGAGAGTTCATTACTTTTGAGATTTTGTGCAAGCTTCCTCATGCAGATCCGGGCCATTTCGTTCTTCATTCACTATACTCATTGTGCTCAAATTCAGCTATCGAAACAATACCGGTCGACAGGGAGTTCTTCTTAACCTCACAACCAACTGCTAGCCAAGCCAGGTCTCGAATAAGACAATCAGACTTATCCCATGCCTAGATGTAGCGTCTAGATTATCCAACTCAACCTAATCACTTCCATCTCCATTCTTAAAACAGCATGCCTATCTAACACTGTCCTCAAGTCAGCTCTAAGTCCAATTATTTACAGGAATTGAAACACTAACTTCGCTCAACCACCACGGGCAATCGGATTCGAAAGGGGGAAAAGAGAATCAGCTTCCCTGCTCTAAAGATGACAAATCCGAGCTGATCTCAGGAAAATCTAGCCCTCCGATCAATCCAAATCGTTAGCAATTCTCGATACAAACAAAGCCTATCTACAAAACACCTTAATCCTCACAAGGATAAGGCCATCGGGTATTGCACAAATGCAGATATATACAAACAATCACCAGCTCTTATCAAATGAAACTCGAATCTGGCTTCCTACGCCATCCAAGCCGCTCGATTATCGGAGGCAATTTGACGAATTCCGGGCGTGAGAGAATTGGGGAAAACGGGAAGTACAGAACGAGAGATCAGAAGCAAGAAAATTTCTAGGGTTTTTGTGATGTAATCTACAAAACTTGTAAGTCACCACCGATGGCAAAGAGAAGCACAGAAACCGGGAGACTGAATATTAGGGTTTCAATATCCAACCTCAAAGCTCTTTTTTTCTGGATCGAAGAGGGCGTGTTGCGGAGAGAGGGAGAGCGACGATGAGCAGAGAAATGCAGAAATGACGCTGGAAAAAAGACACTAAACAGAATTTAGATTCAATAACGAAGGATTTCTTTTTTCTACCGGCTCCTCTACAGCCGAAACTGGCGCGTGTTTTGCACGCTGTTATCTAATTGGAACCTTCATTTGTCTTATGGGTCCTTTGGAAGTTACGATTCTAGATAAATGATTTTTTGAATTCATGTATTCTGCAGAATCCATTATTTTTTTGTTCCAAAACTTTATTCAATACATACATTTGAGGCGGACCTTCAAATCTCATATCACCCACAATCACTCTTTTTAAATCTCAACAAAAAGCTGAGATTCTTCCTTTGAGATTGTGGGATTTAATTTGTTCCACTTTTAGCTCATGAAATCACATTTAAAAAAAAAATTGAATGGCTACAAACAAATTAGACATTCTTCCAATCATCTAATTATTACAATCTTTTTATTTATAACACATGTATTCATCAAATACACATATTTAAAGAATCTCAAATTCCAAACGATCCTTTAGATCAAAAGCGAATGCGATTCTATCTCCTAGATTCGCCCAAATTCCCATTTAGTCTTCAGGTGGGTTTGGGAGTGGATTGGAGTCTGGTCGGCTGGTTAGGGTGGTTTGAATTGTTTATTTTTATTATTCTTTTGAGTGACGTTTACAACTAACTCGACTAAACTAATGATTTTTGGGATGGAATAGGATGGAATGACCATTTTGGTATTCATCCAAAGGTGTTTTACTCAAACGTGCAAAATTGAAGTTGTATGACCGTTTTGTACTAAAGGACAAGGTATGTGACCGTTTATGATAACTACCCCTATTCTCTCATCTGTGTTACCATTAGGGGTGGCTATACGGTCCGGGCCGGTTAAACTGGTCTGGATTGACCCGGTCCCAGTCCGATATTTTTTGAAATATTGGGAACAAAGATTGGATTGTGTACAATCTGATTTTGACACGGCCCGATTTTGATTCGGTCCGGTCCCAATCCAATTTTGACATGTTTTCAATGGAGGGCGACGAGATGTGGATGGAGATGACAACCTGGGATGGAGGGCGACAAGTTGTGGACGAGATGTTGGTCGGCGATCGCGGGGTCACAGACTCACGGTTGCTGGTGGAGCGAAACGACCTGTGACGGGGCAGAGGGAGCTGAGGTCGGTGTCGCGATCGCTGTGTTTGATTTGGGGTCGGCGTTGCGTCACGTCGCGGTGCTGGGTTGGAGCGGAGGTGGGTCGAAGCGGCAATGGATCAAAGTGGAGGTAGGCCGGAGCGATCGCCGTTCGAAGCGGGTGATAGGGTTGGGGATTCGGACTTCCGCAACTCTAATTGCGATGGGAGGCGTCGCGTTGGAAATGAGATAGGAGAGGGAGAGTAGGGATGGCAACAAAACCCGAACCCACGGGTACCCACCCGACCCAACCTGGTAAACGCGGGTAAAATCCGTGTTGACGGGTTTTGGGCCGGGTTTGGGTTTAAACCCGTTCACTATTCACCGGGTAGGGTTGGGTTTGGGTTTAGGTAAACCCGACCGATGGGTACCGGTCCACACCCATATAATTAATTTTCTATGTATATTTAATATTCTAAACAACTAATCTTATTTATGTTTGTGGAGATATGTCTAATTTTTTCTTTCTAATTGTGTAGAATGAAGTTGATGTTATCGAGTGGAGAGTGAATAAACTTAATTGAAAGGAAGAAGCTTTCAATTAATCATGTTATTTATGGATAATTTATGATTTGCTTCAATTTTTTTGAGTTTTCTAGACTGCGTTGAACAATTTGTATATGTAATTTGTGATTTGCTTGAATTTTCTAGAATGGTGTTTTAAATGTGGATAATTTGTATTGAGAGCTTGATATTTGACATTAATTTTGATAGGAACTTGTTATTGTAAATTTTTTACAACAAAAACCCGTGGGTAGCCATGAACCCGCGGATACCCAGCGGGTCGGGTTGGGTTTGAGGTTTTCAAACCCAGTGGGTTTTACCCTGGGTTTTTTTCACAAATAAACCCACGGGTTTGAGTTTGGGTTTGGCAAAACCCGACCCAACCCGACCCATTGCCATCCTTAACGGAGAGTGCTAGTCCAAGTCTGCAACCCTACATCAGTCATCACTCATCATAGAGCGGGCTTCCCTCGCTTGGACCGCTGAGGGTAAGGGGCAGTGGGCTTGCCTAGGTCCTGGTGGACTTTTTGTCTTTGGGTCTGGACGGGTTTTGTTTCTTAGTTTGTTTTTCAATTATCCGATCTTCCAGTTTTAATACAATTTTAACACTGATTGAATTGGTCCGAGTTTTTTTTAATAATTATGGGACCAAAGACAAGATTGAATTATTTTACATTCGATTCCAATCATAAACAGTCCGTATTATACGGTCCGGTTTCCGGTTTTACATCCGGTCTTGGACTAAATAGCCGGCCCTATTTACCATTGAAGCGCATAGGGCGTACCGACAGAGATTGCTACTGTCCAGAGGCAGCACGGACGCCGAAAATGTATTACGTCCTGCACCTTAGAAATTTGCACTCGCAAACACTTGTCGAAGCACACGACAATGGGAAGATACGAGTCACTTAATGTTATGCCGGCGTAAATCGGATGGAGGGAAGAATTATCATCGGACAACAAACATGAATAACTAAGGGGTTGTACTTCTCTCTAATATTTGGGAAACTAACGAGCAAAGTAAGCCCCAAACCATTGGTTTATGCAGGCACCGGCAAGCACACTAACTTGAAGGCGCACTAGGCGCAACCTCCTGCAGGAGACACTTCTGGGCTCAAAACAAAAATATTACACAGCAACAGCAATTTACTCGGCACACGAATCTCAACAGGTCAAAAACCCTACACCAAAACATGGAAGGAAGCCTCTGTCGATGCAAGTAAAAGTATCCCGGCAAGTTTGCCAGGTACTACCCAAGAAGAGCAGAGCTGTAACTATGTACAAACGAGATTGCAGGAGTTGCATATTTACCAAACATAAAAGATCTTCGGAAACCACCAACGGCGAGCCATATGATCGGTCGGTCCTCCACACAATGTTCACGTCCATTTCACTTCGGTCCGGTGGCATCACGAGCTGGGGCAACAGATCCACAGGGGGAACTGAGTCATTCTCTAGTAACAGTTCAGTCCCCATCCCCAGACAACCAAAGGTTTGTGGCAGACCTTCATTTACTTCTCATTTCAGACTGCCGGAATTGCACTCCCCGGTGTATCAGGCGTTGTATTACCATAAGGGCTTCCTCTTTCTGTAGCTGGATCGTGCGATGCCAGTACTTCTCTCTGTTTTGATATGATGCACGAACAGTGTATAGCCGTTATCAGAGAGTGCAAAATTTTAATAACAGATGCAATATGATCACGGAAATATGCGACAAAACGTGATAAAGTACTTACATGATCCTCAAAATCAGGACTTGCCAAGTTGAAGGACAGGTTCTTCATTAACAACATCACCTGGAAGAGATCCAAATCGACAATCCGAGTTAGCAAGTGCTTCTATTTACTCCCACAAAAAGAACAGCAAAATATATAGATGGAGGAAACAAAAGGACGTACAGTTTCGAGATTTATAGGATCCATCTGCTTCAATTTCTCAACGTGGCCACCCACACTAGGATCAAAAACACTCCCAATAAAGCTGTACACTTGAGCAAAGTCCGGCATCACTGCATTTGTTCACAGAACAACCAAATCAGTTTTGGAAACTTGTGACGCTAACAAAAGGTCAGTCGAAAGCAGCAGCTTTTGATCGACTGCTACTGCAGGTAAACAAAGTCGAATAGAATGTAAAGATAAGCCAAGGAAATGCAAGTGAAATCGCAGCGAGGCGATTTCGGTGCAATGCAGAGTCAGGAGAAGAGAGAAGAAGCCCCTCCTAACATTCTCTACAATTAATTAGGCACCAAGAACCAAGGGAAAAAAGATAAATCCTAAAATAACTCTGCAGAGACAACGAGGTGGAAGAAAAAAGTAGTAGGCGCGATGTCTTCAGCAGAACGCCTCTGATATTCCCCTTTGTTGCTTTGTATGCTTAAGAATGTACCCAGTAAAACATAATACCATACTTTACGCTTGTACCACAGGTTCAAGCAAGCACAGTGAGACAAACCTCTAACTGCCTTATTCTGATCTTCTCTGTGCACTATTTGGCGAGGTGGCCATGTCCTTGGCGTACTTTCATTGTTACTACTATAGCAACAGGTACTTGCAGTCGCTGTTCCAACTACCCCTGTATCGTCTTCGTGCGAAAAAAGATTAAATTTAGCATGCACAGGCCACTAGCATCGCAGAATGGAATCTAAAAAAGCACCAAGTACCAAAAGTGAGAGAAAGAACGCACAAAGAAGCACGGGAATATGAGTAAATGATACCTTGAGCTACTTGTGGCATAGAGTAATAGTTCCAAGAAGATAAAGCTCCACCAGACATGGGACTTCCAAGAACCGAAGACGAGTCTGGCCTGTAAATGTATCCATTTTCAATGGAAGCGGGGAAAAGACCAGCGAGTTGGGGAACAACAGGAGCTGCATAAGTGTCGGAAACAAAGTGTTATCACTCAGCCATCGAGCAGTAACAGTTTTAAACAATATAAGGAACCATGTTTCGAATACTTGCCAATTTTAGGAGCCTTCTGCGGGTAAGGATGAGATGCCTTTCTTTTCGGTCGCGGTGGAGGTACATGCTCGCTTGTGCCACTCTTCTGAACCTTCAGAAAGTACTTCTGCGCATGGCTACGTATCTGACAACAAATAACCGCTAGACTTGATGCAAACAATAGGAAGTAAACCAACCATAATGGAACAACCAATCTGAAATCAGCATAACATCACATAGAAGGCTGAGCTGTGAGCTATCAAGAGAACCGATGCAAACGGAATGGTCGATTGCCATCATTCAAGAAATTAATTCACCTGAATCACTGTCTTCGACCCAACAAAGGCCTCAATTCTCTTCCAATCGCGATCAAATCTGTAACAGCAATCCATGAAAAAGGATGTCAGAAGCATTAGACCCGAAAATTCTTCTGGGGAAAGAATTCGCAGCCACTTGCTAGATGCTTAGGGTCAACTAAAGCTAAAGTTCAGCTACAGAGAGAATGAATATGATGCTTATGGCGATAACCTAATGGTTGCCAACTACGGCGAACGTTGGTATCAGAGGAAGTACATCAAAGATTGAAATTGCAGAACCTAGCCAGGAATCAACAAACAATCCAAGTAACTATGATAATCAGGCAAGGCAGAAATAATCAGATTCGCCTATCCTAGAGCTCGTCAGTTCAGAGAACTAGTAAGTAATGATTACATCAACTACCAAAAACAGGGGATGAAAGAGAACGAAATTGAAAAATGAAAAAAAAAATGATTTGGCGGCGTGATTCCACAATCCACATCAAAATTTCCATTTCTTCGAATACAAAATCAGAGAAAGCAAGAGGCGAGAATAGAGCAGGAAATCGCCAGTAAGAATCACAGGGATGGGGAAATTTCCAAACTTACAGCTGCAGAGCTTCTAGAAACTTGTCGTGCTCCTGTTCGGTCCAGCTCTCCCTCGACTTGGTAATCGTGTACGGCTTCCTAATCTTCTTGCTAGGATCGTCACCGAAGGACAGAGTGCTGGCGGACGTGCTGGTGATTGGCGCCGCCGCCGTCGCCGCGGAGGATGACGGCGGAACCGAAGGAGGACCGGGAACGCCAGAATTGACGGGATTATTCATCGAATCGAAGACGGAAGAAGAAGCCGGAGTACGGATTCAGACTCGAGAATCAGAGATTACAGACGCGGCGCGCGCCTTTTTTTTTCTTCCTTCCTCCTCTGCTTTTGCTGTGTGGCGGTTAGGTTTTTTCGCTTTTAGTACGTTTTGAAGTTTGTGGCTGTGTGCGCTCTGCTTTGTTGGGAGGGAGTTGCAAATTGCAAGTCAGACAATGAACAGGGAGGTAGAGGGGAATGTGTGGCGTAAATTTATAGAGTGGGGGAGAAGAGAGAGAAAATTGGATGGAGGACGGAATTTACCGTATCTACAATTATTTGGGCCGGACACGTGTCCCCCGAGCCGTTGTGTGCGTGTACTGTTTGCTTCCTGTCCGGCTTGGGCCCAATGGGAGTCACCACTCAGGCACTCACCACCTGTTGTGCAAGTGGCATTTCCGGTCTGGCCAGACGCCAACTTTTCCGTTTACCGGCAACTTTAAATGGAAAACTGGTGAGATTGTCGATAAATTGGGCGTCAATGATAACATCAATGTGGTGTTGCTGTTGGGCAGATAGGCCCACTGAAAACGCTGGACGCTGGCCCAATACACTAAGCTTACTGAAGACCCAAGTCGGCCCGATCAATTAACCAATCGATTTCCAAAGAGGGAACGTCCAAAGTCTTGGCAGTAAAGGAATGGCAACGGATTGAGTCGGACGAATAGTGCAAATTCATTATCTTATCCAAATGAATTCGAATCTTATCTATTTCCATATCCACATAAGAACTGGGTATAAAATCAAGTTTCATGTATTCATGGGTAATAAATTTTTTATTATAACTTCAACGGGTAAATGACACATTTGGTCACTGAGATTACTAAATCGTGTCATATTTGGTCACTAGAAAAATTTAATATCAATTTTGGTCACTCGAATTACTGACACAGGTCACATTTGGTCACTCTTCTGTAGCCTCTGTCTAACTCCGGTCACTCGAATTATTGAAAAATGTCACATTTAGTCACTCGGATTACTGAAACATGTCACATTTAGTCACTCGGATTACTGAAACATGTCACATTTAGTCACTCTCCCAAAAGTTTTCGTCCAACTACATTAATGGAGTTGGACGGAAACTGACGGGAGAGTGACTAAATTTGACCAGTTTCGGTAATTCGAGTGACCAAAATTGATATTAATTTTTTCTAGTGACTATACATGACACAATTTAGTAATCTCAGTGACCAAATGTGTCATTTACCCTAACTTCAACAAATATGTTAACTTATATTAACATTACATAAGTAAAAAGTGTAAGAGAGTGGTATAAGATCGAACATAACCTTCTACCAATAACTTGAGTTATTGGACCAACTGATTTATTACATGATATCAGAGCAAGATCTCAACACAATCCCAACAAGAAAATGAAAGACAGCCTCTCGTAAACCAAGGCACTTTCATTCATCAAGAGATCACAAAGCAAAACCCAAATCATCATCAAGTCCATACAAATACTGTTGACATGTCAAAAAAACAAGGACAACACAATCCCAACAAGAAAATGAAAAAGGTAGTAAAGGCAAGAAGATAGGGAGACTGACTAAAAAGCAGCACATGTCAACACGGAAGAAGATAGGGAGAAATTGATTTACACAAATGTTTCCGACCAACTACAGATGCGTGTTAAAAACCAAAATTTGCAGAATGAAGTTTGACAAGAGTACTCAACTCTGTTGTTTATGGCCTAATCTAGCCAGCGAGTAACTCCATCTTCTTCTCCTACGGCTGCAAGAATCTCAACACGTACATCCAAAACAGCCTGCAGTTTTTGACAACAAGAGAAAAAAACAATCACTTTCACCACCTTAGTCTTATTTTACGCTTTCTGCTTTACATAAATATAATGACAGTAGTGGTTGAGAAGGAGCAAGAGCACAGCTCATCACGATCATGATTAACACTACTTAAAAGACACATAGTTGTAGAAGCGATGATAACATGCACTTGCCAGAAATATTATCACAGAACGGGCAGGATTTGTATAACGCATGTCATCCACAGGAAAAGGAGAACATCAAGGAAAGGGCGAAGAGAGATAAACTTACCAAAGGATTTCTACAGTTAACCAGCCTACATTCTTCCAATGATCCTTCCATCATCCAACTCTCCCAGACATCAAAGCTATGACTTGCAAATACAAACTCCATCCTTCTGTTTATCTGCATTCCCAAACTTTAGACTTAGTCTCCAATAAAAATGTGAGTATCACACATTCGCACTACTCCGTGCTCCAGCCACCATGTAATGATGCCAGGTGAGACTACACGAGCAGTTACCACCCAGTAAAGTATGTCATGCCTTGTGGAGATAAAGAATTAGCAAAAAGATGCAGACACTAACGAGTATGATAAAACCTTCTTTCTATAAAAATTCCTAAACTGGGATATCCAACTTGGTTCTGATGCAGATACCTATTGCTCTAAAGTGCGAACTCACACAGCAATAACATTTACACTTCCACCAAGCCTTCACTAATACGGAGTTAGCCGATTCCTTATGTACTATATAGGGAAAGTCATTGCTTATTACTGGCAGCCATATGAGAGAGCATCGAGGGAAACAAAGTATATTTCTCCAATCAGGCTACACAAGGATCTGCTTCAACCACCAATGACAATGATATAAGTGTGTTCTGCTCAAACACATTTCAAGAACAATATCACTTAATGTAAAGATAGTCAACAGATGCAGAGTAGCACTTGAACACATATTCTAATAGTTTGATCATTATATGTGAAAAGTACCTGCAACAGCTTTCCGCCTGCAGCAAAAGATCGCAACCCCATTGTGTCCTGAAGCAATAAATCAATGTTATTTAAGTAAACTCAAATCCTGTAGCAAAACCGAGGGAAGCATGGCCAGGAGATAAACAAGTTGAATTTTCTGCTGAACAAACCTTGTTTCTGTAAACAACAAGGAACTGCGCAGCAGGATCTCTTTTGGTGACAGATGACATGGCATCCAAAAACCAACCTCCTCCTTTAACTCTTTGCCTAGACACATGGAGTGCTGGTCTGTCTCTTGCGTATAGAGCTATAACACATCCATCTTTCAGCAGCTCACATGACCTAACATTGCCCTGCTGCCTGCTTGAGCTTAAAAACTGATCAGAAGAAGAGGGCTCTTGTATGGTAGCCTCTATAGGTGTTTTCCTGCTTCTGGAGTCTTCAGGTGAAGCAAAACGTGACCCAGAACTCAGCACTTGGTCGGTGCCACTCAGTGCGGTATCATCTTCTTGATGTGAAGTACTTTCTTTCTCCAATTGGGATGGATCACTTGACTTCTGCTGTGCCTTTGCGCGGCCATGTCTCTTTTTAGCCTTTTTACCTGATCTGCTGCGCCTCCCTTCAGACCTTGTGTTTGTATTTTGAGACGACAAGCCGGAAACCTGAGCTAGAACAGGAGATTCGGTTGACTGATGATCTACAGCTCTTTTATGGCCACTATCTGGACTCAACTTAACTTCATCAGTCATACGCACAGAACTTTCTCCATCTTCTTTGTGGAACATTTCACTGTCTTCGCCACCTAATTCACTTGCATCCTCCTCTTCAACATCAGAGGTTGCATCCTTTGGAATAACTCCATCAAAGAAAAACGACTGCAATATAGAAATTGTTTTCTCCCGTATCTCCATCCACACTTCTTCACTGTAATCTGCACTGCGAGGAAGTATCAATACGTTGGGCATCTCTTTTACCTGAAGCAAATGTTAGAAAATATAGATCAGAAGGCTATGATATGTTTCCATGTTAGTGAAATACTGCCTACAGCAGTACAATGAAATGAACCTAGCTAAAACAGACAACTTTAGGCCACACTTAAACCCTGAATTGCCACAACTCAAAAGCTTCCTGAAACCAAAAACCTTAGTGACGAATCCAAGCAAACCACTGCTCTCTTCAGATGGACTTAATAGGGTTTTGGCTTCAAATTTAAACCCAATATCAGGCTTGCTTATGACTTCTACAACTTTCAAACAGAAAAATGTTACAGCTCTCTGGCACCGTGAGAAATAGGAGGTAATTAAACCCACAATATTACAGCTCCTGCAATTTTGGTTGATCTCAGTCTGATATTACAATTCAGTTAAGAGTCGTTAGAAGAATCCAAAATTTGGAGAAGGATGGGAGACCAATATATCAAGAACCCATACATACCCATGCTTCCATCCACTGTGGTCCTTCATAACCATCCAAAGCACACCCAGCTAATGTCCCATCGATCAGAAGCTGCTTCAAAGCACAGTCATCCAGTAGCTGACTGCTGCCTGTATTCACAAGAAATGCCCCTGTATCCAACAAAAAGACAACCTTATAATCCACAGCCAACAAATCAGACGAAAGCTACATTAGTTCTTTAAAGGAGGAAAATGTATTACCAGGCTTTACATGCTGCAAACACTCTGCATTCATTATCTGAACTGTCTCATTTGTCAAAGCACAATGAAGAGAGATAAGGTCACTAGCGGCTAGCAAATCATTAAGAGTATCCATTCTTCGAGCAGCTGACGGAAAGCTGATAGGAGACCTACTGACTTGTCCATTCCCCTGCATACATGCACACAAGTTGAAAGTTACTCGCTGAAAAGATCCAATTGCAAATCCCTTTGCAGCAGAATCAAAGAAAAGCAATGAAGAAGACGATGTTTCTTAAAGGAGAGACCAAGATAACATAACAATTGCTCTGTTTCATGCTTTCCCCAGTTCCAGGCTCATGAAAAATGAGAAAGAGAAACGAGCTATAGAATCACAGAACTGAGCACATAATGTATACCTCACATTCCAGTTTAACGGGACTAAAAATTAACAGCAGTTCGCATCAATCAATATATACTCTAATAGTTTACGGTCTATGGTTTCCCCAGACCAATGTGTAGAGAAATTCATGAAGCAACTGAGTTCTTCATCTGCATTATGCACAGCAAATTCACCAAAGCACCAATTGAGGAACTAAACAACAGATCTTCTTGACAACAACAAGAATCTTGCCATTACTCCTCAGCTGAGGATTAATCAATTTTAGTTGGATTTTACCAACGTAAATATATTGTCAAAACATTTTCACTACAAATAAAACTAGCTTTTGATGATTTACATGTACGATCAATTCACCTGAAAGACCCTTTTTTTTTTTTTTTTTGTTAAAAGAACATGCTTTCTTCATTTCCTCAAGTCCCCTTGAAGGATTATCTGGAGTATGAATCCTCAAAACACACACATTGAACCAAATCAACTACCTGCCGAACCTCGCTAAGATCGAACATTGCGCACCTGGTAAACATCGAAATAAAGAACGCTCATCTTGAACGCCAAGCTCCGACTGGCCAGAGCTCTTGCAGACGCAGATCTACCGACGATCCCCAAAACAAGCCCTCTGCACCTCCTCATACCTCTACAAAGCGGCTGTACGGACCCCAGCCAACCCGAAGCAGACAAGGCATGGCGAGAAAGCAAGTGAGTCCGGCGGAGCAATCCGAGGAACAGAGCCATCACAGAGTCCGCGATCTCCTCGGCCCGGGAGGTGTCCACGTGGACGAGGCGGAGCCCTAGGTCGGCGGCAAGAGCAGAGTCCACGGCGCGGTCAGCGGAGCCAAGGCAGAGGACGAGCTGGTAGGGGCGGAGACGCCGCTGAGCCGCTCGCGGCAAGTAAGCCAGGGAATGGAGGAGGACGGCGGAGGCCGATTCGATCTTGCCATCGGCCAGGCGGCTGAGCGGGACGTGCTCGACGGTGGCGACCCCGGAGAGGGAGTCCTGCTCAATGGCGCAATCGTCGATGCAGTTGAGAGTGACCACTAGAGGGAGCGGCGATGGCGCGGGATTGTTGCGGTGGGACATGGTTATTGCCCCGGAGGATCTGGAGTTAGCAGCCATTTGCCCTTCTCTGCTCTCACGGCCTCCGACGGAGATGGCGATCGCGGCGGTTTGGGACAGTTGGGCGGGAGATGGTTGCGGTGGTTAGGGTTTAATGTTGAGCAGAAATTGGGCATTTCTCGGCGGGTTTTGGGCGGAAAGGCACATTTTTTTCCCCCTGAGTTGCTGACTGAGTTGAGTTGAAGCGGGTTGGTTGGTTGGGTTCGTGAAGTGCAAAATCTAAAGAGTGAGTGATGAATCTGATGACGATGTGCTTGTCTTCTCTCTTTCTCTTTGTTTAATTCAGCTGCGGGAAAAGGTTAAAATGTCCAGATCCATATCTCTCTTCGCCTCTTCACTTCTTGTTTCTTACGTGTACTATTAGAGGTTGTTTGCCGGGTGTGTTGTTCAAAATACAAATTGTCAAGAGTAGATATATTTTTACTTTTTCACTACAACTATATAACATAGCATGCATCAATATTATAGTAATTCGTAACAATACAACTATTTAACATAGCAACTTCCAAATGACCCCATAATTTCTAAATAATTTATCCATGATTTGAACGTAATATTTTCATTACGGGTTGATTTTGACATAATAGTATAGGGTTATAGGTATAATATGTCCCTCTATTATGCAGTTTTATCATACATGTCTTTCTATTGTTTTTTACATCAAACATGCCCATGTACTTTGAAAAAATGATCAAACATGCCCTTCTTTTAAAATTTATAGTGAAAAAATCGCCAACCATTATTGAACCGAGATTTGTGTAGTAAACAATTTCTCGTGATTTCGTTAGTATTTTTCTTACAAACATTGTTCTTTGTCAACGACTTTTAGTATCAATAACTCTAGTTGTTGAGATTTGAGAGAGGTTCAATAATATAGTACAATCACATGAAATTTTGAAACCACTCTAGATTCAAAAATCTAAACAACAAAGGTGTTCTAGCCACTTATGTTTCCTTTCCCATTTCCCACGACTTCATCCAATACAAAGCAGGAAAAAAAATATAATAATTATACACCATTGCAGGTTTCCAAACAAATGAATCGAATGTTAGATTATAGCAAAAAGCAGGAGTTCGTTTTTACAAGGAAAACCTAAAACTGCCACGCTTTCTGGAAAAGGAGCCCAAAATCAAGAAAAAAGGGTAAATAAATACAAAGCCAGATTGGGAGGAAAAACAGAAGGGTGACAACAACACCACAAATATTCTACAAGACTCAAAAGAAGTAGCTACGTATGTGAAGCAAAGTCGCTTCTGCACGAACACTCGAGCCAACTATATCATGTTCAGTTCTTCCAGTTCCAGGTGCATTGAGTGATCAGAACTCTACTGCTCTCAAATGGTGCAGACTGCAGACGAAACCTGCATTCACACCTCTCACCAATGGAAAAGTTCAGCAAGTAGCAGCAGGGTCACAGCATGGAGATCCTTCTTGACTAGCATTCGAGCTTCCTCATTGAGGAAGAATAGGACACTCTACTGAAGAGAAAAATACTGTACAGCAACTCCCATTATATCTACCAAAACTCTGCATTCTTGTGACATAAACCTTCTTCCTCTTATTTCACTCTCCACAAATCTCAAGGTACCCGACAGAAAGTTATATCCAGTTCTGCAAGATAACCTTCTGTTTATTCATCCGGAATTTGACTTCACTTGTTTAATCAAATGGGGAAGCAAATGCGCTCAGAAGAACCTCCGCCTAAAGTTCCTGGTAGTTGCTTGGTACGAACGCATCAGCAGTCCAACCCCAATTCCCATCCCAACACACATGCCAAGGCCAATCCCAACACCAACTCGAACACCAGCATTAAACCAAGAGAGCTGGCCATCCTCACCATAATACATGTCCTGATCAGGGTAGTATCTGGTTCCAATTTTCATGTCTGGTTCATAGTCTTCTTCATCTTCTGATCCGCTACTCTGCACAAGGAAATGATACATCTGTCAGCATTCCATTGCCTGCTATACTGAATATCATCATCACCATCTGCCAAGGTGGACACTGCAATAACTATAGCAAAACGTATGGGTTTAAACGTCTACGATATCAACAACTGACAAAACATGGGTCAAAAACCCAATCTTGAGCACAGAGAAGTTGCAGCCATGGTCGATTCACGTTCTATTCAACCATTCAAGAATGTGCATGGAGGCACAAAACGAATTTGGGCAAGGGGGTAATGATGATCTACAAGAACCCTGTGGAACCTTAATTACCCTGTAACCTATCAAATTTACCGAACAGCGACGCACGCACACTCCCTACCATCTACTTTAATCCTCTCTACATCTGCACGCATACTACAAAATCCATCATTCATCACTATGGGAACCCATTTGAATTTGGTCTTTTATCATTTCATGAGGCAAATTCATCAAGTGAACAAGTGGATGGAACAAACAAAGGAAATGCAGGTTCCGAAACCGAAGTTCACTGATCGAGGAAGCCATTGTAATCCATGTTTAGTTCCAATGGAGAGTAACAATTCAGACTTTAGGAGCTTTGCAAGCCAACACAATCACAGAATTTGCAACTTACAGCAGCAAATACGGAATCCACGATAGAGAGAATTCGATCCTAAATGGCCTAAAATGATACGGGGGACTAATTCAAATTTCAAAGCAAGGTCTCAATTCAATATGAAAGAAGACACTAATGACTCCAGAGGGGAGAAGAAGGATTGAATTCAATACCGGGACTTTGCGGAGGCCAGGCGACAAGGGATTACTACCGCCGTCAATCCGCTCATTCTCCCCCTCCTCCTCCTCCTTCTCCATCTCTTCATCTTCCGGAATGGCATCCAGAGCGGCGTGCCTGGACACCTTCTTCCTCGGGCTGACCATAATCGTCTTGGTTAAAATAACCGGCACACCGCCACAGCAGCCGGCGATGTAAACCTCGATTGCCGGAGCCGACACCCCCATCCGCGGCTGGAAGAACAGCGAGCTCCCTTCCCCGACGGAAGCCGCGACGTAGCACTCCATGCTCCACCCGGTCTTGGAATCGTTCTCCGTGCCGACGGCGCCGTTCCCCCAGGCCGACTCCATCCTCTCGAAGGAGCCGCAGAGGAGGAGCTCGGCGTTCTCCAGGACCTCGAACTCCAGCGCCCCCGTGACGCGGACGGTGTCCGTGCTGACGTAGGTGACCTCGGAGGACTCCTTGTTGAGGCGGTCCCGGCGGAGGTTGACGCAGGCGGAATCGACGGCGGGGATCCTGGAGCCGTTGATCTCGAGCGGGGTGCTGCTCTCGCGGCGGAGATGGCGGAGGGTGAGGTGGCCGGGGACGGTGTCGGTGACGCAAGGGGTGATCCGGACGTAGAAGAGCCGGATTTCGAGCCACGAGGAGCTGGAGATGATGCTGTAGGAGTTGGATTCGTGCTCCTGGTGACCCATCTGGGTTTTCTTCCGATGAGGAAAAACAAAGTGGCGACGATTCCGATTGGGCGAAGAGGGAAACGGGAAGAGAAGAAAACAGGAATGGCTACTATGGACGGATTTACAGATATGGGCAGAACGAATTTCTCAATTGGGGAAGGAGATGAGAAATCAGGGAAGCGGTAGTTAGTTGTTGGATGGAATTTGGGCGATCGGAAAACTCTCGTCTTCTTTCTTTCTTCGTTTTCTGTTCTTCCTTTTTTTTTTTTTTTGGCTATTGGAATTGAAAGAAATTTCAACGAGGAAGGTTTTTAATTAATTAAATTACAATCTAATTAGAAACAGGCGGCTCGGAATCAGGTTGTAATAATAAGAAGAAGAGTCTAAATTTGGGGTTAGGGTTTTGGGGATCGTAAGAAAAGAGGGATGCTGTTGAAGATATTTTTAGGTTGCTGACTAAAGAACAAACCAACCCAAAAACAAGACCCGCGAACCACGTCAAAACAGGCGCGAGATTAATGATAATTAGCTTGTAGCCGGCCCAAAGTATTTAATTAGATTAAATTATATTTTTTAGAAAATTTGAGATTTTTATTGATTCCAAGTATTCATTCATATAGTGAAAATTTTATACAATCCGATTACAATTAATTAACATGGATTTCATAGTCATAATTATCGGCTCATTGTCTATAATACAAATTTATACTTAGTTTAGATTGTTGGTTTTAGTTAAGATTTGTGTATTTGGTTCCCTTAGACGGATTACGAGAACATATATTCAGGTTTCGTTCCCCAACTAAGCGATGCCTGTCACGTATGTAAAAAAGTGGGGGCATTGGAAGTACAACTATCCCAGAAAGAGAGGGCATCATAAGAATCAAGGTTCGGTTGCCGTGGCAGAAGTGGACAACAGTTCATAAGATGATCTCGCCTTGGTTGTAGACGAGAAGGCACATCACAACGATATGTGGTTTCTAGATACTGCAACCTCATATTATATGTCTTCGAATAGGGATTGATTCTCAACCTATTAGCAAATAGATGGTGGTAAGGTGGTTATGGCTAATGAAGTTGTCTTCAAGGTGGTTAGAATCAGGTCTATCAAGATTCAGGCACATGATGGTTCGTTCTGTACCACAGACGAAGTCAGGCATGTTCCACAAATGACGAAGAATCTGATCTCCTTGAGTCTACTCGACATCAAGGGTCTCAGTTTCAACGGAAGAGGTGGAGTTGTGTACAGGGGCGTAGCCAAGATTTTGTCGAGGGTCGGTCCATTTAGAGAAAAAAAAATATACGATAAAATAATTTGTTAGCTTTTTAAATCATAATGATATAATTTTGTATTCAGAAAAACTTGATAAATTAACTCGTATCCCTCATTCACTCATATGACACAATCTCATGTGACAGAGAGTGCTCATATCTTATTGATGAACCTGAAACGATGCAACAACAGCAGAACCTTACAACACAGACCCTTGTAATGCATACAAGGTCTCGCGCTTCACGCCTTTCAGCACCTTCCTCGAACCTTTGCAGACATACACAATCAGGGGCGGAGGCAGAGGGTTTCGGGATGGAAAATGGTAAATTAAGTATAATAGTTAATCAGGTATGAAAAATAATACATATTTAAATGAAAATGGTCGATCTTTCAAATATTTGATGTATGCTTTATACGTTGTGCATTGACGTATTCAATATTTTTATAACGAACTATGTACAAATGATAATTGTGCATATAATCTGCCTAAAATTATAGATACATTTATTCAATATCTACAACCAATTTCCACCAAATAATAGCTAATTTGTAAAAATAATTTTATTTCAATAAGGGGCAGCGAAAGTGTAACCGGTGGTTCCTTAAAATGAGTTAATTAGTATATAGTTAATTGAGAATGAAATTTAGGACACTTCTAATTGGGAATGAGCGATCAATATCTTATTTGTTCGAATTTTTGTAACCCCATTTGTTAAGCACATGATGTTCGAATTTACAGAAACTTTAAGCACGTATAAGTTGGTTTTCGTTAGCAGGGAAGTGTTAGTAAATACTAAATAGTATAAGATTCATTATTAAATTTTTTCCGCCAACTCGAGTTATTGTCGAGCATTGTGTGTTTGGGAAATTACATCGCAGTAAGTTTCCTAAAAAGGGGGTATCTACCGGACGAAGGGGATACTCGATTGTCTCCACTCTGACTGTTGGGGTCCTTAACGAGTTGAATCCATTGGAGGCAGCATTCTGTCTATCATTGATGATTATTCAAGATTTACTTAGATTTTCATGATGAAGCAGAAAAGTGAAGCCTTCACGAAGTTCAAGCAGCGGAAGGCCTTGGTGGAGAATCAGACCGGGAAGAAGATCAAGAGACTTCGAACGGAAAATGGTATGGAGTTTCTGCAGGTCTGAGTTCAACGAATTCTGCAAGGATGAAGGGATTTCCCGTCCATGGTGTATGGACTCAAGTTGTTTGGGTTCATGTTTTGGGCCTAGTTGTAACCGCTTTTCTTTTACTAGATTGGATTAGGGTTAGACCACGGAGAATTACCATACATACTTCTCATACTCATTTGTAATCTGTAACTCCTCGAATGTATAGTGAATCTGACTCTCTCCTGCCCGTGGACTAGCTAACACAAATTGTGTTAGTGAACCACGCAAATCCATGTGTCATTTTCTTCCTTGTTTTCATATTCTTGATTTGTCGAATCCTCCAATTTCCCGATCCACAGAGAAACAGTCGTGAGATCGTATCTTCATTGACGAACCGAAATACTACCATGACAACACTCCTTGATTTCATTGACCCTCCCCATGAATTATGATCGAGGATAAGAAGTTTAACGTACGCGCGGTTCATGTTGGCGCGAGAAAGATGAGAGGAAAGTGAGAGTTCTTTCCATTGAGGTCAAAAACCTTTTACGTTGTTTGGGCTACGCCTAGGCTTACATTCATTAAACACAACAAGATGGTGGAATTCTAGCGGACCGGATTGGTTTCCGGATGGGCGGCTGCAGATTATGGGGCCGGGCCTGGTGGGCCCAATTCCTTTACCGCCACTACTTTTTCGTTTTTGCCCCCCCTCGCTTCCTTTTTGTTTTTGACCCATCGTTCTACCTTCCACAGATCCACACACTCTCTCCCTCTCTTTCTCTGTGTCTGTTTATTTTCCTCTCCACCTAACTTGTGTAGTTGTGTTTATTACTTGGGACGGGTTCTCTCTTTCCTAGTCTGCACTTCTTTGTTCTGATTCGGAAAGCCGTGAGCGAGCGGGCAGGACAGGGCAGCCAACCCTCTTATCTTTTTGTGTTTTTACCCTGTGCTGCTGGCGTCGTCAAAAAAAGCTCCCCATCTTTCAAAAACCAACAATTTCGTCTCCTCCTCTCTATTTCAACACAGTGCTAATACTACTGCTGCTGCTACTACTTTTTCTCCCCCGACCTTTCAGACCATCCATTCCCCATTTCCCCTCTCTCTCTCTCTCTCTCTCTCTCTCTCTCTCTCTCTCTCTCTCTCTCTCTCTCTCGGACCTTGGTTCATTCTTCTCTGATATTCATTCATTGAGCAGCAGCTTGATCTGGAAAGGAGGAAGACAGTAGCGGCAGAGGATGAAGGTTCGTTTTTCCTCTTAAACACATCACCTTTTTTTTTTTTTTTTTTTGCGATTCCCTGTTATGTGGGTTATTCTGATCCTGCAGATTCTCCTTTCCTTTTACTGGGTTTATGGGTTATTGGGTATAATTCACAACTGACTTCCCTTTACACAAATTGACCACCCTTTTTAACCAAATCAAGGAAAAGGGTTTTATGATTCCTTCCTGTGTAAAGAATTCTATCTTTTTTTTCTTCCAGAGATCAAAATACCAACACTCTCTCCAGAAAGTCCTGTGTTGTTTTTGCGAAATTCGATTTGGTCCGACGATAATATCACTAATTTGAAATATGAGGATCTCACGGATTTGAATATTTTCAGAAGCCAGCTAATTATAAAAAAACCAACTTATACTTTAGGAAATCGAAGTTCAACTCAGTGACATTTGAAGCAAACATGGTAAAATCGTATTGATTTTGAACTGTAGACCTCTAATCAGAGAATGATATTGTTAATTATGATTGTTGTGTGAACTGCAGAAGGTTGTGCTGAAGTTGGATTTGAATGACGACAAGGCCAAGCAGAAGGCGCTCAAGACGGTGTCTACTCTATCTGGTACGCAGTCCTAATCTCTTACTAAACTTGAACCAACCCATCTATATATTTCGTTGAAATTCTAAGCTATATGGATTGTTAATTACTTGGTCCGTAATTAATTATTTGGGGTTGGAATTTTCTCGTAGATGGGATTGGTTGGTAAAGTGATCTCTCTCATTCCCCCCAATAGCTTTCTGTTTGGATTTTACCAGAAATCCAATATATGCCAACACCGCCCCACTATCACTCAGTCATACACCCATCTTGCTTATTTTTTCTTTCTTCAACTGGGTAATTAATATTTTTTATGAACTAATACTGATTTTGTAGTGTGATTAATATTTTTTATGAACTAATACTGATTTTTGTAGTGTGATTAATATTTTTAAACATGGCTGACCTTATGGAGTTCCGAGGGAGTAAAGCCTTCTCATACTTCATTTCAGCCACCCTTAAAACTTTCTCTATACATTAAATATATACTATTTATACTAAAATTGATAAAATAATAATGCTAACATACTTTCCAGTAGATGAAAGTTGGAGGTTTGGCATGCTAATGTGTAGTCCACTTTCAAGATCATGTGTACACATGTTTCTTTATTATTATTTTATACTATTCATTTGTTTAATATATTTATTAAATATATGTATATGCTGACAAAAAAATAAAAAATAGTGAAGATAATAAGCAGGTGATATATTGCATCATCCAATGGTATAAAATAATTTCGTTCCATGTACACGTCTCTTACCCTATTAATAAAATGGTGGATGTTCAAACATTTCTCTCAACTTTTTTAGTTCATATATTTCGTATATGCTAGCAAACTCCCAAATTGCCCATGCCAGCAAAAAAACCAATAATTGTTTGAGCATTTATGCAACCCACCCTTTCTTTTATGATTTTCTCGGCGAACTATTTTGGCATGACAATCAAAGCACTTTACAATCATATGTCGTTGTTTTGTTTCAGATCTCTTTCCATTACACAAGCGGTCACTGTTGCGTAGATAAACTTCTTTGTCTTCTCTCTTTAATGGATTAGATGTGAAATAATTTGATGATAAAATTGAGTGATGACAATTTCTCTTACATGATTCACGCGATTCAATTTGTCTCGTTTTGTTTGAAGTGGGTAGTATTCGACTCGCTTTATCAAGTTTTTTTACCTTTTTAAAATAGTCTTCTTCCCAGAGAAATTTTAAGATTTTATCTTCAAATTATTTAAACCCAATTATATTTATTTCACTATTTCTCATTCATTTATGAAGTATTTTCGCTATGTGTTCTTGTAAAATAGTTAATTAATACCGACACTCTTTTTCTTGTAAAAAAAAAATATTAACATTTGGGTTGGCTACTCCCACAAAAATTAACCAATCTAGCTCGTGTTTAGCAATGTTTGCCTAACTATACTACAAGTTATACCATCAAAGTTAATAGTAGAGTATTTTGTATTAAAATCATGATTAAATCTTGGATAAGTCATTTTGTAACGCTAAAACCGCCAAACGTTGAGGACTCGGTATCCGATATTTTCGATCAGACCGACTAATACGATCGGGTTTCCTAAACCATGAAGTCGTTTAATGAGATATTCGTATGAATTAGTCCCGGTCCAAGGAAAGGGGAAAAAAAAAAAGTTACATCGAGCTGTCCAGCCAAGTGGGAATCAGGTGGGCACGTGAATGTTTAGTGCCACTTCTCTTGTCTAGTAAAAACAACTTGATGAGAGCAGTCCAGTCCAGTATTGTATACTGAAAAAAATATCTGACGACATGTTTTCCCACTCTCTGTACGCTATATCATTATTATTACTGATATGTCAGCTGTCACATGCACATGCAGGAATCGATTCAATCGCCATGGACATGAAGGAGAGGAAAATGACGGTAATAGGGTCGGTGGATCCAGTGAACGTGGTGAGCAAGCTGCGGAAGTACTGGCCCACGACGGATATCATCCTTGTTGGGCCGGCCAAGGAGCCCGAGAAGAAAGAGGAGCCCAAGAAGGAGGAAGGCAAGAAAGAGGAGGACGGCGGCAAGAAGGCCGAAGAAGAGCCCAAGAAGGAAGAAGGCGGAGAGAAGAAAGAAGGGGACAAGAAAGGGGAGGAGAAGAAGGAGGAAGGCGGCGGCGGCGGCGGCGGAGGGGAGAAGAAGGACGGGGAGAAGAAGGATGGGGAGGAGAAGAAGAAGGATCAGCCGGCGGCCGGAGCGGCGACAATGCCTCCGCCGGACCCGGTGCTGGAGCTTGTGAGGGCTTACAGGGCGTATAATCCTCACATGACGACTCATTACTACGTTCAGAGCATGGAGGAGAACCCAAATGCGTGCGTCATCTGTTGAAGGAAACGAATGATGGTGGTTGTTTTTTTTTTTTTTTTTGTTGTTGTTGTTGTTATCATCTCGGTAATCTTCCATTGTTGTGATGTTTGCTTAGGAGACAAAAGCTCCTAGCAAGAGAATCCAGGAAGCAAGAAGAAAAACACAGGGAAAAAAAAGGAATAACATAATATTGCCCTTGTATATAGAACGTTGTATGAATATTGAATAGTACTCCTCGTCTGTACTTAATTTTGTGTCGTTTTTTGTTTGTGTTATAAATATAATCATTGTAGTTTCCTCCAATAATAACATCATACACAAAGGCTAGTGTACACTTATTTTACTGTACATTCCAGCGGCGGATCCAGAACATAGAAGAGCACTGGGCCGCATTTCATTAGAAAATTAGAATCGTAAAAAAATATTATAGTTTTTTAACAATATAAATTGTACACGATGGTATTTTAATTTAGCGAATACATCAATAATGAAGTCTACATCCATACCAATAGTATACACTGTTTTAAATAAAATACTTGAGCAATCGGCGAGAAATTCATTGCTCGTTTTGTTGCATAAATAAGTTTTCATATGTTTCATTGTTGAAAAGGTTCTCCCCGTAGTAATTGGTGATACGATCAGCGTCAACGCTAGACAAATCAATCGTGCATTGTGTGTCCATACCTATATCCACTAGCTGCTTTAGTAAATTTCCAGGGAATAAAACTCAAATTTCTTATAGTCTTTTACGTTTAGACTTTTAGACTTTTAGATTTCATTGTTTTTTTAGAAGAATAATCTTTGGAGGTAGAATTTCTAGGCTAAATTTATAGTAGTGATTTTAATATGTTAATTTGAATCATTTTTCTAGTTACACCCAATTTTTTTGTAAAATAACACTGGGCCGAATAACTAAAATCGAAAAATTCATAAAGAATATACTAACTCCGGATCCAGAGGAGGGCTAGGCCGGGGCCCGGGGTGGCCACCCCCTGGATCCGCCAGTGGTACATTCATCATATTTTTTTTTGTTATTTAGACTATAAATTAACCAGAGTTTGAGACATGATATTAAACCTAATTTCTAATAAATGAAATCGAATTTACAATTATGTGCCACATGTATGCTTGGCGTGTGTCGTTAAGTTGTTTTTATTTTTTTAATATAATTAAATGATGTAGCTATGTTTCGAATTAGATCACGGCAGCATGGGGAATGGATTGCTACAATACACATTGCATGCCGCAGGCAGGCTGCTTTCTCCTTATCCCAAACTCTAGTGCGCGATGGGTCGATGTCCGTATACGTAAGCCAAAAGAAAAAAAGAAAAAGAAAAAAAGCGTGGGCCGCTGAGTATTATATGATTTATATGTGCATTTAGTATTTATGCGTGTAAGAAAGTGGTTAAGTATAATATATGAGTCTGTATAAGATTCAACATAATCTTCTTGTAACAATTCGAGTTATTGGAATCAATTGATTTGTCACATGGTATCAGAGCTGGTTTGTCCTTGAGGTCACATGTTTAAGTCCTCACGATCTTCAATATTAACTGTTGTCTTTCAAGCCCATGATAAGATGTAGGGGTGGCTATACGGTCCGGTCCGGTTAAATTGGCCCAAATTGATCCGGTCCAGTCCGGTTTTTTTTTAGAATATAAGGACCGAAGATTGGATTAGATACAGTCCGGTCTTGATCCGGTCTGGTCCCAATTCGGTCTTGATTTTATATTGAGATTGTGGAAATTTGAGTGGCCTAAGGCCTAAAAGGGTGAGGAGTTGGTTAAGTTTTGTACTAAGTGTAAAGGTTTGTGACCGTTTATGCAAATTACCCTTAAGTTTTGGGTGTTAAGCTCTCTTATCCGGTCTTTATCCGGTTTTTTCCCTCAAATCTAAGCCCAAAGATTGGATTGGATTGTTTACTATCCGGTCCCGGTCCGGTCTCGGTCCGGGTTATACGGTCCGGTTTCCGGTTTTTCATCCGGTCCCGATCCAAATAGCCAGCCCTAGTAAGATGGACCTGTGCAAACTTCAAGTTCATGAGTCGACTTTCGACATTATGGTTCACATGAAAATTTTGGCGGTGTGATTATGATGATATATGAGAATTGAGAAGGCATATGTCATGAGGGTCCCCGACCTTATCATCGTTGATGACATTGCATTACCCGTCCGCCTCCCCACTAAGCCCAGTAGCCCACTATTGTGCGATGGCGCAGGCAGCAGCTAGTCCATGGAGCTTTCTGTTCGGATGGCGTTTTATTAAAAGATTCCTGTCATCACTTTGCATTATCATGCCTCTTTTCTCTCTTTTTTTCCCCTCGTCTCAACTCGGCACTCCAATCGGCTTCTCTTTCGTCCCAATCTACTGATTCCGACCCATTTCTAAAAATGGGACGAATATATATAAATATATGGGGCTGCAAATGAATCAACCGGTGAAAAGTGGTTTGGTGTTGTTTCGAGAAAAACTTGTTCGATATTCGGCTCGTTTACTAATAAGTCGGGATTGAACTAAGAGTACTTGTGATTCGAGCCGTTATATACATGTTTTTATCCCATTGACTTTGTCGTTTGACTTTGTATAACACCGTCCTCGAAGCCATTTTACGCTAGGTTTTAGGAATGTTTTAGTATGTATCAGACTATAGCAGGTGAAATGGGCGAAAAGATCGAAAGTCAGATGAAAGGGATCGAAAATGGGACAAAATGCTGGAAATTGCATGGTTCAAGATTCATAGGAGATTGACACTGGCAGGAGACCGTGAAGATTACAACAAAGTGTGCAAAATTCGAGGAGCATTTGGATGTCTCGCGTGTAGTGCGTGGATAACGGGCTTAGGGCGTGAAGTATACAACAAAACCATGAAGTATGTAAGTGACTGTGAAAAGATGCTTTTTGTCCCGAGATCACGGTATCACTATACACATCACGGGCGTGAAGGCTGACTGTAAAACGTGCACTGTCAGGTATCAAAGGAGAAGGACAGAAGAGTTGTAGTGAGATTGAGTTTATAGTTACGAGTGAGCCAAGTTTCTAGCGCATTATGAAAAGTAGACCCTTGGAGCCACTCGACAACATCCGTTGAACTCTCCGACTACTTGTACGTGAGAGAGAGCTAAAGTTAACAAGGGAGTGATGGTTGAATCAGGCTCAACCCGAAGAAGAAGGAGTTGAAGAATAAATTGTTTTTTAAAAGTTAACTTAATTTGTCTATTTCTATGCTTCTACATTTGTTTCAACTTATGCACTACATGATCGTTATTTTACAACACTAAAGTAAGCCACCTTTGAACTAGATTGGAATAAGATAAAAACCTAGACATTCGGTCTCTAAGGGTAAGCCACCTTTGAGCTGAAACGTAAAGCAATATGCCGAACTCGGTTAACCAAACATCTTGTGTATGTGTGTCTCTGCTTACTCTTCTCTATTGTGTATTTGCTTCTCAACAGGAACATTACCTTGTCCATCCAAAGTTGAAGATGACTCGATAAGGATCAAAACTAATCTCGTGAAACACAATTGGTTTTTAGCAACTGGTCATCAAGCCCAACCCACATGTCCAAACAACCAATTCATAATTAATCGTATTTATTTATCCCCTTTTATAAGACTACTATTTGTGTGCTACACGTATTTCAACTTGCAACCCGATTATAACACCTCTAATCACAACGTTACAATTTTCACCTCCCACGTTTCCTTGCTCCCAAAGCAAATCGTAGATACCTATCTTGTGGAAACGGGAAAAGTCGTACCGCGGTAGTCCATTTGGTAGACTTCGTTCAAAACATAGTGATGATGATGACATATGAGGAAAGTAAGTCAAGCTCTTGTGCCTTGACACCCACGGCTAATTATCGGCGGCTTCCTCTACCCAGCGACCAATTATATTCATCACCATCAGTTACTATTTTGCAGATCGAAATTTCCTCCCTCCTTCCTTCCTTCCTTCCTTCCTTCCTACCAGTATAAATAACATTGTTGCCAGCTAACTAGGAAATCATAGAACAAACCCTAAACCCGTGCAATATTAACCAAAAACCTTCAAAAGATACGCAGATTGTAATGGGTTTGGTTTCTTCTTCTCACTCTGCCCCCTCCTCCAAGGTCTCCGATGCCTCGACGAATCATCATCATCTTCATGTTCATGGAGATCATCATCAGGATCAGAAATCACTTCCGGCGCCGGCGCCGGCTCCTAATTCCAAAAGCAGCAGCTCATCATCAGGACATCATCCAATACTAGTCCATTACTTCCCAACCAATTCATACATGTCCCGCCCCTGCCTCTGAATCCACACTAGTCCATTACTTCATTTTACTCGTTTAGTTTTGAGTGGGATTATACTGTAATACTATAAATTTGTACCCTTCAATTCATTCTTTTTGGAGTAAAACTGCGTTATTGAATACGAAGATAAATCTCAAGTATCATCATGCATACTAAAGCTCAATCATATCATGCATCAATAAATTATCTTTAACATCACTCTATCCCTTTCAATAAGGCCATTATCTACCCCGTGCATTTGCCTCTTGCGATAAAGATTTAACTTGCTGATGTGTGCTTTCGCTTCATGCCATTACCTGATAAATGAAGAACAAGGAAGTTAGGATAGGATATGATTAAGTGTGGTCCTGTTGATTCGTAATTGATGTTCTATATCGTCGATGATCTAACAATCAAGCATTGATACTAGTCGAGGTATAGATGACTGATCATTCCTTCTATACTCGTGTAGCATTAATGGGTATCACTAGAGGGTAATTTCTTAACAACCTAGATGATACTTAGCACAATGCATATAGTAGTACACTATAGAGTCATAAGCATCAATGATAAGAAATATTGAAGTAAATGAGTATCGATATCATACACATAGGTATCAAAACATAAAGCATCCATACATTATATATAAGGCATCGAAAATCTCAAGCATGAACACAAGCGTAATATGAAATCATAGGATCAATACAGAAGAAGATAATTGAGTTCACATTCTCATACAATCAATTTTAAACTACCTAAACATAGAAGCAAAGGAGGGTACCACAATCAATGGTGAAAGACTGAAAGCATCTCCCTACCTGTACCCTTTTCCTACAAATTCTAAGCTCCCTCTCAAACAGAATGTTTACAAAAATTTAGTGAATTTTTACAGCCTACTGAATTAATGAGTCTATCCCTCTATTTGTAGGAGGTATAAATCGGCCAAAACTCTCCTACACCAACTGAGAAGAGGTTTCTTGACTTGGAGCCAAAGCATGGCCTAAAAATCTTCAATTTGGGCTTAGGCCTTTAGCAGCAGCCGATGCTCCTTTTCTTCATGGGTTTGACATCTTTGGCCCATGGAAAACCTATCCAGAAGATTTGCTCACGATCAGAAAACTAAATCTCGGTAACTCATGTCACACTAAACCTTAAGCAAGTTCATCTTCTGAGCCAACTAAAGTTTTCATCAATAAGATTGTAGGATTTATGGCTTTGGTAGTCATTTCTCTCTTGCTGTCGAATTTGCAACTCTGACTTGTGATGTATGTGCTACGCTACATATTGTGTCGTTTCGGGTTTATCTCATGTTCGGTGGTACTATGCATGCTAAACATTGATAAAAGATCATATTAAAACAAGGTTTGAATGTGAACGACAAGTGCTAAACAATTGATAAAAGATCGTATTAAAGCACTACACATTTAAGCAGTAATAATACAAAATAATGTTTATTCACTTCATTGCTATTCACATTAGCAATAATTTGCATACGTTGACTCACTCTACCAAACCCCCCCCCCCCCCCCCCCTGAAATTACAAACTTGCCCCATGACCCATACAAGACACGCAAGAAATAGTGCCTTCTGAATCCAGAGCTCCAAAAACCTTTACTACAAACAACACTAATCCCACACAAAGCATCTCATCTTCCAATCAAATGGGAAGGAAAAAAAAAAAAAAAAACACGTGATCAATGACTGATAATTAGTCTAATCTGTCCCCTTAATTAATCTTCAATCTTACCTTATCTTGCTTCTCCTATAATAATGCATCGATCTTAACCTTCCCTTTCCCAGCTTTCAATTCCTCGCCCACAGCAACGGCGAACGAGGCATGGGAGAATGCGGCGACGACACGTGTCCCTCTTCCGACCTCCGCACCGTCTTGAAGCTCAACCTCAGATCCTTCTGCCACCGCTTCTTCCCCGGCGGCTTCATAACCACAACAACATTATTCTCAGCAGCGGCCTTCCCTTGAATAAAGGCGCGGATCCTCTGCAGCGCGACTTCCATGGTCCCCTCATCCATATTCGCGAAACAGACCCGGAACCAACCCGGTTCGACGCAGTGGAACGAAACCCCGGGCGAGACATTCAGCTTCACCTCGTTCACAATCACGCGCCAAAGCGCCAACTCGCCTTCATAACTCGCCTCCTTCAGCAGATGCCTCAGATCCATCCACACGAAAAGACCCGCACAGCTCTCGAGGCACCGGATCCCGACCCGGTCCAGCCCGGTCACGAACCTTCCGTGCCGCTCGCCCAACCTTCTGGAACTTTCCAGAAGGAACCGCCCCACGAAATCCTCGTCCGACAGCATGGCGGCCAGGAGGTGCTGCGTCTGGGACGACACCAGCCCGAAGCTCGACATCCTGCGCCCGCACCTCACTACGGCGTCGTTGTAGGAGTAGACGACGCCGGCGCGCAGCCCGGGGAGGCCCATGTCTTTGGACAGGCTGTAGACGATGTGGATCAGGTCCGGGTCGCAGCGGGCCGGGTCGGCCGCGTTGTCGCGGACAACCTCGGCCACGCTGACGAATTGGGTGGAGGTGGTTGGGTGGAAGACGGTGGCGGCGTAGATCTCGTCGGCGACGAGGTGGATGCGCTTCTCGGTGGCGAAGGCGACGAGGGACTCGAGGGTGGTGCGGTCGAGGCACGTGCCGAGCGGGTTGGATGGGTTGGCGATGACCAGACCCTTGACGGTCGAGCCGGTTCGGGTGGCTTGGTCGTAGGCGGTTTCGAGGGCGGGTCTTGTGATTTGGAAGTTGGTGGAGCTGTTGCAGTGGACCGGGATTATCTGGACCTTGGTTCTCCAACCCAAGTCACGGTCGAACCTGTAATTGTTTTTTTTTTTTTTGGCGACGTCAGTTAATGATTATTCATTATCACAAGGTAATTGTTTTTAGGAAGATAATGTTGATCCAGGTAAGCAGACGTATATATTGACGTCAAACACTTGATCGAACTACCAAATCAAAGTTAGTGAGAGAGTTAGAGGCCAATCCAAACAAGTGTTTGACCCAATTGATGTTTAACTAAAATGTCAAAAAGCCTACTTTACACTGTAGTGTGATACGGTCGAGCTTGGCAATTTGACTACCACACCAAACTAATTCCATAAATAGAAAATTCATTAGGTCATGTTTATTACTTATCAGCCCCTGACTCTGTCTGTAATCTGTATGCCATTAATATTTGAGAAAATGGCTGACTTGATCTGCAAGGAAATACCCCCACTAATTTCTTTGTACAACTTCTTGTTTTGGTTTCAGACTTGTAAACTCATGGCGTGGACTGCTTTGAATTGCCACACTTGTCAAACTGGATTTTTTTTTTCTTTCCCACGACTCTTATGATCAAACAAACATCGTAGCTAGCTAGACAGACAGACAAACAATTCATATCCAGCTAAGACTCCACTTTCCACGGTTGTGCTTCTATGCCAAAACATTCTTTTGGTAGAGAAGAAAAATAAAACATTTGATTAAGACCCTATTTACCACCGTTTACTTTCGAGTTAATTAAATAATTAATATAACTAAGACCAAAGATGAGGGCAAAGCAAGCATGGCAGAGTTTTTGAGCGTACGCTGGGTAATATGGGGAGGGAACGAGAAAAGCGTCGCCCTCGTCAGCGAGGCAGAAGGTGATGAGCTCGTTGGCTCCCGTCGCGCCGCCGCCCATCACGATCCTCTCAGGATCGAACCTCACCTTATTCCCCCTCCCTCGCTCCATGAACTTCGCAACCGCCTGCAGATAACCAACCACAACATATACGTAACTAGTTGATCTCAATAATTCGTGCGTCGCGTAACAATATTTTTTTCCAGCTTGGGACGCTTTCCAATTACCTGTCTGAAGCGCGGGAGGCCGTGATAATCCTGAAAGAGGGCCACATCCTTGAACATGTGAAGTCCCTCCGGGGTACAAATGGAAGCCTGCGGGTTCTTCTCGATCCAATCTCGAATCAAATCAACGCAAAGCTGCATGAGGGTACAATAACGTACGTTCAGGGTTAACATATTATTTTCTTAAAAAAAAAAACATTCTATCTGATCATTATTATTAAAAAAAAACATTCTATACCTGATTCTCGGCTAAACCCATTTGAATGACGCCGTCGGGGCGGTCGGTGGGGTGGAACGGGTAGGCGTCGTAGGCCTTCCAGCCGTCGAAGTAGGGCGAGTTCTCGCCGTGCCTCTCGTTCGTCGCCATCTTCGACAGTACACAGCTCCCCTTTGCGCTTTCCATTCTAGCTAGTTATTAATCTTACGTACTTCTTCGACGACTAACTATATGAACAATGAATGATAATAACTGCTGTGCTGTATATATATTTGTGCTAACCTAGCTTGGACGTTAATTTGAAGTAGTTGAGAAAAACTGAAGGGAAAATGCTGAATGAGATATATGGAGCTCGATCAATTGGCTGAGAGAGTTATGTGATTTGTGATTGGAAGGAAGAGTGGATGATGAGAGCTATGGGGGTATTTATAGGGCGCTAAACGGCAGAGGACGAAGACGTGGAGGAAACTGGGCAAATGGAAAAACCTCAATTGCCTACAACGTACAAATCGGGGGGGGAAAGTCGGTTTTCTAAGTTCAAAAGCTATAGCCAGGAAAATACCGACCACTAAGAAACGGAAAGAAAGAAATAAAAAATTAATGAGAGCATTTCAGCGCATGTGTAATATATATAGCATATAAACAAGTAATAAAAACATCGTGACCCAAATATTGTTCATTTTGGGTCGTACAGTTTTGTTTATGGTGCATTTGCATCATAGTCACCTTTCAAAAGATCTCGCACATTCATGTATTGTTCCGGTTATAGTATGTTTAATTTAAGAGTTTTTACAAAAATTCGTTTATTTCATTCTCAAGCGTATATCGTTAGTTATTTAAGATCGAATCATTTTGTATAGTTTACGAATTGCATGTGAAGTTTTTCATATTTTAATAATAATTTTTAATTATTAGGGACATTCATTTTCCTTAGATACGATTCGCACGGGGCAGGATAATTAGTAGGGGTGTTTAGTCAAATCTCCGAACGTCCCGGCTTGCGTGTTGTTCCATTACATCATCCAAAAAGCGGAAGAAGGAAAAAATAGTCAATTAGAGAATGGAGATTATTTACAATATGTAAATTGGATTAGGATATGTCGGGTGGTTACTGTTTGGATTGCTCTCCTCGTCTTTCTCTTTTCTCTAAACGCAACCTTGTTTACCTGCTTCGTTACAATGTCCATGCTGTAGCCAAAACAAGGAAAATTTTACTTCCCATGGTATACCATCCCCAACCAGTTAAGTGCTAGCTCGTTAAAACGATGTCGTCCGAAATCAAAATAAGGTAAACTTTCATCTAAGGAAAACGGAGAACTTAGCGTTACTTGGACCAGCAACATGAGTTAACACCAGCACATTGTAGTCCATGTTAGAAATGAGGCAATATTTTTGGAGCTATGTAGGCGGGGTGATGCTGTTATAGGTAGAATCATGTTTTGTTGGAATAAGGCAACAAAGATTGGAATTATACGAGAGAAAAGAGGAAGTTGCCAAGAACGTGCCCAACTGCACTTACTGCCTTTCCACCGGTTTGTCATACCCTTAATTTAAGGGGGTGGTTGGTTGCAGAACTAGGACTGCTGACCTTAAGGAAGAAGGCGGGAGTCTTTGTTGTTGTTTCAGTAGTAGTGCTTTGCTTTAGTACACACTAGCAGCTAAGACTATAACACTAGATTGGGCGGTTCCTTTGTCCCTTGATGTGGGTGGAGACAAAACTATAGGTCGTTGCCCTGTCCGTACAACTTACAGACGTCGGTCATGATACGTGTACACGTCTACAAACAGAACTATCAGCACTCAACTCAAAAGTCTGAACCGAATCGGATCTGATGATGATCATGTGATTTGAAATTCTACGGAATTAGTAGTTTTTGAGTTATATTACGATAGTCTATTATGTTTTTTTTTCAGTCTTTAGCTATAAATATGTATTTTTGGTCTTTCATTCGATTAAGCATAAGTTAATAATAAAATAATTATATCCTTAAATCCCTCTCCCAGTCCTTTCAATTCTCGATCTCAATCCCTCGACCCTCTTCTGTTCTTCCCCAAATTCTTCTCAAGTCTCCAAATTCCCAATTCTATCCTATAAACCATGAATTCTCAATCGATCTCTAGATCAAATCTAGAAACCCGTTAGAAACTTTATTTCTAACACCACTCTCGTAGGTTTTTACCATCTCAATTCACGTGGAGATCTAGTCAAGCTAAGGAGAAGCTATCAAAGAGAGGAGGTCAAGACTGAAGAGGGTGGCACGTCCATTGTCAGGTGGGCGTCAGAGTAGTTAAGAGGGTAACTGTCGCTCCACGTCAGCAGAGCAGTTTTTTCGAGGCATTTACTTCTGATGGCTATAAATAGGAGGTGAAGATGACAGAGAAGGGGTTCGTCAAGATCACACTAGACAACCCAATGTCAAGTTTTTATCATTTTAACTTTTTCTTTGTAAATTTAGTCATAGTCGTAGTTCTGGAGCTCTCATTGAACCTCCATAGGGCATAGGAGTAGGAGTAATTTGATGTGGACCATGTTGTTTAAACGTTTGTAAGGAGTCAAGGTGCAATTCCATTCTTTTCAACTCTAGTTTTCTAGTCAGGAAAACACATTGGCACACCCAGTGGGACCCGTGTGTTCGATTTGATGGTCCAAGGTAGAATAATCAAGAAGGTGACGCTCCAGCTGGTTTTGTGGAGGAGCAGGTGGCCAATATTGAACTTGGCCAGGTTGCAGAGGCGGTGGCCGGAAACAATGTTGGGGCCGAGATCCTACCAACGGGGACGTCTAGTGAAGATATGAGTGAAGCAGTGGGGATCCTTGGTCAGATGATGGAGGAGAACCACAAGCTGGTGGCAGAGAAACGTCGAGCCACAAAGGAGGACCATGAATCCACCAATCTAAATGAATTTGTATCAAAATGATTAGAATAGTTGAATGTTAAAATGAATGGATTAGATTGGATTATAAGTTTCCCCTCTAATAAAATTTCATATTTAAACTATACACTGATTGTTGGTCATATCAATGAATTAACCAAGAATCTCAATTGTTGTCCAATCTCACAATCAAACATAGCCCACTTTGATGCCTCGGGCATAGGGATGGCAATGGGCAGGTCCGGGACAGGTATCACGATACCCATACTGACCTGTAGCAGGTCGGGTAATTTATCACCGGGCGCGGGTCAGGGCAGGTCGACTCAATGGGTATGCATAGATGGCAAGCATTAGAAATATTCATTATTTTCATTATAAGACCAAAAAATAAATCATAATATGGTAAAATATAGTTAAATTATTGGTGAAATTGAAATATTCACTAATTTACAACTTTATAATAGCTAAAATATGATGTAATAAAAGGAAAATCGTAAGTAATTTGACTAAAATTATATGCGATTTAGACAAGAAGGGGTCGAAAATGGGACGGGTCGGGGCAGGTCGCGGTGATGAGAATACCCATACCCGCCCCAAAACAAGTCAAATAGATCGAGTAAAACGGGTCAAATCGAAATTATCATCCTACTCGAGCTTCATAGTTGGGGCTGGAGGTCGTTGATAATGGGCTCATTATTGAATTTGTTAGGCTTACGAAGAGTCATTTTGTGGTCTCATGGTAAATGGTTGGGAAGGCTCAGATAGTGAGAGTCATTCAGTAGGATGCGCAGCCAGGACGACAGCGTCTCTCTACCGGGGTCTGGGAGTGTCTATGCTCTATAGTATTGTGGTGCACATTTAGCGGAAATCAACGACTTAGAGTATTACCAATTTTATATTGCAATTCATACAATTTTATACACAAAAAGTAGATATGTCGCTCAATTTCGCAGACTCGATTATTTTCAACCGAACCATATATTAGAATGCTTTTTGAATTCTGACAAATCAGTTAGCAACACAGAAACCAGAGGCTGTAAACAACGAGATATGACTTTTCGAAGAAAAAATATATGTTTCAGAAACTCTATCGTACCAATAGATCAAATCAGAATAACTGCATAACCACACTTCAAACAGGAGACGATTTTAATCATACAAAACAGTTCAATCACAATTTTGATATGAAAACATTATCATTAACTTTTCCAGTGTAACTTTTCCTACGGTTGTTTCATATGATAGAGCTGGTGCCATTCAGACAAAGGTTTCTTTCTTTTTCCGGCTTTCTTTTCTTACCAACGCAACGGGACACTGCTCATCATTATATTTACAGGGATCACCTGCGGGGAGCAAAAGTAGTCCGGTCTGTTGGCCTGTCTCTTAGTTCATGGACAAAGAGTCGTACGATTTCTTTTACATAGTTTGATTTGTCCAAGGATATTAACATTCATTGCCCAAGCACACTGGGATTTTAACCGACCAGAGAATATGCTTACTGCTGCCGGCTGCGACCGTGACAAGTCGTCGGTTTGAAATAGGCCCTCTGCTGCATGGTAGTAAAACCGAAACCGTCATGCATTGCATCAGCAACTTGATCATCCTACTATGGTGGCAGCATCCAGGAAGAACGTGGTCGACAAACAAAAGGAACCCGAGATTCGGCGCCAAAATTTTGATCTTGGTTTCTTTTAACCTGCCAAAAAGAATATCACAACCCAGCATGCATAAGAACATGAAACTTTTAAGTTGAGTAGTTAGGAACAATCAACGTTCAAATAATGTATGGTAGAACATAGATTGTCGTTGAAACCACTGCCAGAAAATTTCAAATGTGGCAGTGGTTGAAACAATGGAAAACAAAGATGCAAGGCTGAGCAATAACAAGGTAGGCTGACTAGATTTCTAACAGTCCCAACCAACACCCTCACTTTGCCTCTCTTAAACTGTTCAGAAGAAGACTTATCTTGAAAAACACTTGTATTGATGCAAGGATGAACGTACCTGACTACTGCTTGGCCTTCCCAAAAAAGTGTTCGATCTGCAAACATCCCTGAGACTGCAAAGTAGTCGTTTTGGTTCCTAACTTGCACCTTTTTGCGGGCATGGAACTCTCTGAGCCACCCTGAATATACAGTTAACTAAACTCGATAAATAGATGAAGCATGGAGCCGCATGAGAAAACAGAACAAAGCCGAGCATGTTAAGAGGTATGCACGTATCACCACATTTCTTTCAGGACTGAGTGTAAGTATAAGCTTATTAATGTCATTGTTGAAATGGCCAAGAAATTGGAGGCCGAATGCAGTTGACTACAAGATGAGACAAAACAGAATATGTTTTGTAATAACGTTCAGATGATCAAGTATGCATTTTATTTACAGTAGACTCTCACCATGAGGGCTTGATTCAGAGGTCTTAAAACTTTCACTCTCCCACCCCTTCCGTCAGCTCCAACAGCAATCAAGTCTCCACTGTTTGTGCTTGGTTTCTGCCCGGCCGACTGCTTGCTTTGGTCACGTTTACACCACTTCCCAAGATACCGAGTTGTTCCATCAGGACCCAGTAATCCACTTGAGAAACATATATCTGCTGGAGATAGTGTAGTTCAAGCAGAAAAGCATACATAAGCAAAGTGTAGAACTTGTTGCCTAATGGAAGCATCCATTACGTTATTGAATCTGTTCAGCTGCAAACTCACTATATTAAAAGTTAACTACCTGGTTTTGAAAAAGAAACTGAGGACGGCAACTCCTTTCTTATATTCAGTGCGGGCCAAACATCAACGTTACCACCGATAGAAAAGGAGGCTTCCTGAGCAGCAGCAGCTGGGCTGGCAGTATCCTTACTTCTATTGGTTCCACTTCCTGCATTATCCACTGGTTGCTCTTCGGTTTGTTGTTTTCCAGTTGGATGATCCAAATCAAGATCTTGATCACCCTCGTCTATGATAATGCAATTGTTTCTTTGCTTATCACAAGCCTGATTCCTTGAAGGCTCGTCAGTAAAATTTGAACCATGATCATTGATGGAAAAAGGCACTCTTGCATCGCCAATTGAACTTGCAGTCCGAACCAAGCAATCCAGAGATGTGGAGGAAACTTGTTCCTTTTGATTTCCAGGTCTAAAAATGCCAGAAGTAGGGGTATCCAATTTATCACTAAGTCCACCTGGAATTTTCTTCATGGAGTTTGTGTCCTTTGAAGTCTTTAAGAGCCTTAAAGCTTGATTTTCCTTTAGTTCAACTGCCGTCACCAGTTCCTGGATCCTAGTCTGAGTGTGACGCAAAGACAGATTATCATACATGGCATAATGGCATTCATATTTGTCAAAAACAAAGCAGAGTGAAGGAAATCCTGGTATGAGTTTCCCCAGTTAATACTTATTGAACAACGTGGCCAATAACTTACCTTCAACCTAATTATCTTTTCTTTTGCTTTCTCCAGATTTTTGGAAGAACGAGCCTCTCCCCTTCCAAGCTGGTTGCACTTGGCCAATAACTCTTGGTAGCTCCTACAGGAAACAACTCTCAAAGTTGAACTAGGAAGCAAGGCAAAGAAACAACAATATATGCGCAGTCCAAGTTCTGGCTGTTGCTTTCTTCGGTACTTTCTACTTGCATATGTCAAACAAAAGTAACAGAGAGGAACTCATTTTGTAGCCGACATTCCTTGCATATAAACATCTAGCACACATAGAAGCTGTTACTGCCACTACCGGTTCCACAAAGTCACAAACGGAGATTTAGCCACTTTAAGGTGACGCCCGAAAAACTCATACAGCTGAATATCAACATGCTATGGATAATCCTCTGAGGCAGGCAGGGAAACTTACTTGTTGCGGGACACCAAGGACTTCCGTAGAATGTCAATAGTATCTTTAGCATTGGCCTCGTTACCAAAGGAAGCAAGCTTTAAAACTTCATCTTCCTCCAGATTCAGGTCTGATGCCCTATATTGCAGGTGGCATAAACCATATTATCCATAAATTGCACGTCTGATTCTTAGTCATCCAAGTTCTACCCATACCCAATTTAACCTTACTTACAGTTTCAGTGCTGCAAGTTCTTTGGCCAATGCCATGCTCTTATCTTGTAACTTCAAATGGTCTTTCTTCAGCACATCAAGCTCCTAAAACAAGAGTAATAAGCAATGACAGATTTGTTAACTACCAACAACCTTGTCTTATCACACCAAGCAAAAGACAGCAATTAAAAGAAACCACTGAATTAGAGGAAATCAATATCAGGAGACTAGAATGGGCATCTCAAATAACAGCACACCTGAGACTTAAAACGAAGCATCTCCTGAACTGATGCTTTTTGTTTCACCACTTCATTCTTTAACAAGAGCTCAGCCTTCAATTGCTCGTTGCAGTCATACAACTGAGATCATATTCCAAACAAAGACCCACGGTTAAACCCCAAAGGCCAAAACCTTACCCCGGTTACCACGATGTCGAAATTCAAAGCCAAATTCGCCAAAAACAAAACTTACCTCGCCATTAAGCCGCTGAATTTCTTTCCCCTGGCAATCCACAGTGGAGTTGAGCCCCTGAACCTTCGCCTCCAATCTCACAATCTCTCCCCCAAGCAACTTGGGATCGGCCTGTTTCTCCTCGCACTGCGACGCACAGTGATCGGCAGGGTCTCCCAGTGACTGGAAATACAGCCGCGACACGTTGGCGGCTTTGCAACTCTGCTTGCAGACAGGGCAGGTACACTTCTTTCTGCCGGAACAGTACCCGAACCATTGCTGCAAGCTAGGGAAATTTTGAAAAACAATGGAATCTCAATCATCGGTTTCATCGACGAAAAAATAACGAACGCAAAAGAAAATGGGTGTTAGATTGGGAGTCGGAAACAGTACCAAAGTTCGTGGAATACATGGCCGCAGATGGAGATCACTTGAAGATCCTCGACGATAGGTTTGAGATCTTCGTAGCAGATTGAACAGATTGTTTTCGCGAAGGGATTATTCATCGTCGATGACCATGCCTTTTGGACTCTTCCTACTGCTCTTCCGCCTTTCAGCACTTAGTCATGTTCTGAGGGTTTTCGTTTTTGTTCATGGTTAAGGGAGCGAAACTTCGAAAACTGCGAAGCTTAATCGAGCGGGAAATGAAAATTTCGCTTCGGAATCCATTGAAAATTTCGCGCATATCCCGCACAAACTTTTCCCGCTCATTTGATGCCTATAAATATAAGACCCATTTCCCCATTCAAGAGATTTAGAGAGAGAAGCAAAAAGAAGGGGAATGATCTAAAAGATAGTAGGGATCTTCCTCAACATCAAGTTTTATTCAATCTCTTCTATGTATCTTCTTCCCTCATTTATGGAGTAGTCTTCTAAGGTACTAGGGGTTTTAAATCTCAAACCCTAGTTTTAGGATTATGATGTAATGAATGAATATTTTAGGGTTTTAACGAATGAATGTGTTTATCTAGTTGATTTTATTGCTTTCCTAGCTTTGATTGTGTTTGGGTAAGTTGCCCTAATCTTCTCTACTGGTCTACTTGAGCTTCTACGTTGGGTATGGAGTTTTAGGGTTAGATGGGTATGCTCTATAAAGCAAATTGAGGTTAGATGTATATAAATAGGAACCTATGACGGTCGAGGCGACTGAACCCCTGCTATAGGAAAGCCTTCATAGATAGAACTCGTGATGAAACCTCGGTGTGGACAGTGGGTAGTACCCATTAAAAAGAGTTATGGTCTTAATGCCCCAAATACGATAGCCTATATCGAGGTGACTTACATGGGTCTAGGCTAGGCGTACTCAGAGGCGCGTGGATAACCACGAAAGCTACGGAAAAGAGCTCACTCACCACATTTGACAAACCCTAATTATCTAGTCATTACATAGTAGTCCTAGACTAGGGTGAGGGATAGTTCCCCGAAGTAACTGCTTTTATCCTTATTCAATCTCTTAACTAGTTAGTTCGCTCAAATCCTCCAACACAAACCCTCAAACCGATCGACTAGATAACAACAACGTGGGAAGTAGGCTATGGTACCAGGACCCGAGTGAATACGACCTTGACTGCAACTATATGACAATGCCATTTTAGGTTGAACTTGGTCTAAGATGGGGTAGTTATTGACACGTGCTAAGCATTGAAAATAATCTGCACGGATGAATGTGATCAAGCTTTTTGACGCCGTTGTCGGGGACCCTTGGTATTTAGTAGAAAACTACTGAGTTGTTAGTTTAACCTCTATTTTCTTTGTTTTGTTTTTGTTGTGTTGTTTGCATTTCGTAGTTTGTTTTGTTTTGTGTTTTGTTTATCCGACTTTGTGCGTAACGGGTTGTTGAGTTTGTGTCTTGTAGCACCTTTGTATGCGAAGGAGGGATTGTGTGGAGATATTACCTCTTGGTACAAAAATCGAGAGAACCCTTTGGAATCTAAGAGTTGCAAGACATCAATCTCCACCAATGGCGGATCATCAAGCTCAAGTTCCACGAAGGTCTATAACAATGGGATTTTACTAAAGGACGAGCGTGAACAATGTTCAATCACCTATTCTACATCCATTGGTGCCAAACAGCAATTATGAGATAAAACCGGGCACAATTTTGATGCTTAAAAGTGCGGTTCAATTCAATGGGACGATGATTTAAGATGCTCACGCACATATCAAGTCGTTCTACGAGTTAACGGATGGAATCAAGGTAAACGGGGTTCCTCAAGAGGCAATTCGCCTAAGGTTATTTTCGTTTTACTTTGAATAGAACACAGAGCAATGGTTTAACAACCAACCCCATCACTCCATCATCTCGTGGGATGATCTACGCAACAAGTTCTTCGCAAGGTATATTCCACCCTCTAAGACGACTTTAATGAGAAGTGAGATTACTATGTTCCGTCAAGAGGAAGATGAACCATTGTTTGAAGCATGTGCAATGTCTACATCTCTCCTACTCAAATGTCCACACCATTGCATCGCCGATTGGTTACAAGTGGGAAGCTTTTATAATGGTTTGACAAAAGAGTAATGGAACCTCATTGATGCTAGTGGAGGTGCCATTAGAAACAAAGGAGTCGGTGAACTTCAACGATTGATTGAAGAGACGACCCTTAATAGCTATGATTGGGGTGATGGAAGGTGAGGTAAGAGCATGAAGAAGAGAAGTTTAATGAAGGTCGAAGAACCACCATCATTAGCTGCTCATAAACAAGAACTTTCCAAGAAAATTGATCAACTTGCGTCAACAATGAAAGGCAAAGGGAAGCAACTTATGAAATGTGATTGGGGTGGCGACTCAAGTCATACTACGAAGGAGGAGTGTAAGTCTATGATTGAGGCCTCACTAAAATTTGAGTAAGCCAATTCTGTTGGAGGTCAATATATGCTAAAACAATGGTTTAATCGTGGCTCAACCATTTCATACCGCTAAATACCGCCTACCAATTTAACCTACAATAAGACATATTTTTCTAATTAAATCGCGGATACGTTATCGTTTTTCAATCCTAGTTTCAAACACGAGATTAAAAAAAAAAAAATTAGAAGTCAAACTCAAACCCCGCTACAAACAAAGCAAGGCGAAAGAATGTCCATTGGGCATTGTCTTAAGCATTGTTGTACAAGGAGAAAATAAATACAAAGAATGTCAAGCATTTATTTGTTGAGAGTATCGATTTTCCAAATTACCCCTGCGTTCTGATCATTGCCCCCAAGTGATCGAAAGCCCGATATCGTCATTTACGCTGTTGTTATTTTTCTATTGTTTTCCTCTCATTGAAGAACAGTTCTCCATCCTCATTTCTTCCCCCTCCTCTCGAAGCTCGATCTACCCAACCAAAATCTTCGGGAGAAAGGAAGCGAATAGTCTCCGGCCGTCGTTTTCGCCGTTGGCAGCCGCTCAAGCAAATCACAGTCGAGGTAACATCACACTTCACTTCCCTCAATTTCAGCTAATACGATCCGAGGCGACTAGCGTTCGGCTCTGGTTGTCGGAGTTTGCTGGATTTGTTTAATTCTGCTTATCTGAATTTCTCTCCTCCGTGATTGTTTGCTTCGGTTAAGTGTTTTTCGGTGACTGCATAGGAAGTTCGGGATCAGTGTTTTTCTTCTGTTCGATTCCGGAGAGAATCGAGAGTAATGGGGTACATACATCTGATGGTGCTTTGCCCTGGTTAATAATTGGTTAATGAGCTGATTGTACTCTCGTTTGAGTCGGAATTGCTTTCTTCTCCTTACTCTGCTACAATTAGGGATTTCAGCTGGGTTTTCTGCATAGGAATTATCGATTAATAGGCTGGTTGAAGTTTGATGTTGACATAGTTTGTTTGTTGCAATGCATTAATGTGAAATGTGAGCCAGATGAAAGAGACTAGGGAAGGTCGGGGCGATAGGACTACGAAGCCTTCGACGGCTGGCTCTTCTCCTCTCATCCTTGATATAGAGGACTTTAAGGTGTTCACTCAAGTCATTAGTTCGTTTCTTTTCTGTAGCTGGACAATTGGCCTCCTTCAGAATTGGTTAAGTTTTGACCTCTTCATCTGGAAATTGAACTGTAGGGAGATTTCTCATTTGATGCATTGTTTGGGAGCATGGTCAATGATTTACTCCCAGCATTTCAACAAGATGATGCGGATTCTGCAGAAGGACATGGCCACGTTGGTGGGACTGATGGCATGCCCAATGGGCATGTAAGAGCCCCATCTGATGCGACAAAGTTCGCACAAGTGGTATCTTCCCCTTTATTCCCTGAAGTAGATGCTCTCTTATCTCTGTTCAGGGATTCTTGCAAGGAGTTGATTGACCTCCGAAAGCAGGTGGGTAATTTGACTATGTAAATACTAGTAATCACCAGTCTCAAAAATTTCTAACCGAGTCTTTTTGGTTTGAAGATTGATGGAAAGCTGAACAATCTGAAAAAGGACGTCACTGTCCAGGACACAAAGCACAGGAAGACACTTGCTGAGGTTAGATGGTGGGATCCTATGTGAATGATATTTCTACCATTTTTATTGTGTACAGCAGAGAATGTATAACGATGTGAAATGTCAAACTTTTGTTGTTTGGAAAGGTTAAAGATTTATTCATTTACTGCAACTAAAGGTCTCATTGTTTAACCAGAATGATTATAGGAAGAATGTATGGAAATTTGGGATTGATTTTTCCTTTATGATGAATGGAGCAAGTCTGAATTAGACTGTTTTCTATGTATTTTTATCTTTCAGCTCGAAAAAGGTGTGGATGGCCTGTTCAGCAGCTTTGCTAGGTTGGATTCACGCATTTCTAGCGTTGGACAAACTGCTGCCAAAATTGGAGATCATTTGCAAGTAAGGTTTCATCTTGGCTCTCTTATTATTTACTTAAAATTCCACTTGTGTGCGTTATCACCATGCCAGTTTGCTCTTCTCAGAGTGCTGATGCCCAGAGAGAAACTGCCAGTCAGACAATAGAACTCATAAAGGTAGGTCAATCGCCATATCTGTTCATGCATATTTTTGGTTCGAAATGCATTGATGTTCCTCGTCACTTGCTGCAGTACCTGATGGAGTTCAACAGCAGCCCAGGCGACTTAATGGAACTGTCACCTTTATTTTCAGATGACAGCCGTGTTGCAGAGGCAGCATCAATTGCTCAGAAATTGAGTGAGATAATTCTCTCTTAAAAATTTTCATTTATCATTATTGGGACACCACACTTCTATCATGGATATGCCGGATTAATTACTGGTTTTTTTCTTCTATGTATTGATTAAGAGAGAGGTTTATTCGGATATGTTGTGAGGGAATGCACGTTGCATGTTGATTTTTGTACGATTTAGGTAAGTCAGACTCATAGAAAAACAAGTTAAGGGGTTTCAGTGGAACTGTCATAACAAAAATGAACATAGTAGGAATAAATGATAGAACATTCGACAGTTAAGCGAGTAGTGACTGATATTAGATATTACAGTTAATAGATTCTTCATTTCCTATTCTCTGCAATATGACATTTAATTCTTGTCCATTGGATTAAAGGGTCATTTGCTGAAGAAGATATTGGAAGGCAAGGCATTTCTGTATCATCTGTTGTGGGGAACGCCACAGCTAGCCGGGGTTTGGAAGTTGCAGTTGCTAATCTTCAGGATTACTGTAATGGTACGTGCGGTCCTGGGTCTGTTTTAATTTCATATCTGTTATCATATTATTTGGAAAGCTTTTGGTGTTTAGAAGTGTAATCTAGCTGCTGCGGAATTATAATTGCATAAGGTACCCGCTATATCTGAAGAGAAATTCACTTAGCTTTGTGATCATATAATGTTAGTAGGGTATCCTTCTGCGTCTATAACTTAGAATGAGGTGGCCATGTTTAGAATGTAAATTACTATGAGGTCATGATGGTCTCGTCATTGACTACAGAAAATAGTTCCATTTAAATCCCTGATCCTCGTTATGAACCATTTCATTTACCTTGTTCATCATCTTGGCATATCTCATATGAGCTTTGGATGAACAATGTGATATCTTTTGTCCTTCCAAATGTTAATGGTTGTGAGTTTATTATTCTGATGGTAACTTAACATGCAGAACTTGAGAATAGACTGCTGTCCCGGTTTGATGCTGCATCACAAAGAAGGGAATTGTCTACGATGGCAGAATGTGCCAAAATATTGTCTCAGGTAATCTTTTGTGACCCGAGATTGAAATTGTTTTTAATTCAAGTTTTGTGCTAATACTAGTTATGGGAGTTAATTGGGTGTACTTGTCGATCCAAATTGTTACCGTTAGAAAATGAGCTGAAACATCTAATGTAAACCTAGCTGTTGGTTTATGAATACCATGAGAACCTACTCCAGACTCCAGAGGATCCTGTAGACTTTTCTGATGCTCCTTGTTATTGGTTTCCTTCCACATTGCAGTTTAACAGAGGCACCAGTGCCATGCAACATTATGTTGCGACCCGTCCAATGTTCATCGATGTGGAAGTGATGAATGCTGACACCAGATTGGTGTTGGGCGATCAAGGTTCACAAGTTAGTCCTAGCAATGTTGCCCGCGGCCTTTCTTCCTTGTACAAAGAAATCACAGGTTTGGAAAATACTCTCATCTGAATGCTATATGGTTATGTCTTAAAAAACCTGCTACATTTTTTTGTCCCATCCTGCAGATACGGTCCGGAAAGAAGCAGCAACAATTATGGCTGTATTCCCTTCTCCTAATGAAGTCATGTCAATTTTGGTTCAGGTATTCTGGCAAATAGCTCTTCCATTTTCCTCTACGAACAGTAAGCTACTTGCTTCTGGATCATATCATGTGCATGCCTCCATTTATTTATTCTTCCTATGGTAACTCTTGTTACATGCAGAGAGTTTTGGAGCAACGAGTTACCGCTCTTCTAGACAAATTACTAGTGAAACCATCTCTTGTGAACTTACCTTCTATAAAGGATGGTGGACTTTTGCTAGTGAGTGAAATTACTCATTCACTGTTTTGCTCCTACGTTTATGACAGATTGAAGTTACAGATCCTAATTCTCATTTTGGTTTGACTTGAGGGCTCAGTATCTTAGAATGCTAGCAGTGGCATATGAAAAGACACAGGAGCTGGCTAGAGACCTGCGTGCTGTTGGATGTGGTGACTTGGATGTGGAGGGTGAGGCATTATGTTTTATGTTTCCCTGCTTTTCTGGTTTGAAGGTCGTGACCATTTTAAGAAGTCAAACCTCCATTAAGAGGCTGTAGTTAAAAATTACGAAGCAGATATCAGTCCTTTGTTTTCTGGAATCCTAATGTGCCTGAAAGCAAAATAGAATAAGGTTTACCTAGTTTACTTGCTGTTTTTCCCTTCAGTTTCTCATAGCAAGATCTCATTATTATACAGGTTTGACGGAGTCTCTGTTTTCTGCTCACAAGGATGAGTATCCTGAACATGAGAGTGCATCGCTTAAGCAACTTTATCAAGCAAAGGTTCTTATCCATTTCGTTGATCAAATGACATTGTAACTGGCTCATGGTGGCTAATTCATTATTATACACAGATGGAGGAATTGCGTGCTGAGGGCCAGGTATCTGAGGGAAGTGGGACTATTGGACGTTCAAAAGGAGCTTCGGTAGCATCGTCACACCAGCAGATATCTGTCACTGTTGTGTCAGAATTTGTTAGGTGGAATGAGGAAGCAATATCAAGATGCACATTGTTTTCGTCCCAGGTTATGTCTCTCTGCACCCGCCTTTACATAGGCCACCTATATTTTGAATGGGTAGACATCTAAGTTTAGTGTAAGTACTTTAGGTACCTCAATCAATTTGGGTAGAGAAATAGAATGTTTTCTCATGTTGGTTACATGCATTCCCACATGAGTATAGTCGTATAGGTGCTTAAAAGGTTTTCAGTTTTTGGAGATGCAATAATAGTTGCTTAACAAGAGCTCTATATTGAACTAGTTCTGTGGGTACTGCCTATTTATTAGTGGATCAAAGATCATTTTACTCAAAGACGGTGAATGAGTAAAAGGTGACAGTTTTGGGTATCATCTGTAATATTTCCCGTGTCCAGTGTTGGCTTGTCACTGATTATATGTTCAATGTGATCCGCAGCCCGCAACACTTGCTGCTAATGTAAAAGGAGTGTTCACATGCTTGCTAGATGAGGTAAGTACCATAACTCAGTTTACAAATTTTGCTGTTTCGTGTCATAGTTACTTAGGTTCCATTTTACAGGTCAGCCAATATATAACAGAAGGGCTTGAACGTGCTAGAGATGGCTTGACAGAAGCTGCAGCTTTGAGGGAAAGGTTTGTGCTGGGCACAAGTGTTAGTAGGAGGGTGGCTGCTGCAGCTGCATCCGCTGTAACTACTCTTTTGCTTTGGCTACTTTATAGTATAATAATATCAATCAAGATCTGCTTAATTTTTCTAGTTATTTAAGTTCGAAAAATTTGCCTGAACATTTATTTTCCCCTCATCATTGTATTTATTTTGCAGGCAGAAGCTGCTGCAGCTGCTGGCGAGAGCAGTTTCAGATCCTTTATGGTTGCTGTTCAACGTTGTGGCAGCAGTGTTGCCATAGTTCAGCAAGTATGCTCAATAAATATGATTGTCACTAAATGAAGTTATATACATTTTTGTTTCTTACAGTATAAATTGGTTTGATTTTCTTTTATAGTATTTCGCGAATTCTATATCCCGGCTCTTGCTACCTGTGGATGTTGCTCATGCTTCTTCATGCGAAGAAATGGCAACAGCTATGTCGAGTGCAGAGGGTGCTGCTTACAAAGGGCTTCAGCAATGTATAGAAACAGTTATGGCAGAGGTAAAAATGGCTTCTGCCTCACTTTGTTCACTATGTATAAACAGGGTTGGTTTTTTACTGTTCTTTATTCATATCAGTTCTATTTTCGGTTCTTTCTTTCATAGCTTACTCTTGCAATCTTGTTTCCAGGTTGAGCGATTGCTTTCGGCTGAACAAAAGGCAACTGATTACCGGTCACCTGATGATGGTATTATTCCTGATCATCGTCCAACAACTGCATGCACGAGGTATGTAAAATGGAACAAACTAGGAACTCCTCTTTGGCATGAAAACAACAGTATATGAAGATACTGAATTCAGTTATCTTGTCACATAATTCAAATCCTCTATTAGTTGAGTAATTAGCATCTCTAATCCCCATGAACTTGTAAGATCTCAATATGATCAAAATTCATGTCTTCAACTTTTAGTCTAGTGGCGTATCCATTGGCACAAATCTGCTTTTTTTATACGATCTTGTTTTAGAGTAACATTTATCCTTCAAGTTCTCCTGTCAAATGTCATGGGAGATTCCTGCAGGTTCTTAGTGTGTTGTTATAAAAAAAAAAAAATTCACCCTTAACCGTGCTAAAAGGTCCCAATGGTGACTGTGGAGGGTGTTCCTCGTATAAAAAAGAAAAGGAAGGTCCCAACAGGATTTGTGGCATTTCTTGATGTAGATCTGTTCTGATGATTTCATTGGTGCCTAACAATCCTGTTTTCTATATTTTGCCTCACTGTATTCTTTTCTTTTGAATCGAATTGCATCTCCAGTTTTCTTCCTCTTTCGTTTTTGTTGATGTACCTTTTCACCCAGGTCACTCGTACATTATCAGTCTCTTGTTAACTTAAGAATCTTCTCATTAATTTTTTTACGAAAAGAAGAGTCCTGCCTTTTACTGAATCAAATAGGAAATGTCTAAAAAGCTTAGTACGACTTTGATGATATACTCCTTTTCCTTGTAGAGTGGTGGCATACCTTTCACGTGTCCTTGAGTCTGCTTTCACTGCATTGGAAGGCCTTAACAAGCAAGCTTTCTTAACTGAATTGGTAAGGCACATTTCATCTTTGGAGATGTGTTTGAAAATATAATTTTTTGATTCTGCAAGTGTTAGTAAGAATAGATAGATCTTCATTGGTTCCGGGGAGGAGGAGCACGGTTATAGACATGGAGCTTGGTATTATTTCCATTTTGGGTGCAATCATATATGCTTTGGTGCCATGCCGTTGCTGCTAAATGTCTGAAATTAGAATTAGAGCCTAGATATTTCACTCCTCATATTATACTTTAAATTTGTATCTCTGAATTGTGATGTGAACTCCATGGGTGCAATCATATATGCTTTCTTGCCATGCCATTATTTCGTAATGTGAACTCCTTGGGTATGGTATTCCATAAGCAATAGCTTGGACGGTTTAATAGTGGCTTCAACTGGAGTCTCAAGATTGGTGCGTCTTGTTTGCATATTTGTGTCCTCTTGAACTTTAGGCTTCAACTTGACTTTCTGATATAAATGCCCTTGGAGGAAATGAGTAAAATGTGTATCATACCTGTAATTCGGGTTCATATAATTTCTGCCGAGGGTCTTGAGATATTCTTGTCAGTAGAGGAAAGGGAGCTGATATTAGAGATGCAGCCTTACCGTCCTCTCTTGGTCAATTTTTCTGTACCATTTGAAGAGAAAACATCTGTTGACATTGGTATTGTTTATTCTTGCAGGGGAATCGCTTACACAAAGGACTGGTTACTCATTGGCAGAAGTTCACTTTCAATCCCAGGTACTGCAGCCAGATCTTTTGAGATTAGCCATGTTTGAACTTTCACCACAAATGCACGACATTGTCAACCCAGAAAAATATTTTCCTGAGACACTTTCATGGTACCCCAAATAACATCGGTCCAAATGCTCACAACCAAATATCTCGTGGTCAAATTGTTTTTAACTATAGGTATTGTATTAATTTTATTAATTGCTTCATCAAGATGTTGTAGAAATGATATTAGACCGCATTTTGAAATTTAGCAACAGCAGGAGTCTCGTAAGGTTTTCTGGAATCTTTATTTTTTAAACTTAGGGGGTCGTGTAGGATAGGGGAGGGGTTCTGGTTGGTGCTGTCCGCTATGTTGTGTTTTCACAGCTCGTGTCAAATAATCATATATTGTCCTGAAGAATGTGGGAAGTCTGTTCTTCTGCGCTCTGGTGAGGTTGAACTAGTTGATCACAGTTCTTCAATGGGTTTTACTTGTTTTACTGTGGTCTTTTATCACGGTACTAGTTCCCACTCCAGCTTAATATATCTTTATTTTGTGGTCACCATTAAAAAAAATGTACCTGAAAAACTCACACGAAACTTCACAATCCTCGTGACCTTTCTGTTGCAAACGTTTTCCCTCCACTTTGTTCACTGAACCTGATGGCATCACCCATCTGACTGCATTTTGCAGTGGAGGCCTGCGGCTGAAACGTGATATAACAGAGTACGGAGAATTTGTCCGCAGCTTCAACGCTCCTACCGTTGACGAAAAGTTTGAATTGTTGGGCATGTGAGTTGCTTCTTTGCAATGGTGTTTCGGATTCCATTCCAAAGCTTTTATTTTGCTGCAGTTCATTGTTCTGATATTTCCTTCTCTCTTTTTATTTCTTTCCAGAATGGCCAATGTATTTATTGTGGCTCCTGAAAGTCTCTCTTCTTTGTTCGAGGGTACTCCCAGTATCCGGAAAGACGCACAAAGGTACCAGTACAGTTATATGTTCTAATTACTACTTGGCGTGGTTACTGTTTAGTCAATTATATCACATATCAAATAAGGCAGCTTTAGTGTATACATACTCACAACGCTCTCCTCTGCCTACATGAACTGGATTTCCCTACAGGTTTATCCAGCTCAGGGATGACTACAAGAGTGCAAAACTTGCATCCAAACTCAGCTCCTTGTTTGCAAGCTCTGGTTGATCAGAACCTGCAACCTGCATTCAAGCATCTGCGACTATGGGAGCTACTTTTATCTCGAGCATTTGAAGTGGGTACTGGTGGAAGATATTGCCTGAAGTCGGTCCTTGCAGAATGTGCGAACGCCAAACTTAACAGACGAAGAGCTGTTTTCGAAGCTGACTAGATTGCGGGTGTGGTCGGACTAGAGTTATGATTGCCCGTTAGAGATCATGTATTTCCTGATTTGAGGTCTGTAAATTGTTCAAACTAGTGGAGGTAATAGATTTTAATCTCTCAAAGGCTTGATTTTGTTCTAGGCAAAGAGGCTTGCAGTTTTGCTTTCACCTCTTGTTGGAGGAATGGGTTTTCCATGTATCCTTTGTAAATGACTGATATTTAGGAGCCTGAGTAGACACAAAGTTTGCGCATTACTTAAAAGTGTCCGTTTTGCTGTTTTAGAGCGGTGCTCGATACGTGTGTGTTTGAGTTGGAAGTTAGACGAATGTTAATTCTACTTATCTATATTTGTTCCTACTAGGGTTCTGGCTCTGGATATTTGTTTGATTTGTTCCTTCTCAAACCTCGTACTGGAAGCTATTTAGTATTTACTATGGCATTTTGCTCGAAAAAGGAAGTCTGACTACTGCGTGGAAACTGGTTAGGGAGTTTGGCTACCGTGCCAAAGAAAGAAACCAGCAATGGACGAGGAACGAGGATGTTGTGCCCAGAGCGATTTGCTGGGTAAATGCCACATCTAGTTAATTAGATTACTAAATCATGTCGTGTTTAGTCGGTAGAAAAAATTAATATCAATTTTGGTCACTCGAATTACTGAAACATGTCATATTTAGTCAAAATAAAAAAAATGGATGGCTAGAAAGTGATAAGAGAGAGAAAAATAAAATAGAATAAAATCAATTTTTCATAATATCAAAATTAACCCTTTCGCTAAATAAAAAAGCTATTCTAACTTTTAATTATTAGATCATTGTGTTAGATCTAAGAGTTATAAAAAGTTTAGTCAAGTGATTAACCACCCCTGTTAATTACCTAATTCGGACTCATAGAACTGTTGGTCTACATTATGCGCTAGCGCTTGAAACCGAACTATAATGAACCCAGCACAATCCTTCAATTTTCCAAATACAGAGATTTGATTCAATATTAGACTTCTAAAAACATTCCAAACACCCATAAATTCCTAACCAAATCAAATCCTCACATTACCTCACATATTTGTTGGATATGTAAAGTCCAAGGATAAGCTTCCATTTAGAACAGTCCAGCGCCCTCCCCTGCAGAAGTTGGGGAACCGAAAAGATGCCCAGCACTGACAAATTGGATTCTAATACAGTAGGGTTGAACCGGTATCGGTACAAAATCAACCGGAATGGTTTAGGTATAATCGATTTCTGAGTTCTAAAGAAAATGATTTCGTTTGGATGAAGTTAATTAGTAAAAACATAATTCTTGAATTTAAAAGTTAAATGTTGATGTTATTGTTTAATTCAATGATAAAAAAAAATTATGTTCGCGCATTTAATGTTATGCTAAATATGAGGAATTTCCCCCCAGTGAATTATGAAGATTTTTTCTTTGGGTTTGGAATGTCGTATTCATGTATTTTACTAAAATATGGATGTAAATTTTGTGGAGATTGCCCATATATACATATATATGTATGTTAAATTCATTTCGTCTTTATGATTGCTCACTTCACTGCACGTTTTACTGAAATCAACATTAACCGGTATAAACTGGTATATACTACAGGTCGCGGACTATACCCACTTACGAAGCTGACATAACTGTATTAAACCGGTTTGACAACGTTGATAATACCCCGATCAAGGGTCAAAGAAAGTCAACATAAATCGAAGGAGGGAGGAGCGCGGCGAGTTTGAGCTGCTTCCCCGTGTCTCCATTTGTTGTCCCTCTCTCGGCCTCGCTGTTTTTCCGTTTCGAAAACAAAGCCAAAAAAGTAACGCGTGGGGATGGCTACACCAGAAGACGCGGGTAGGATGGCCGACTGAGTGTTCTTTGAACGAAACTCCTACTCCCTTTGACATTTTCCAAAGGTCAACCCGCAAAAAACGCGAAAGAAAAAACCAAAAAAAAAAAAAAATAATTCTCACTCTTGTTGGAGGAAGAAAAAAAAGAGTGGGAAAGAAAAAGAAGAAGATAAGCATTGAGATGCCATATTGCCCCCACCACCACCATCTCTGTTTCTTTCTTTCTTTCTTTCTCACTCACAACACTGCTTTAGAATTTACCTTTTGTTTTTATTGTTTATTTGTACTCTTTTTATTTTATTTATGAAAAATATAATAATAATTTTATCAAGTGCTCGTCTCCCTCGTCTACGGATCTCTATGCTTAACATTACCTAAAAGCAAACCAGCCATGGGATCCTCCCAATTTAATTTATTAAGGAGCGATCATCAAAGATGACAATGCCTAATTATTTTGATCACGAAACTTGACATGATTTTTTTTTTTTGCCTCAAAGATCTTAATGAATATATAGTTCTATTTTTCACCTGAATTTGAGTGAATAAATAAATTTAGTTACATTGATTTCGGTTGACGTGGCGAATATGTGGTAGCCATATCATAAACTCACACTGAGTTATTAACGATGAAATGAGTTAATAGTTAGTGTTCATGTCAACATATTGACCGGGGTCAAATCAGTCTATTATTCACGAAAGTTAAGTCATATTTCTTCTCTCTATTGAATGTTGGAACCATATTTGCGTATTTGTGCAACTGCAAAGTTAAGGTCACGCCAAAGGTCACATAGCCTGGTGGTAAAGGGATGCGGGCTTGTGATCGAGAGGTCCCGGGTTTGATCCTCGCCTCCTCCATGGTGTTCCCGTAGGCACCCCCGCATTTGTCCAGATTCCTGGCGGAGTCCCGGGGTTTGGCCCGACTACGGCATCATCGAAGGTGGTGACCGTGAAGAGTGTTTCTCGTCATCAAAAAGAAGAAGTTAATGTCACATTGGGTATTTATGCTAAGAAAAGAAGAAGATAACAATGTTGTTTTTTCACTTATTTTTTCTCAAAACTTCTCCATGGTTAGATAAAACAAATACATTTGTTCACATTTCCCCCAAAGTCAAAGACCCTATTCACTTCGAATCACACAAAAGTATTTAAATCTATAATCTATCTCGTTAAAATAATTTCGCTTCCCTTAAAAAATCTAATTTTAAGAATACCCCATTAATATCATAATCATTTCTCCAAATTCACTCACTATGTTATTATTAAACACACTATTTTTCATATATCAACTAGATTTTCATTCCTCACAAATACAGCACTTCATATGCACTTCACTTTTCAAAATCCACACCAAATTATTTTGCCCGAACTAAAATGATTTGGTGGAAAAAAATAGTCCTTTGTTTTCCATGAATGAAATTTACAAGAACTAAAAAACAAGAACTAAAATCGTCATTTAAATAATCTAATCCCACACCACTGCTCCCTTTTTTTTTTCTTTTTTTTTTTGTAGCTATTACTTTTTTTAGGTATTTATTCTCTCCCTCTCCTTCCTTGGTTCTATATATTATTGTTTTCCCCCCACTTGACTTCTTCCTCTCTGCTCTGCTCCTCCAAAGTCCAACCCCTCACCTCCTCTCTCTCTCTCTCTCCCCTTTTTCTCTCTCATAAGCAAAAGTCAGCGCCTTGTTTTGTCTTCTCCCGAAAAACAGAGCGCTCTCCTCTGCAACCACAAAGACAGAGCACGGGTTTCCCCATACCCACCACTTCACCGGCCGCTCCTCTTGTCCCCCCGCCAATCCCTTCCATGGCCGACGATTGGGATCTCCTCGCCGTCGTCAGAGGCTGCTCCGCCGCTTCTTCCTCCGCCATCCCCACCTGCTGCAATACAACCACCACCAGCAGCAGCAGCAGCGCTTCTTCATCCTTCCAGCTCGATTTCCACTCTCAGTCGCCGTCGCCGTCGTCTTCCTTCACTCCTTACGGCCTCGAGCAAGTCTCCCGATTCTTCTGTTCATCACCATCATCAGTAGCAGCAGCCAGCCCCGTGGATTTGGCGAGAAGGGATTTAATTGGAGACAAGCTGGATGAGCTTTACAAGCCCTTTTTCCCCAGATCTCATCATTCTCTGTCTCTCCCTCCGCCGCCGCCGCCACCGACGACGAATGCTTCCGCCTCCCTGATTTCTCCTCCATTTCCTGCCGACCAAACGAACCCAGCTCCGCCGCCCTTCCTCCTCCGCAACCAACCGCCGCTCAAACGCCCGCTTCCTTCCTCTGCCTCCGCTCCTAGTTCATCCCGTTCCAAAAGAAGGTAGAACGAAGAAACAGAGACCCAAAACTTGCGCTCTTTCTAATTATAAACCGCACTTTGTAAACTAATTTTTTTTGTTTTATTTTATTCTCTTTGACAGAAAGAACCAGGTGAAGAAGGTTTGCCAGGTGCCGGCGGAGGCGCTCTCTGCCGATGTCTGGGCATGGCGGAAGTACGGTCAGAAACCCATCAAAGGCTCTCCTTACCCTAGGTACTAGAAATTCTCCGATTCGCCTGATGATGTTTAAGATTTTGAAATTTCCTTTTTTTTTTCTCTTGATTTTTTCCTAATTTGGCCTTGGATTGGATTTCTCTTCTTCAGGGGATATTACCGATGTAGCACATCCAAGGCTTGTATGGCCCGGAAACAGGTGGAGCGGAACAGATCCGACCCGGGAATGTTCATCGTCACCTACACGGCGGAGCACAGCCACCCGGCTCCCTCCCACCGCAACTCCCTCGCCGGAACCACCCGCCACAAGACATCTCCGGCCGACGAATCGGAGAAGCCCTGTTCCGACGTCAAGCCGACCAGTTCGTCTCCGACGACTCCCGCGGAGGACGACGATCAGCAGCAGCAGCTCCTCCTCCAGGGCACGGCGGCGGCGGAGAGCAAGGAAGTGGATTTGGAGATGATCGAGGACGAGGAGGACAACGATGAGTCGGGGAACTGCGGCGGGTTCTCGCCGGATGCTCCGGACGACGATTTCTTCGTGGGTTTGGAGGAGCTCACGAGTTTGGCTGCGGGTGATTGCTTTTCCGTGCCTTTCCCGACGGGGTTTGGGTTCCCTAGGCTCGCCACCGCCGGCAGTTTCTGAGACTTTGAGTGATGCGACTCGCGGCTCTGCTTTCCTGCTACTTTATTACCCTTTTTAAGAAAAAAAGAGAACAGTTAGCTTAAATGGGTTCTATTCAATTTAATCGTTGTTGTTGTTGTTGTTACTGACCATCGAAAGCTTTCTTTTTTTGTTGCTTAGATACAGAGATTTTTGTTGTTTGTTTAGAGCGACTATCAAACAAATGTGTGGTTGGTGATGGAACAAATGTTCGATTGTAGAAGAAAGGTGCGGAACAAAGCAGAAATTCCATTGCAGTAGACGATTGAGTGGCTTAGTTGAGAATTCAGACATATTCTTCGCTCGCTGTTTCTGGTTATGATCATCATATTCTTAAAAAAAAAATATATTAACGAGGAATCAAGGGTGGCTATAACACATTAGTGTGAATGGTTGCACCTTGTTCTATTGTTACTGCTATCAGGCGACGAAAATTCTCATAAACCCATCAAGCACAGATCCATCAATACTCAGTAGGGAACTTCAACTTATAATGTTGGTCTCTAGGAATTGCAAGTAAAAATTGTGGGGTGATACTGGTTTGGATGAGTTATTTAGATAGGTTACTTTGGCTCAAATACTCATAAGGTCTTTTCGGATGGGTTGTAGGATGAAATAACTCACGACATCGTTGGGATGAGTTATTTCGGTGGACTATATTTTGTCTAAATATTCATGTATTTGGATCAAAATAATTTGTTTGAGTTCACAATATTGGATCATCTTATTTCGGGTAGAGTTATTTACAAATAATGTCTACTCTCGTTTTTTTATTTGTTTCCGAGTGATATCATGAGAGAACAAGAGTTATACAAACAAAACTACTTAGGAACCGTCTACAAGCGACACCCTAGTGAAGCCACCCAATAAAGTCGAAAGACTCAACTCTAGGAGAGACAATAACGGTGCTTTAAACATCACTCTATGGGCAGCACTGTTGGCGGGTCTTGGAACAGCCTTAAACTCTATACAAACTGACAAAGAGTCTAGAATCTAACGACACTCTCGGAGCACCAGACCTCCAAAAGAACCTTCTAGGACACCATGCCGGATCTGGTTGACGACCACCTCGTAATGATCTTCCACTATCACGTGCATCAAGGATCTTGAGGTGACGAAGGTGATCGCACCTCTTACTGCTAAGAGCTCTGCCAGGCAGGGGTTGACTACTCCCTGGCGACTCGTACCGGCTACCAACATCACGTGTCCATATGATCCTCGAATAACAAGACCAGACGAGCACCTTGAGTCACTGACAGTTGCATTGAAATTATTTCAAAACAACTTCATCCTCGTTCTTTTCCTTCCCAATTTTGATCCTCTTCTTCCTTTTCTCATCCCTACTTCTTTCGAGGCAAAGCAGAAGAATAATCATTCTTTCCACTCCCTGCTCTTGTTCTAGAGTCGTCCCCTCCATCGGTGGCATCGTGGCTGCTAGTCGTAGGGTTCGAAGCCCTATGTTTTAGAACTTTTGGAGCTTAGCAGAGGCATCGTTGCTAGATTGTGCGATTTGCCGGCGGGAGATGAGTTATGCTGGTGGCATGCCTTACTCCACACACCCGCCCCATGGTTGTTATGATTAGTAGAACCGGGCTTACAAAATCAGTTGGAATGACTTCGATATGACTAGTATGATCAACTTCTGACCATTTAATAAGATGACATCATTTTGGTGAATTTGATTGATAAAATTATTATTTTTATTTGTTTCTTGAATTTAAAGTTACAGGTTAGTTTTATTTATTGAATTCAAGTATAAACTTTTGAATGTTGACGTTAAATATTGTATTTAAATTTAAAATTGATTATTTTAATTTTGTTTGAAATGTTATATTTTATTTAAATATAAAAGTAGAATTTAGAGAGATTGTCATACTTTTTACTATATGCTTAAAGTTATTTAGTGCCAATGATATGCCACTTTGCTACATGTTTTCCTAAACCCGGCTTAAAGTGACATAAAAAGGTTCAAAAAAGCGTTAGGCGTAAGGCGGGTGTTGAGCCTTTGCCTAGCGTCTAGTTCGCCTAGCCGTAGCCTAAGCGTGCCCAAGCGTTGGAAGAAAATTAGCTATTCACACTGCATGATGAATGAAATAATAATCTACAACACTTCCACACTTCAGTTAAAATGATTAATAACTTACTCAACACTTAATGACAAGAACACAGCTCACGAATTCATTAAATCATAGCTCCATAACTCATGAAGTTCCTGATCTATTGAAAATATTGGTATAGAAAATTGATTTCATAGTTGATGTGAATTTTTTCTTTTAATATTGACTTCCTAGCTCCATCTAGTAATGTTTAGGAGAGACTTATATGTCACATTACTCCATTGGCGTGTTTTTGTATCTAATTAAGAGCGAAACCCCTAGACGAGGCGTTTTGCCATTGCCTTGCACCTAGGCGTGGCTAAGCGTGAGGTTAACCTTTTTGAACCATAATAAAAGTTAAACGGTTGTATTATACGTCGAGTCATGTCACTTGTAAAACCAGTATAAGAGTGTAAACCGGTTTAACAACCTTGACCGACCCCGAGCGAGCCGGACTGTATGGTGAAAGCCTGAAAATGTTTTAAAAATTCAACTGAAGCGGCTGTGCTCTAAGACGCTCGCTTCGTCTTTCCATCTCACAGAAATGGCGTTTCTCACCAAACTCTCCCGATCATCCTCCAGAATTAACCCGGGCTTCCTTTTCTCCCGCCTCCTCAGCAATGTCCCGGAGAACGCCGTCTACGGCGGACCGCAGCATCAGAACCCTAGCCAGAGAGTTACGCTGACCAATTTGCGGCAGAAGCACAAGAAAGGCGAGCCCATCACCGTCGTCACCGCTTACGACTATCCCTCCGCGGTTCACCTAGATGCTGCCGGAATCGACGTCTGTCTGGTCGGCGACTCCGCTTCCATGGTTGTCCACGGCCACGACACCACCCTCCCTATCTCCCTCGACGAAATGCTCGTCCACTGCCGCTCCGTCGCTCGCGGTGCCAAGCGCCCGCTCCTCGTCGGAGACTTGCCCTTCGGGACCTACGAATCCAACACAACTCAGGTAATCTTTCCTTGAGACAGGAGTTTTACGAACAGAGCGGAAGAATTGTTCTTATTTTCCCCCCCCGCGAATGTCTGCAATTAGACTGGTGATTGTAGGGAAGCAATTGTTGTTTGAATTTCGAGCGCAGGCAGTTGATACGGCGGTGCGGGTTCTGAAGGAAGGAGGGATGGATGCAATTAAACTGGAAGGAGGGTCTCCGTCGAGAATTACTGCGGCGAAGGCGATTGTGGAGGCCGGAATTGCGGTTATGGGCCACGTAGGGCTCACTCCTCAGGCCATTAGCGTTCTTGGGGGATTTAGGGCTCAAGGGAGAAACATTGGCAGCGCCGTCAAGGTCTGCATATGCTTCATTTTGTTCCCCTCAATCCTTTGCTTTGTTTCTTCGTTTTCTGGTGTTCCAAGTTAGTGATTTGAATTCCTCTGGTGCAGGTTGTGGAGACGGCATTGGCCCTGCAGGAAGCAGGTTGTTTCTCTGTTGTTCTGGAGTGTGTCCCTCCTCCGGTGGCTGCAGCTGCTACTTCTGCTCTCCGAATACCTACCATTGGCATTGGGGCAGGGCCTTTCTGCAGTGGCCAGGTAAAATCTTGAGAGTCTTGCCGCTTCAAATCCATTTGTGAAACTATTCGGGTGTTGGTGTATCTTAATCTGAATTCACTGCCAGAGAAGTCATCTGCGATCTCGTGACAGTTTGGTGTTTGTTTCCATGGTTAATGCGCTTTAATTTAGATCTTGTTGTGCTTTTGTTGTGTCAATGTACTGCAACACCATGTCATTTGGCTGGAACTTGATGGATTCTCAAATGTGTGACAATGAATCCCTAATTGGAAATGGGTTGATGAGTACCTCTCTGCATTGACAGAAACAGTTGTTCCAAACCTCATTAGTAGCTTCTGTACCCAGTTGTTGTATCCTTTGTCTTAGAGCAAACGTGGGACCTCCATAGTTGTACTGTTTCTGCGTGGACCATTTTCTATTATTCATAGTGTGCCAAATTGGTGGTTAATAGTGACCCTGTGTTGTGAACCTGCGTTGCATTAGTTGTACTTTCTTAGTTTCTTTGTTCAGGGAGTGACAAAGAGTTGTGAGAAATCTCAAGGACAGCGTAGTCTAACTCTTCTGCATTCGAATGATAAAATCGTTTACAACTGACCAGACAGAAAGGTTGTATGTTAGGTAATGCATAAAGTTTGGCGCATAATATACACAGGGCATAACAGAAGGGCATTATAACTTGACTATCATCTCTCTTGTGTGAATGCTGTTCTGGTTTGCGTTCCAATTTTCATCGTTTCCTGTTCTATTGTTGATGATGCAGGTACTTGTGTACCACGACCTCTTGGGCATGATGCAGCATCCACACCATGCGAAGGTTAGTTCTACCGCTTTTCCATCTTGTTCATTCCTTTTTTGTTGTAGGGTTGTGTTCCCCCAATCAAAGAGTCGACTAACTGGTATGGATGTTTTGCAGGTCACTCCAAAGTTTTGCAAGCAGTATGCACGTGTTGGAGATGTCATCAACAAAGCACTACTGGAATACAAGGAAGAAGTGACGAGTGGTTTGTTTCCTGGTCCAGACCACAGTCCATATAAAATAAGTGAAGCTGATCTGGGTGGTTTTGTGAACGAGTTACAGAAGTTAGGGTTGGACCAGGCAGCCTCTTCAGCAGCTTCGGCGGCTGAGAAGGTTAGTAAAACTCACGACTGAACGATAGATGAGCAAGTTTAGGACTTTAGGAGAAAATGCGTTCTCTTTTGTCTGAGTCAGTCATCCAAGCCGGCAAATTGATACTGGTTTTTGTTTCGGATGTTAGAGAATAAGCTTTATTTGTAGCTTCACCTGCCTTATATGGCTGTCCTATATCATGCCCGTTTGGCCTACTAAAGGTCATTCCATGGCGACCATGTTCGTCACTCCAAATTCCACCGGGAATCTCTTGTGACAATTTTCTAGTTTCTGAAAACGGTGACGATAATAAAAATGTGAAGGAAAGGGGTTGTAGAAAAAGTCCACAGTAATTCGTTTGTGTCTGTAGAACCTGGATTGGCAACATAATTTCCTTGTTAAATGACCTTTTAACCCCATCACTGCCGTAAAAATCCCTGATTTGATAAATATAAGGACTGTAAAAATAGTATTGGAGGTTGTATTGAAAAAGTAAGTGATAGGATATTGCTAAATATTGTTTGTCGATTTAGTCTTTGGTAAAAGATTTTTTTTCCTGTTTGAACCGTCAATAAAGTAGGGTTTTTCAATACTCTATAAATACAGATCCTCACGCAAATGGTTACTGTGGCTAAAGCCCTGATAGCAACTAAGGTTGGCTTGATTTTGGTTCTGACGATTGGTGTTGACCCTAGGCTTCTAACAATTAAAGGGTAATTAACATAAATGGTGATAGAAACCGAAGAGTGGGGTGAGCGAGTAGGAGGAGATGAGTTGGGTTCGGTCGTATGGGCCGGGTTGTGTGGCAGTTTTGTTATTTTCTAAATCCCTCTTTTTCTGTTCTTTCCCAATTCTTCTCTTTTTTTGAAAATGTGGGCTTTCATTACATGAAACCAAGGTGAACAGATTTTGGGCCAATTCCCAATCCCTTTTTCTTCTATCATTTGGTATAGGAGCCAACATGAGCTCATCGAGGCTCTTTGATCTGGAGTGGATCCGTGTGAAGCAACAACTCGACGCCATCTGAGCCGACCAAGTCAGGGCAGCGCGATCGCGGCAGGGCAATGGTGGCGGAGCGCGACATGGTGAGGCGGACCGAGGCGCCTGACCGGTCGGTCGCGGCTGGGACGCAGCGGCGCGAGGCGTCGTTAGGCTCAGCGGGGGACGGCGGGCCGGCGAGGAGCGCGGCGCAGGTGGAGGAGCGCGGTGCGGCGCAGCAGATCGAGGCGGCCGCTCGGTCTGACGCGGCAGAGGCGCGGCGGCGCTAGTTGCTGAGGACGTCGCCAGGCGATGGTGGATCGCCGAGGCCGGCGGAGGAGGGAGAGCGCAGCGGACTGCCCGACGCGGTCCCGTCCATCTCTCTCAACTCGGTGACAGAGCTGCCCACCCCCGGGACACTCCATTTCCGGGAACCACCTCGTTGACTCTGGTGGACAGTGGCGCCACTCTCAATTTTATAAGCGAAGAGCTATCCTCCCTCAGGGGCCGAGTCCAGTGGGCCCAGTGGTGGCCAGTAGGGGTGGTCATTGGGTGGGTCGGGTGGATTTTGAGCATAAAATGCACCCACCCACGCTTAAACGGATTGATAATTTTTAACCCACCACCCACCCACATTTAGTCTCGGGTTGGGTCGGGCGGATGGTGGATGATTTGGGTGGGTTTGTGGGTTCACCCACATCACAATGTATATAATATAAAGGAGTCAACTTGACATGATAATAGGCGAAGAGAGTTATCTGGGGAAACAAGAAGATGAAATAGGGCGAATAATGTCGAATTAGTTCTTAAAATGGATAGAAATTCTATTATGAAAGAGTTTTCTACAGATTGAGATGATTATCAGGTGCAAGGAACTAAGAAAAATAATTCCACAAAGGAAAGAGTAGTGATCTAGGCACAAGAATTAGAGGAAAAAATAAAGGGAAGAAGAGGGGATCGCTATTTGGAAGGTTGGCTTTGAGGTTCAAACTCCAGGAGCAGTCCTAGTTTATGTCTAACGTCTCCACTCTCCCCTCTCTAGCGCCGACGACTTTGATCTTTTTGCTGTTGGGTTGAGCGGGTCACCCGCGCACCCACCCACAACCCACCCACCACCCGGCGGATGACTCCCAGCGCAACCCGTCACCCACCCATAGACCCACCCACTTAACGAAATTCGGGTCAAATGCGGGTGGGTCGGCCCAAACCCGCGGATGATCCGCCCGCATGCCCAGCCCTAGTGGCCAGGGTCGCGAATGGTGCACCCATGAGGTGCCGGGCAATCTACCGTGGGCTCTTGTTTGAGAATCAAGGGTTGCCCGTCGCCGCGGATATGTTCGTGCTGCCTATGCGTGAGTTTGACATGATTTAGGGTGTTCCATTCCATGGCTGCAGGTTTTGGGACCAGTCACCATGGATTGTCGGAGTTTGATCATGAGATTCAAATGGCGAGATAAGGAATGATGTTTGCAAGGGCTCACCACGGCCCTGGGCCCCATTTCTCTCCATGAGTGTGCTGTTGAGGGAGAGGCCGACTTGATCTTGCTGTGTTGGCCCGTGGCGACAACAGAGGGACAGGAGGTGGCTTCCGACCTCCAACGGGTGCTGGAGAGGTTCGTGGAGCTTTTCCAGATGCCGACCACCTTACCTCCCCATAGACAAGTTAATCACCGTATTCAGCTCAAGGACGGGGTGGAAGTTGTGAACGTCCGATCATTACCGTTACGGCCATTCACAGATGGAGGAGACCGAGTCGGAGGTGGAGGAGATGCTCGCGACCAGGCTGATCCGGCCAAGCACCAACCCCTTTTCTTCACCGATGCTTCTGGTTAAGAAAAAGGATGACACCTGACGATTCTACACTGATTACAGGGCGCTTAATGCGGCTACAGTGAAAGATCAGTTCCCTATCCCGACTGTGGACGATATGCTCGACGAGTTCCACGGATCGGCTTACTTCACTAAACTCGACCTAAGAGTTGGATATCATCAGATTCGGATGCAGGATGAGGACGCGCACAATACCGCTTTCCAGACTCATAATGGCCATTATGAGTACTTGGTCATGCCATTCGGCTTGTGCAATGCCCCCTCGATCTTCCAGGCAGCGATGAATGACATCTCCCGGCCCTTACTGCGACAGTATGTGCTTGTATTCTTTGATTACATTCTCGTTTATAGTCCATCATGGGAGGTACATTTGCAGCACTTGCATGCAATATTTGAGATTCTGCATCACCATCATATCTCATAGCTTCAAAGTGCGCATTCTCATTTACAGTCCTGATTGTGTAGAATGAAGTTATATTAAGGAGTGGAAAGTAAAAAAAGATTAGTTGACAAAGAGAAAGAAACTTTATTGTAGTTTACTTGTGTGCTATAGATAGGTGTTTTTATAGGAATAGTTTGTATAGTTTGTATGAAGTTTGTACAAAGGTCTGCAGGCAAATAAAGTAAATCCATTGGCATGCCTCTTCCAAATAGTGTATGCATGTCAATCAGATTGCTGGCCAGAACTGTCACGGACATTTTTTATTTTGTCATCGTCCGATCAAGAACTAGTACCAATCGAGGAGATGACTAATAAGCGATTCTTTGGGGCAGGTATTCAAGGAGTGGAAGTACGGTGAGCAAACCTAAATCTACCTTATTCGTTAGCAATCCCAAACATAGGAAAACCTAACCACAAGCCAAAATCAGAAAAATGCAAGTTTTCGATTTGGCGAGCAATCAGAAATCCCTTGAGCATTGCACTATTAAATCTCCGCTAGACAGAATACTTGTATAGCTCAGTATCAAATAAGACTTACTAATCTCTTTCATTGGCAAACGAGAACCATTCAATTTTAATCATCTCCCCCAAGTCCTCTCTGCAATTGATGTTTGGCAGCGGCCTTGGCGGCAGAGTCAATTCAACACCGGAAAACACGAAAGCCAAGAACTCACGAAGTTAAAAACTTAAATCCGCTTCTTTTTTTCTTCCTCCATTGATATTTACAATGGAGGATCAAGAGAGTCGACCAACGAAAAAAAAGTGAGCAAGCAGAGAGGTAGAATCAGAAATCTCGTGTGGAAAAGCGCCGCTCATCGCAACCAATCTCTTGTAAACAGAGATATGGATGCTGCGTCCGCAACAGAAGTTTCATCACCTACTACCCCCCTTTTGCAAAATTGCTTGCTATTCAGAAGAGAGACTGAAACCTAACCCATCCCACATAAGCACGAAGCGAAGAACTGGAACAGAAGAAGAAGAAACGTAATAAGAATTTTTGACATATTTTGCCGGTACTAACTTAGATGCCGCGGCAGAGGCGAATCTGGTGTTCGATTTATAGCATAGCGGCGGTGTTGTTTGAAGGCCGAAGCGCCTTTTGCCCTAACCCCAAACGGCCGCTCAGCAGGTCGTTTCATCGCACTGGTTGGTTTATTATTTGTTATGCTAGCCATGGATGATAAACCCGTGGTATGCTGGTCTGTATAATCGGTATCGGTCACAAAATCGGTTGGAACAGTCCGGTATTAATTGGGATGACAGATTTTTTATTTCTACAAATTGACATTATTTTGCCAAATTTAGTTTTAAAATAATATTTGATTTGTTACTCGAGTTTGAAAACTAAATCTTGTTGTTATTTTATTTGGATGTAATGTTATATTTTATTTAAATATGAATGTTAATTTTAAAGAGATTATCTTCAAATATATTATATATTTGTCTAAAATCATTTATTAGTGATGGGCCCACGTGGTTGAGCGCTGTTGGATTTAAAGTCCAAGGAGAAGAGTTAGGAGGCCCAACCAGCTTACGGATAAGGAGAGTTAGACGGCCACCAATAGACAAGACAGGAGGACCGCCTGACATAAAGCAATGATCGACTAAGATTCACCGTGGTATAAGCAGGACTTAGCATTAGCTACCGTCGTATGCGGTCGTGCACGAGGCAGAGTAGGTTTAGGGTGCCTAACATGACATTTAATGCCCTGAATCCTCATATAGCTGAGTATAAGTACCCAATGAGAGCATTGATAGTAACTCAACTACTTCCCCTCTCTCTAAATCTAACACATATTATTACTTCTCTCTCTAACTTAATCTTCGGAGAGTGTCTTGGGAAACCGGCCATGGACGTTTTTTTTTTTTTTTAACATAGTCAGAAACAGAACAAAGTCCACATAGTCAGAGTACAGAAGATAACGCCGTGCGGAAGTCGACTAATCGCCGAACTTCCGATGAAAGGGCTTGCTTTGCCACAAAATGGGCGGCCCTGTTGACGCTGCGGCTAGCATACGAGCACGAGCAGAATACGAATTCTGCCGCCAGCCGGTGCACGTCCTCCAAAAGTGCTCCCCCCAATGCATGGGCCCGATCCCCGGATAGAACTCGACGAATGACCAGCAATGCATCCCCAACAAATTTGACAGAGAGGAAACCCCGAGTTAGACACCAATTCATAGCATCCCTAAGCGCCAGGAGCTCAGCAATAAAAGGCTCATGAATTCCATCATAGAACTTACCGATGGCAAAGTCAATCGATCCCGTGGGTGCGAAACCTACGAATCCAATGCTGCAGCCTCGATCCCGCTTGATGGCCCCATCAAAGCGCACTACATGAGCAGAGGAGGGCATGCCACCATCACCAAGGGCCCTCGGTTTCAGAATTCCGGAAGCCTGTGGCATTGGTCCTCGCCTTGCTTGGCCAGCTAACCCGCTCGCCGACGCCGGAGTCACACCTGGAGAAGCAACGGCTGCGCGCCATTCATCCACTTGAAAGCGGAATTGTCGATGCAGGGCAGGCGCCATATACTGTATCCCACCATGAACAGCCCAACACCTCCCTTTCCAGATCCGCCAACACAGGAAAACCACATCCGAAATCTGCAGTTTAGAAAGGTTAGAAGAGAAGAATAATGTCTTCCAAGCATCTTCCATTTGTAAGCCTTCCAATCTATTCCGGATGTCCTCAAATCCCGCTAGCAACCACAGTGGCCGGGCGACCCTACAATGGAACAGAAAATGATTAAAAGTCTCCGCGCCGTCCGAGCAAACCGGGCACGTGTCGTCTGCAACTAATGTTTTTTGAAGGAGGATTGTTTGAAGAGCCAGGAACCGCCGAACCAGCCTCCAAAAGAAAAACTTGAGTTTCGGAGATAGAGGGTGCCTAACATGACATTTAATGCCCTGAATCCTCATATAGCTGAGTATAAGTACCCAATGAGAGTATTGATAGTAACTCAACTACTTCCCCTCTCTCTAAATCTAACACATATTATTACTTCTCTCTCTAACTTAATCTTCGGAGAGTGTCTTGGGAAACCGGCCATGGACGGTTGTTTCACAGGATTCTGGAGTGCATTCCTCCATCAAGATCAGGCGCCGTACTCGTGCTCTGCATAAACGCGTGCTTAGTACTTTCTAGGCTCAAACAATTAGTGTTAATGATTTTCATTTCTCTACATGCTTTTACTTAAACCGACATAAACTAATATGAATCGATTATTGTTGATTGTGCCATATCACTTACCAAACCGGTTAACCTTGACCCGATCTCTTTGGTTCTCACTTTTTTTTTATATATATATATATTTTACTGCGGATAGGGGAGTGGACTGCCACGTCACTCTCCTCATTGACCCGAGTGAAGCAAGAAGAGCGTGAGATTCCAAAACAACTGGGAACGGACCGAGCCAGGATGATGTTGGCAACGCACGCGCCACCTTATTTCCTGATTAAGTCCCACCGTCTCCTCTTCGCCTCGTCTTTACTCCTGTCATTCCCTATTCCGACTACTTCGCGGCCGCTCTCATTCACCACCTCCGCCGCTAGGCTTCTTCTCCGCGTCAAGCCTCGCCGATTCGCCACCATGGCTGCGGATAGTCCATCCGCTCTCGTTTCTCCGCCGGCTCATGTAGTTGGACCCTGGTACTCCGTCCCGGAACTCCGGCTTCGCGACCATCGATTCACGGTTCCCCTCGACTATTCCTCCGTCGATCGCCATGTTTCTCCGAAGCTCACCGTCTTCGCTCGCGAAGTTGTAGGCGGTACTTCGTTTACGAACTCATTTTTACCTCGTTATGTATTTCCGCTACGAGTTTGACTTCCTTTGATCCATTGTTTACTACGATTTTCCCGCCCTTGTGAATTTGGAGGATCGATTCTGTTGCCTGCCTCTTCCGTTGAAACATATATAGGAAATGGAGAATCAAGATTCATTTTCCCTGATTACGAGCCTGTTCAATTCACCGTTCTCTGCAATGATTCGCATTCATCAATTTTCAGAAAGCTCGTTGAATTGAATATGTTATCTTACAGACATTGCAAGAGAGTTCAGGGGGTGGATGTGCGGTATCCATGTATATGTTTAGGCCAATTCTTTGGATTGTGGACTGATTCAGTGTCTATGTTACAGTCGGGAAAGAAGACCAATTGCTGCCCTACCTATTGTACCTTCAAGGTGGCCCGGGCTTCGAGTGTCCACGTCCGTCTGAATCTAGTGGATGGTTACAAAAGGCTTGCGAGGAATTTCGTGTTGTTCTCATGGATCAGGCATGACTTCTTTTGCATTGTTGTGTTTTTGTTCCTTCCTTCAGCCCAGCTGCCCTGTAATGATCATTTCTACCATTCCTGGGAACGGTATTTCTTGCAGAGAGGAACAGGGTTGTCTACTCCCTTGACACCTTCATCTATGTCTCAGTTGGGTTCTGCAGAGAAGGTGGTTGAGTACTTGAAACACTTTCGTGCGGACAATATAGTGAAGGATGCTGAGTTTATCCGAGTTCGACTTGTTCCTGATGCTGGACCTTGGACAATTTTGGGTCAGGTACTTGTTGAAGGTTAATTTTTAAATGGAGGATGATTGTTTGTGCGTTGGGCATCAGATACATATAGTTGTCCTTGTTGAGTTGTACTAAGCCATCCCTACTCTACACTTGAATAGTTTAGCAGCTATTCCTCAAAAAAATTGTTTAGCAGCTTCCCTAATATTCCTTCTGTGGTCTTGGACAGTATCTTCACTCATCTTTATCTTCTTCATCTTCTTTCTGTTCCTCATGTAATCAACATTGTGTAGCTTTATCATTAATGGCTCTGCGTTCTGGATATGCAGAGTTATGGTGGTTTTTGTGCAGTGACTTATCTGAGTTTTGCACCTCGAGGACTAAAGCAAGTGCTTCTAACTGGAGGGATACCTCTTGTAGCGGATCACTGTACTGCAGATACTGTCTACAGAGCATGCAGTGAACAGGTTATTCAGCAGAATGCAAAGTACTATGAAAGGTTCCCTCATGATGTTGAAGTTGTTCGTGAAGTTGTGAAGTATTTAGCTAATGCTGAAGGAGGCGGGGTGAGGATTTCACAAACCATTTTTCTTAATACGATCTTGTGATTTCCAGACTCCATTTACCTCAGATGAGTTGTGTGGATATACCAAAATTAAGTGTATTAGGAGTTCAAATATTTAATTTGGCTAATCCTGATCATGTGCTTACTTTAATCTTCTTCATTTGAATAAACTTGAGATCGAACACTTACTCCACTTTGTAACTGTATTGACTTTATTCCTTTATGGCTATAGGTGCCTCTTCCATCAGGGGGAATCCTGACCCCAAAAGGACTGCAAACTCTTGGTCTTTCCGGTTTGGGATCTAGTTCAGGTTTTGAACGTTTGCATTATTTGTAAGTCACAATTGCAAAACATTGTGCTGAAATAGTTGCAACTTTTTGCTCCTTAGTTTGAGCCTTCTTCTCTAATTCTTCTTTCTCTGCTCTTTCTGAAGCCCAGGTTTGAGAGAGTATGGGATCCCATTATAGTTCCGGGATCAAAGAAGCAAATCAGTGACTACTTCTTGAATGGTGTAAGTACACTGCTCCTCATTTACTGAACCAAAAGTTTCACGTACATTAACTGAGAATTATGTTCTCATAGTGAATCTGGCTCACCTGCATCGTTTCATGCTTGCAGTTTGACAATTGGTTGGATTTTGGTACAAATCCACTCTATGCTCTCATGCATGAATCTATATACTGTCAGGTAAAAATGCTCAATTTCATATTAATCATTGTTGTGTTGTGTCACAAATATTCCTTTAAATTATAGAAGAGGTCTATTTTAAAGGGACCATGCTAGTGGATGAGACATGTGCTGGTTCTTTCTGAGGATGCTGAAATTGATTATTAGCCAGTTGTGGTTCCAGGCTAATTACTAATGCATTTTATCTCATAGGTGATATAAGCACCAAGGTTTGATCTTTGAAATTTCAAGTTACATATGTTTCTCTAGCAGTCTAATTTATTCTTATTTCTATTAATTCTTCTATTATCTTCAAGGGTGCCTCATCACGGTGGTCTGCTCATAGAATAAGGGGGGAGTATGACGATAAATTCAATGCAATCAGATCCATTGAAGAGGGCCGCCCTGTATTTTTCACAGGAGAGGTGAGAATATATAACATTCTTTCTTAAGAAATTTGAATTACCTGATAGTTGTTCCCATTCGAAGAGGCTAAGTCCTCACAACAAAGGTTAGGTGCTTGAGAACATAATTGCTTACAGCAGCGCTTTTGAATATTGTTTACTAGGGAAGGGGGTACCCTCTCGAATGCGAGAGAAATTTCGTTCTTCTTTCTTTTTGGTAACTCATAATTTTCACTTTATTATTTTAGTTGGGTATGATAAAGAGGTTCTGGTATCCAAATATTTTGACCATCTTCTCTGGGGTCCCTGTTGTACAGGTTTCTCATGTTGTTTACGTGACATTTCTTCTACAGATGGTGTTTCCATGGATGTTTGACGAAGTTTTTGCCTTGAAGAAATATAAAGATGTTGCTCATTTGTTGGCTGAAAAGCAGGATTGGCCTCCTTTGTACGACCCTGCTGTGCTAAGCTGCAACAAGGTCTGTCCATCTACAGTTCTACACGTTGTTCAAATTCCATCTACCTGGCTTTTGTGAGAGAATTCGTAAAGAAAAACTCTGAAAATTGCTCTTCCGCTCACGTATTTCATACGAGTCCCAGTGCCCTTTCAAAATAGTCTAAAGGCTCTCCCATGATTCTCGTTTGGTTTAATGATGGGATTGGCAGGTGCCGGTGGCAGCTGCTGTCTATTATGATGATATGTACGTCAACTTCAAGCTGGCGATGGAGACAGCCTCCAAAATCGCAGGGATTAGGCTATGGATAACGAATGAGTACATGCACTCTGGTCTTCGAGACGCAGGTGGGCAGGTGTTGGACCATCTGCTGGGGATGCTGAATGGTAAGAAGCCTTTGTTCTGATACTACAACGACATACGGTTGCAATGTCGTTTGTCCCCCTCGCAGTCGACATATGTCTATTCGTCAATAGATGGCCAGAGAGCCGTTGTAAGCTTCATGTGGGTGAATAAAAATGGCGTCCCGTTTAGTTTGTGGTAGTCAGAGACAGTTGAAGTTGGTTGGTTTTGGAATATAACAATTTTTACACTTCGTGATATGTCTTGTTAGTGAAGGTTGGAGACCGTAGACCTCCATTACCTTGCAGGTTCGGCACTCTGAGAGAGTGGTGTGAAAGAGAAGGTAATAGATGAGAATGTTAGCAGAAAGTTTCTTAAACAGGTGAACTAATTGGGAGTGGTTGCTTGAGGAGTAAGGTCTCTTCTTTCCGGAGGCGTATTGCTGACGTCTGAGGAAACACGTCAAAAGTTGGGGCAACTTTCTCTGTCGTTCCATATTTGTGGATCCTGAGCAACATGCTATTTAAAACAAGGGGAAAAGGGCACATGGGTTTTCCTTTGTATTTTGGAATTTTGCAACTTGGGATGGAACATCGTTATCTTTTCCTTTGTTGAAGTTTTACGTATGAATATGATGAGGCAGAGGCAGCGGCACCTCGGAGAAGCTTGATATCTGCGTGTTGAGATTTTGCTACAAAATCCAAACCTAAACATGGCTTGCAGAATTGGGTTTTTGTTTCATTTGACGGAAACGAAAGATACTGATCGGTACACAATGTACCAAAATATTTAACTGGTTATATTGATTCCACCACACTTTTCTTGGGGGGCATTTGATACAAATTAAAAAGAATGGTTTACACTTATCCTTTGTGTTGTACCTGCACTCCTGCAGGCCTAGGGGTAGGGCTGAAAATGAGCTCACTTCTGATAGAACCTTGTAGAAGTGGTAGAGAATTAGGGATTGAGAAGAATTGGAGAACAACAAGGGAAAGATAGGATTTAGGGATTTTGATATTCTTATTATTTAATCTGAAAATGAGTGTTCTCAATTTTTTTGTATGAGTTTTAGACAAATAACACAAAATAACAAATATGTCACTCCTATCTGGCCAATCCTGCCCCCACTGACCCCACCCGTTAGATGGGTTTCTATCATCCCCTCCCCATCAGAAACGACCTTGTCCTCAAGGTCGAAGGTCGGGAAACGCTGTCGAAGGACCGACATCTCCTCCATGTGGCATCCTCCGGCTCCATGTGCTGCCATTAAATAAGGCTCTCCTCGACTAAGCGGCCGCCTTTACTCGTCCACCTCGTATCCAACACCTGCAACGGAGACAACTCCAGGTCGCCATCGGCCGAGACCTATGGTGCAATAGTCTCGACCCGATCAGTCGTCCCTCGATATCTCTTCAAAAGAGACACGTGAAAGGTCGAGTGTATGCGAGCATCCGCGGATAACTGTAGGCGATAAGCTACCGGGTTGACCTTCTGCAGCACCGCATAAGGTCCAAAAAATCATGTTGCGAGCTTCTGGTATGCCCGCCGGAAGACTGAAGCATGTCTGTATGGGTGCAGGCGAAGCAACACCCAATCCCCACCTTGAACTCTTCCTCGCGTCTTCCCGCATTCGCCAGCTGCTTCATTTTGTTGTTCGCAGCCGCCAAGTTGGCCTTGAGCTGCCCCAAAGCCTCGTTTCATGCCCCCAGCCATCGATCCACTGCATCCACAAGACTAGCACCATTCTGGTAGCGCACCAAGGAGGGTGGTGGTCGCCCATACAGCGCCTCGAACGGGGTGGTCTGGATAGCCCGGTGATATGTAGAGTTATACCACAACTCGGCTCACGGAAGCATAGCTAGCCATTGTGGCAGCTACTGATGGGCAAAGCAGCGCATATACTGCTCCAGGTAGCGGTTGACCACCTCCGTCTAGCCGTCAGTCTGAGGGTGGTATGCCGAGCTCATCGTCAGTGTAGTCTTTGATGAAAGGTTATTAACAAAGGAATAACAAATATTTTCTCCATGGCCTCCAGGTATCGGCATAATGTTTGATCATTGATGAAAGGTTTTTTTTTTTTTTTTGCCAATAAAATCCTGCCGGATTTCAATCGTTAAGGATAGGGGAGGCTACATAATCAACACTCTCACCCATCGACTCAAAGACAAACCAAATAGGAGAAATTAAGCAACGAACACCGAAGACCAGGATAGCGTAAGGCTTGTTGCGCCACACAATGGGCAGCCCGATTCGCTTCTCGAGGTGTGAAAAGTAAAGAGACTTTTGGTAACTGGAGCAGCAACTCTTGAACCTCCCTAAGAATGGCCCCACCGCGAACATCATTAGTATCACCCGAATACAATTTGTCCACAACCGCCTTGGCATCGCCTGTTAATAGCACATCTCGATCAAACCATTGCCACCGATGGATCAAGAATAATGCCTCGCGAAATGCTAGTAACTCAATCAACCCAGGATCAGAGATGCCCGAGATGAAAGCACCACCAGCAAACAAAGGGGAACCACCGTGAAAGCCAACCAAGCCAATGGCACCGGCCGTGGGAGCCTTCGTCGCACCATCCACAGCAATTCGAAAACCTTGGTGAGTGCGAAGGACTTCTTCAAAGTGGGGGCGAGTTGGAGGAGCAAATATCCGTGGTGGGGCGAGCACATCCTCCACCGCAACATTGTTAGAAGCTTGATGATGGAGGAATTGGCGGCGGAGAACAGGGATGGTGAATTGGGCAAAGGGGGAGAAAACCACATTGTTTCGCCCCTTCCAAAGGCGCCAGCAAAGCAAAATCCAATTTGTAATATCATCAGGGTGGCCATGTAGGATAAGTAAGCGCCAAAAAAGGGCAAAATGAAAAGTGGCATCGTAGCCAGGGGGTAGAGAGAGACCCACTACGTCTCGCAATTGGATAGCCACCGGACAGCGGATAAACAGATGTTCCAAAGACTCCCCCTCATCAGATTCACAAATGGGGCAAATATTGTGAATATCCATGCCATGCTTTTCCAGATCCTCACGAACCGGTAGAATTCGTAACAAAATGCGCCAGAGGAAAAATTTCAACTTCGGCATAATAAATATTTTCTCCACGGCCTCCAAGTTTTGAGAATAATTTTGAAATTACTTTAGTGTCATATAAAATAAAAGAATTTCAAACAATTTTAAAAAGTTTAAAATATACCCATTGTAAATATTTTGTGTTCGAACAATAAATCGAGTAAGAAACTAGTATAAATAAGTAGACATATATGTAGGCGCCATTGTCATCCTGTACACTGGGTTGGTAAACTGCACAAAATAGTCTACTTGATTCTAAGACGTATGTGTCCCAATAAAGAACAGTTTTTTTTTCTTCTTTTCTTTTGATCATTGAAAATCTAAGAAGGCCCCAATTCCTGTCCGTTCCGATAATATTCCATTTAAGAACATGACTTGTTCCTATTGTTTGTCGATTGTAGAAATTTTCACCTCATGTGTCCTACCTGACCTATTTGATTTGTTTTGAGGTGGAGCTGGACAAGGTATAGGTATGGTCCTCTCCTCGACATGATCTGTTTCTCATTCTTGATTTGTAGTTGTACACTTTATATCAATGTATCCAGTATTCTTCCCGTTACATTACATACTCGTATGGGTTGACCCGCGTCCCAAAACAACATATCCATCCTGGACCCACCTTGCCACAGAAAGAGTATGGATCGGTATTGAGATACCTGATCCGATCTGCGTAAGCTACCCATTATCATTCCTAATCGACGGTACATAGAAACCTCTTGTGAATTAGTCTAGTATATCGGCACAAGTGACTTTTCAACTATATATTAAACTCCGATTTCAACACAAAATACTTGCGCGCGCGACGGATGAAATTGAGGTACATACGTACATCGACGGTAACGATAAACGTACAGAGAGGGGCACGTCTTCCCCCTGGCTTAAGGGTAACTCGGAGGGAGAGAGAGCAGTTGAGCCGAAGTAGTTGGGGTTTAGTTGCAGCCTTAATTAAGCCCACAAATTAAACCCCCTTCTTCTTCATTCCCTCCTTTTCCCTTTTGTGTCCCAAATCTGCCCCCACCTTCCTTTCACCTTCCTCCCCCCGCCACTTTTCCCTTTCCATATATAAATACTCATTTCCACACCTTCCTCTCTTCCCTCCACCGCAAAAAATGGAAGAACGGCAACGTCAAGAACCACCGCCGTCGGACACCTCACCTCTTGAACTCCACCCTCCTCCTCCCGCGCTGCTATACGCTCCAAACAACCCGTCACTGCTTCAGCTTCCTGGCTACGACGACGCCGTTGCACCGCAGCCTCTTCCGGAGATCGATTGGGTCAGCCTTCTCTCTGGCGGCGGCGGCGGCCTTCAGGGGCTGCTCGCCACCGGGGATCTCTACGATTATAGGGCTCATCAAGCGGCGGCCACGTCAGCGGGAGGTTTAATGATGGAGAGGAATGCTTCTTCTGATCCTCGTGGGTATAATAATAACAACGGAGAGAACGCGAGGAATGGTGGCGGTGATCAACATCATCGTCGAAGTGGGTCGAGGAAATCGGCGGCGAGGCCGAGGTTCGCTTTCCAGACGAGGAGCGCCGACGACATTCTCGACGACGGATACCGCTGGAGGAAGTACGGGCAGAAGGCCGTCAAAAACAGCGCCTATCCTAGGTACGTTATTAATTCCTACTAATCGCTATTTTTATTTATTTATTTTGTCTCCTTACACGTTGCATGGAAAATTATCAGTAATATATATAACAACTATTATTATTTGAGGGAAAGACCAGTTTAATTAGGTGAGCCGACTGTAGCTAGATATTGCCCAGACCAGACGTAAGCTGGGCAATTAACCGATATTAAAAAAATAAAATAAAAATGTATTGGTGAACCAAGAGGAGATAAATAGGGTTAGGGCTAGGATGCAACTAATTTTCACCTACAATCACCAAATAGCCTCCCAGCTGTTTGATTAAAAGCCATGGGCGCACCAGCGCTCACGATGATTTCTATGACGGTATGTCCAAAGTATATAGATGACTTGTGTGTTCAATTCAACCACAACAAAACTCATTCTCTCTTTTCTTTCCTGATCTAACTTTGACTCCTTCGACATGAAGCTCGAGCTTGGCTTGACGTTCTCTGTTGCGGTTTGTGTCCAGCTGAGATTGCATTTCAAGCTCTTCCTCTACGTACATACATATCCCAACCCTAGACATGTACCATTCTTTTTTTTTTTCATGAACGAGCTAGCATAGTGCATGGCGCACTTATTGGGTCTTTTCCCCATCATTGATCCTTTGATATCATGTCTAAATGTATCATTCCAATAGCTTAAACTTTTCAATCAAACTATTCATAACGGAGTCCGGTATAAGTAGGAAGTAGTTAAGTATCATATATATGGACCTCTCTTAACAACTCGAGTCATTGAGATCATCATCAATTGGTTTATGGCATGATATAAGAGGTAGTATGTCTTTGACGTCACGTGTTCAAATCATTATGACCCACAATATTAACTATTGTCTTTTAAAAAAATATGAACTGGTGGATTTGTGAAAACTGCAAGCCCATGGGTTGGCTTGCGGTTTGAGGGGGTGTGTAAGAAAATTATTAAATACCGTACATGAACCTCTCTCAACACCTCAAATTATCGAGACCAGTTGGTTTATGACAGTATATTAACTTGAACATAATAGATAGTAAGAAATTTTGTGTTTTAGTCCTCATAGTAGATACGATAAGATAAGATCATATATACAGATGAGAAAAGTAATAAGTAAGATCAATAATGCAGTAATGGCTAAGTAACTAAAAAAATGTATATAGGATGGATTCAGTGGCGGATCTATAAATTTTTCATAGAGGTGTCCTCTTCAAAAAATTAAATTAAAATAAATAATTCATAAATAAAAAATATATGACTAGTACAATGAAAAATAGACTTGGTACACTGCTCAACAAATCTGTATATCCTATTAGACAATAGTTCACAATCTGATCGTATATTCGATTTCTAACCTTGTTCTTGATGTAAATCAAAGTTGAAAAGACTCTTTCAACACTTGCTGTGTAACCATAAAATCAATTCAAATTAAGGGTAACCTATAATTAGTTCGATTGTTAGGTTCTGAAAATAGTTGGGGATAAGTAATAGCTTTTTACTATTATGTAGTGTTTAAAATAGAACAACAAATGAGTTGCAACTTAATGGAGGATAATGTTTAAAAATAGTAGTGTCCTAGATTTCAATAACACAGACTACCACTTTTTTTTAAGTATACGCATACTACTGCTGAGAGTAGGATAATCGTTCTAGAGGTGTCCCGAATCACTAATTATAATTTTTTTTATCCATACGAAACTACTATCAGGGGTTGAATAATCGTTTTCCCAAATTGAAGGGGTGTCCCGAGACACCCCTAAACCCTCATGTATCCACATGGACTTGCAATACATGAACAATTTCTGAAAAATATGATGCATATTATAATTATTTGTGATGTAGTAGTATAAGCTTGTGAGATGAAAAAGAAATTGAATAATTAACAGCTTGCGCGGGCATGCATGCATGCAGGAGTTACTACAGGTGCACGCACCACACATGCAACGTGAAGAAGCAAGTGCAGAGGCTGTCGAAGGACACCAGCATCGTGGTGACAACCTACGAGGGAATCCACAACCATCCTTGCGAGAAGCTCATGGAAACCCTAACCCCTCTCCTCAAGCAGATGCAGTTCCTCGCCGCCGCCGCTGCCGCCGGCAGGTTCTAGCTGGAGATCAGCTGGACCTCCGCTTATTTTTAATTATAATTAATGTCTCCCCTAAACCACAAAATTACAATTAACTACTTATATATACACACTTCACAATTACACTTTTAGTGGTGATGGTGTTGGTGATACATGTATAGTATATGCATATATATGTTTCTTCAACTATAAATATACACGTGTGTCTCAATCGATCTCCAACATTAATTATGAAAATCAAAGTTACAAAATTCTTCTCTGCCAGCTGCTCGATGGAGGTTCATTTTTTTCTACAAATCATTTGAACATAAATTAGTATATACAAAGAAGAATATGGTTCTCTAAAGAGTTGCGGGCGGTTATTTTTGTTCCTTTATAATCTGAATTACCGTAAGGGAATGGTTAACTACCGTACATGAGCGTGTTGTCAATTGCAAGGAACTAATCAATAAAGAACACATGAGATTTTAACGCGGTATTTTTGAAGATGAGAACTAATCCACAGAAGAAGATGTTTTGCGCTTTTCAAAGGGTTTCACTATGGCCGAATTGGTTACAGCATGTATACGAGAGACCTAGCTAACTCTTTTTATAGAGGAAAATAACACTAAAACTAATTACACATAGACAAGCTAGATAGCTAAGATAATAATAATTACAGATTAGTATTTTGATTTAATTTAATTCCTCTTTCTTGGTGTTAATTAGAATTTGGTTTCGATTTGTCGTCATCCTTTCTTTGCTTTCCCTCTTTCCGCCTGGATAGGAAAGGATATAATAATAATAATATACATTGGTCTTGCTAATTTCTCTCCCAAGGTAATACTAATATTCTGAAAATAATTCCTCTATTCTAATTATTATCGCCATTAATTAATTAAATTTTTTTTTGGGTAAGAGTTATCGCCATGAATTTGAAATGGCATTCAATAATTTGGATGAACTAATAAGGCAAGGCAACGCCCTCTTCTCATATTTAGAAGAATTGGATAGAAAATCCATAACGCACGCACCTTTAATTTCTTTCTTCCCCGCTATCTCTCACATCACGGAACTCCGCCTCCGCCTCCTCTTCCGCCGGCGGCCGATCCAATTCCCTTCCGTTCATCTCCGCGTAGAGCAAAGGTATGCCTCTACTTTTCCTCCGTCGTTTTTCTTTTTTCGCAAATCCTTTTGGTAATTCTTATTATTCCCCCAAAATCACGAAGCTTGCGAAAAAGTGACTTAATTTTGTTGCTATCTATCTGATAATGGTTTTCGATCTTGGAATCCGAATCAACGTCAAATGACGAGATGAGAATTCTAATGGAAGTCCCGATCGCATAAATTCATTCCGGCCGGTCCCGGCCGGCCAATTGCATAAATTCCACCGCTCGACGCGAACTTCCATCGGTTCATCCTTTGGGAGATTTGATCAAAGTCTCTTTCTTTCTTTTCCTCGTGTTCGATTCTGCCCCGTTCTTTGTAGTCTGGCTCCCACTTTTTAAAACCTAAAGGGAGAAAACTCCAATACAAAAAAACTGCTCTACGGAATACAAGTTTTTTTTCCACTACAAAGAGAAGCAGAGGAGATCAATTGACGACCCTCCAGCAGCAATTCTGAGATGCTTTGGTATAATTCATCCGAATTCAATTAGGTTGTAAGAATTTGAATACAATAACATTTCAAACACAAAAATTCATTTAAAAATTACGCAATGATTTATCTGAGAATTTGATTCTTTTTCCTCCCGAAAAGATAGCTTGCATTACCAAAAAATAATAGGTCACAACGATTACAACTCTCACCGGAGCCAAACACATAAATCAAACCATCCAAATCAAGACATAATACAAAGAAAGAGCTTTTTTTAGCCACCCTATGAGCTACTCTATTGTTATCCCTACATACCAAGATTATCAACCCGCGGGTTGACCGGGACCCGGTCGAGCTAGTGGATCCGGAAATATGGAAAGAATTATTATATTGTACTTATCCTGATAAATTATATCAAATCCCATCTAACATATGAGTAATATATAACATATAACATTACACCAAAGTAACTTGTCGTACTTAGATCCAATATATAGTGAAAATTCACATACACTTATATAACATTAATATTCAAATGTTCAACTAAGGATTCCAAAGATTGAGTTAGGCGAAAAGAAGAATCGAAAATAATCACATTTTGCAAACAAACAAAAAAGGACACAACTTGACTTCCAACTCGATGCCTTATAGAATGCATACGACCCGTTTTTCTCACCGAGTCACGGTCAAAATAAATCTACCCGTGGATCAACCCGCAGTTTGACAACCTTGCTACCTACAAATTGGACCTCATCCCCCAATTTCCAGCCATCAACAGACATAAATGTTTGATTCATCATTTCGTTTCAAATGGTCGATAAACCAAAGAATAAAAAAAACAGCTAGGTGTAAGCCCGTAAATCTGGGAAGATGTAAACATCCCACACGTGTGGTCACACGCGTCTGCCCCCTCTATATAAACAGCAGCAAACCAAACCATCCATTTGCTTCACATTCAATTTCACTACACGTCGCATAACAATACTCTTTTCCATTGTCCCTTCTCAGTCAAATTAAAAAGCGAATTTCTACGTAAAAACGTTTTGGTAATTTAAAAGCGTATAAAATCGTAAGTTTTTAAGTTTTAAAGCGGGATTTTTAACTACATAAGTTATAAAAACTGAAACTTTGTGTAAAAGCGTTTTAGTGACCGAGAAACGTAAAATCGTAAGTTTTTAAGTTTTAAAGCGCGATTTTGACTACATTGATTCTAACTACATAATGTTGTCGTCGGCGCAGCAGCTCCTCGTGATGGAAAAGGCGAAGAACTACATCTCCGAGAAAGTCGCCAACATGAAGAAACCCGAAGCCGCCGTGACCACCGTGGACCTGAAGAGCGTCCACCGCGACCACATCGAGTACGCCGCGAAAGTCGCCGTCGACAACCCGTACCCGACCCCGCTGCCCATCTGCGACATCACCTACGTCCTCAAGAGCGACGGCCGGGTCATCGCCCACGGCGCCATCCCGGACCCCGGTTCGATCAAGGCCAGCGGTCAGACCCTGCTGGAGGTCCCCGTGAAAGTCCCGCACTCCATCCTCGTCAGCCTGGTCAAGGACATCGGCCGCGACTGGGATATTGACTACGAGCTGGAGCTTGGGCTGGTGATCGATCTCCCCGTGTTTGGCAACTTCACCATTCCGCTGTCCAGCAAGGGCGAGGTCAAGCTCCCCACCTTGTCCGACGTCTTCTCGTCCAAAAAATGAGTGCACATGTGCATGGCGGTTTGGTTCGTGGAATAATTGTTCCTCGCTATGACGGGGTTTGCCTGCATGCGCGCGTGTGTATATTCAATATTGTCGACGGAATTAAAAAGAAGTCTACAGTGAGTGAAGCTGGTTAGTATTTTTTGTTTATTATCAAATGACCGTGAATACATATCACAAAGAATTTAAGTAGCGCAGTGGTTGGAGATGCGGTTTATTTTCAACATTGATAGAAGAGGTAAGAGGTTTCAAAGGCTTTGTCGTAAGAGGTTTCAAAGGCTTTGTCAAGCAATTCAGTTAATTTTTAGCTATTTATTATGCCTTCCCTCAACTTTTGCATGTGCCTAAGAGCATCCACATTGATATTGCATTCTCAATTGCAAAATGACATGGCATAGGTGTTTGCAATTGCAAAACCAATTGCATTGATGTGACCACCAATTGCATATTTGCAAGCTTGCAACAAATGCAATTCCATATGCAAGTCAAAAAAGCCTAAAAAAATGGGGATTTTTTACTTCATATTATTTTCTTTTCTCTTTTACTTAATTTTCTATAATTTAAACATAATATTTAATTACATTTGAAATTGCAAGTTAATTGCATTGATGTAGGTGAATGAAATGAATGCGATGTAGATTGCAAAAAATTTGAGTTGACAATAAAAACACAAATGCAATTTCTTTTGCAATTGCATTGACGGAGATGCTCTAATACTAGATAAGTAGGCCCCACATAAGATGCATCTCACCTCCAGATCGATTAGGAAACATTCCTCCTTTAAAAGTAGCATAGCATTTGCTTGTGCATCCTAACTCTCCATCTGATATGAGCTCCCTCTAGAAAGATGGAGAACAAATCTCTAAGGCAAAAGTACTTCACACATCCATTCATAAGATCTTATCGCTGCTAATTAAGTAGGAGGAGCTTCCCAAGTAGGTCCATCCATGCATAACTCATCCCATGATAGTTTGGTATATCTAAGACCGCAACCTATCTGTCGACAGATAGTCTTGTAAGAACTGCAACATCCTGCAAAGTAATAGTGCACTCACCACGAGGAAGGTGAAAAGTCTAGGTCCCTGGCCGCCGCGAGTGCTCCACTACTGTTGTGATCAAGTTTGGTCACCATGTAGCGTGACAAGCTCCTTACAATATGCAAACCAGAACACCAAATGTATGGTTCCTACTCCTCATAGTACTTGCATGATATAAACGTAACTCGAGACGTTATGGATGAACCATAGCTTATGCATCATCATGTAACTAATTAATAAATAAAGTATATTGATAAGTTAATTAAAGTATATAATTGTAAACTTCACTATAAATAATAACCTGTTATGAGCATGCAATCCATCACTAATTTAATAAGGCAAACATAGTTAATTCATTCTAACTCAAGGAGTGTTCTAAATAAATCTATTCCTAGTAACTAATCAAATTCTATACTAATTCACACTAACTCAAAGTAAAGTAACTAACTTGTAATTCATAAATTAAAGTACGTAACTCATTCGATCAACCAAATCGGCCGGATATTCACAATCTGTCCATAAAAAAATTCTCTATTTGAGCCAAATTTTAACTTTCTTGGTGGCGGCATCAATGCATATTGATCATACATCGGAGGAGCTAAAAAATCAATGCACGATAAATAATTAAAAAGTAGAATAAAAAACAATTGCCAGCTACCGGCAAGGCTAGCCAGAGTCTCGCCGTGAAAAAAAGAAATGTAGGGGGAAATGTAGGAACTCAAGGCGGGCAATAGGTTGCCGACCGCTAGTACCTTTGCCTCTACCCTCCTCCAGCTGCCATCGTCATGCTCGATGTTGTTCCATCCATCATCAAACTCTTCGCCTTCCATGGTCACCGAAAAGGAGAAGTAGGATCATATAAGGTGAGACTCGGTGGGGGGAAGGATTGTCTTTCTTTTACTCACCGGAATAAGATAGCTTTCCGGCAGAGGAAGTTGTAGTTCGATCATGATTGGTCTTTCCCTCGCTCCAATTCGTTCTTTTATCGACATTGAACACAATTGGATTTTTTTCTGCCGGGACAAATCCAATAGGGACATGGGTGCCTAACTGTACACTAGTTGAGAATTTTTTTTAAAACTACTGTGTTTATCAGTTTATGTACTTTTTTTTAAAAGACAATTTTCGGGGAAAAAAAACTCACCTCTATCACTGTGTTATAGCATGATGAAAACATATCAATTTATATTTTGTGTTCTCCAAAAATATATCAATTTGTCATAACCGGGCTGCTCAATTAGTACGATATTGTCCGCTTTGGGCCAAGCCCGCACGGTTTTACTCTTGGGTGTCCTCCCCAAAAGGCCTCGTACTAATGAGCTTGGTGGACACTTATATACAAGGGTTCATTCCCTTGTATTTTCGATGTGGTACTTGGATTGTCCCATAACAATCCTCCCCTCAAGACAAGGACCACGAACTTCGTGTCCTCACCTCAGCGATTATCTTGATCCGCCAGACACCTTGTATCGATGGGCTTCTCGATACAAGGATTTTCCCAGACGCGGAACTCTCTTTTGATCTGCTTCCCAAATGCGGAACTCTCTTTGATCCGCCAAAGCCCAAACGTGGATCTATCGCGGATCCACCAAACAGACGCGAATCGCAAATCCCGAGGTCACCGAAAGAGGGTCCACCAAACTGACGTCCACCGCCCCGAATCGAACCAGGCTCTGATACCACTTGTCATAACCGGGCTGCTCAATTAGTACGATATTGTCCGCTTTGGGCCAAGCCCGCACGGTTTTACTCTTGGGTGTCCTCCCCAAAAGGCCTCGTACTAATGAGCTTGGTGGACACTTATATACAAGGGTTCCTTCCCTTGTATTTTCGATGTGGTACTTGGATTGTCCCATAACAATCCTCCCCTCAAGACAAGGACCACGAACTTCGTGTTCGATTTAGAAGAATGACGTCGGTGAACATGAAGATCGAAAAGTTCACGGGGAAGAACAGCTTCGCTATATGGCAGATCAAGATGCAGGCTTTACTAAAACAGCAAGGGCTGTGGGGGCCGCTGTCTGCGAAACAGAAGAAGGCAGCGGTCGATGACGATGAGTGGAATACCCTGGAGGAGAAGGCCCACTCGACCATCATGCTATCGTTGTCTGATGACGTCATCATTGAAGTCGCTGCTGAGAAGACTGCCGCGGGCTTGTGGTTGAAACTAGAGAGTCTATACATGACTAAGTCTCTAACCAACAAGCTGCATCTCAAGCAACGGTTGTTCAGCTTGAGGATGCAAGAAGGTACGCCTTTGAGGGAACATCTCGAACAGGTTAACTCTATTTTGCTGGATCTGCGTAATATAGATGTTCAAGTTGATGACGAGGATGCTGCCCTAATCCTGCTGGTTTCTTTGCCGAGTTCATATGAGAATTTCGTTGATTCTTTTATTGCCGGAAAAGAAAGCGTGTCGTTGGAGGATGTCAGGTCTGCTCTTCATACGAGAGAGATCAGACATAAGGCGTCCGGATCTGGTACAGGTGGTGAGGCATCGGGTTTGGCTGTTACAGGTGGAAAGGGAAAGAAGAAATCTGGTAAAGGGAATTCGAGCAAGAATTCCAAGGGTCCCGGTCCACAGCCAGGTGATGCGTGTCACAACTGTAAGGAAGTGGGGCATTGGAAGTACAACTGTCCCAAGAGAAGAGGGCAACAGAAGAAACAAGGTTCAGTTGCCGTGGCAGAAGTGGACAACAGTTCTGAAGACGATCTCGCCTTGGCTGTAGATGAGAAGGCGCATCGTGGTGATGTGTGGTTTCTGGATACTGCAGCCTCATATCATATGTCTCCGAACAGGGATTGCTTCACAACCTACGAGCAGATAGATGGTGGTAACGTGGTCATGGCAAATGGAGCTGTCTGCAAGGTTGTTGGAATCGGGTCCATAAAGGTTCGGACACATGATGGTTCGTTCTGTACCGTGAATGATGTCAGACATGTTCCACGAATGACGAAGAACCTGATCTCCTTGAGTCTACTCGACAGCAAGGGTTTCAGTTTCAAAGGAAAAGGTGGAGTTGTGTATGTCTGCAAGGGTTCGAGGAAGGTACTGAAGGGCGTGAAGCGTGGGACCTTGTATGCATTACAAGGGTCTGTGTTGTCTGGTTCTGCTGCAGTTGCATCGTCTCAGGTTCAACAGGAAGATATGACCACTCTCTGGCACATGAGACTGGGGCATATGAGTGAACGGGGGATGCAAGTTCTATCGAAGAGGGATCTTCTTTGCGGGCACAAGGTGCAGAATTTGGAATTCTGTGAGCATTGTGTGTTTGGGAAGCTACATCGCAGCAAGTTTCCCAAGAAGGGTATCCACCGGACGAAGGGGATACTAGATTACCTCCACTCTGACTGTTGGGGTCCTTCACGAGTTGAATCCATTGGAGGCAGCAGGTATTTTCTGTCTATTATTGATGATTATTCGAGATTTACTTGGATTTTCATGATGAAGCAGAAAAGTGAAGCTTTCACGAAGTTCAAACAGTGGAAGACATTGGTGGAGAATCAGACCGGGAAGAAGATCAAGAAGTTGCGAACGGACAATGGTCTGGAGTTCTGCAGTTCTGAGTTCAACGAATTCTGCAAGGATGAAGGGATTGCCCGTCATCGGACTGTTAGAGATACACCTCAGCAGAATGGCGTTGCAGAAAGAATGAACCAGACATTGTTGGAGAGAGCACGGTGCATGCTCTCTAATGCTGGACTAGAGAGAAGATTCTGGGCAGAAGCAGTAAACATGGCGTGCTTCCTGATCAACCGTGGACCTCACACAGGTATCGAGTGTAAGACTCCTTATGAAGTGTGGTATGGTAAGCCTGCTGATTACTCTTCACTGAAAGTTTTTGGGTGTCCTGTTTATTATCATGTGGATGAGGGTAAACTGAACCCAAGGGCAAAGAAGGGTGTATTTGTGGGTTACGGAGATGGAGTTAAGGGATTTCGAGTCTGGTCACCTTCTGAGCATCGAGTTATACTTAGTAGAAATGTGATATTTGATGAGAAGTCTATGTTTAACCCCATGTTGAAGGTCACTGTTGTTGAAGGTAGTAGGAATGTTGATAAGCAGGTGGAGCTGCAAACTCTCAATGAGAGTGAGTTTGAGCACCAAGGTGGAGAAGATCAACATGATGAGGATGTCTCTGCAGAGCCAGAAACTTCAGAGTCCAGTGCACGAGCTCAACAGTCTATTACTTCCGGTAGACCAAAGAGAGCGACTGCAGGAGTACCTCCACAGAGGTATGGCTTCGAGGACATGGTGGCGTATTCATTTCAGGTTGCTGAGGAAGTGGATGCAGGAGAGCCACAGTCCTATAGAGAAGCAGTTTCGGGCGGTGAAGCTGATCAGTGGCTTGCCGCAATGGGAGATGAGATGGAATCCCATGACAGGAATCAGACTTGGGAGCTAGTCAAACGACCACAGGGAAGGAAGATTGTGACAAACAAGTGGATCTACAAGAAGAAGGAAGGAATCACTTCCAAAGAGGGCATGAAATTTAAAGCTCGGGTGGTTGCACGAGGCTTCTCGCAGAGGGAAGGAGTTGACTACAATGAGATTTTCTCACCAGTGGTCAGACATACTTCGATCAGAGTGCTACTAGCAATAGTGGCGCATTATGACTTGGAGCTTGAGCAGCTAGACGTGAAGACAGCTTTCCTACATGGAGAGTTGGAGGAAGAAATTTACATGACTCAGCCAGAAGGATTCGAGGTTCCGGGAAAAGAAGACTATGTTTGTAAGCTGAAGAAGTCCTTGTATGGACTTAAGCAATCTCCGAGGCAGTGGTACAAGAGATTTGACAGTTACATGCTTGAGCTAGGCTACAGCAGAAGTCCATATGATTGTTGTGTGTATCACAACAAGGCAGAGGATGGTTCGATGATATATCTAATTCTGTATGTGGATGATATGCTCATAGCTGCGAGGTCGAAGTCTGATATCCAGAAGTTAAAGGGGCTTCTCAGTGCTGAGTTTGAGATGAAGGATTTGGGAGCTGCTCAGAAGATCTTGGGTATGGAGATTTACAGGGACAGGTCGAAGAAGAAGCTTTTCTTGTCACAGAAGAGCTACATCCAGAAGATACTGTCGAGGTTTGGCATGTCTTCAGCAAAGCCCTTAAATACTCCTAGTGCTTCAAATGTTCATCTATCCTCAGCTTATGCACCGCAGTCAGAGGCTGAGAAGGAGTACATGTCGAGAGTCCCATATGCTAGTGCAGTAGGTAGCTTGATGTACGCTATGGTAGGCACTAGACCTGATCTTGCACATGCTGTTAGTGTTGTCAGCAGGTTTATGATACAACCTGGGAAGGAGCATTGGCAGGCTGTGAAGAGGATCTTCCGGTACCTTAAGGGTACACCTGATGTGGGGATTAGCTTCGGAAGTGATACAGAGTGCTTGGTGTCTGGGTATTCTGACTCGGACTATGCTGGAGATGTTGACACAAGGAGATCGATGACTGGTTATGTATTCACTCTTGGGAGTTCTGTAGTGAGCTGGAAGGCAACTTTGCAGTCGGCGGTGACATTGTCTACTACTGAGGCAGAGTATATGGCGTTGACAGAAGCTGCTAAGGAGGGAATATGGTTGAAGGGACTGGTTGGTGATCTTGGTCTACATCATGATCAGGCAGTGGTGTATTGCGACAGTTTGAGTGCAATATGCTTGGCCAAGGATCAAGTCCACCATGAGAGGACTAAGCACATCGATGTGAGGTATCATTTCTTGAGGACAGAGAAGAGGATTAAGGTGAAGAAGGTTGGCACCGCGGATAATCCTGCTGATATGTTCACGAAGCCGGTTCCACATGGCAAGTTCCAACACTGCTTGGACTTGCTGAATGTCCTGAGTGGGTGACTCCGCCCTACGGGGCATTGATGGCGGGAGAGAGAGAGAAGGAGCAGAGTACATCAGAGATTTCAGAGGAAGAGGATTCAAGTCAAGGTGGAGATTTGTTGATATGACTTGAATCGGACTATCAGCCGCTACGACTGTGTCTTTCGATTCTCGCTCTCGTATTCTTGCTTTGTCGATTCCGGCGATTTCCCGATCCGTAGCAGCGCGTTTATAACACAATTAAATGAAATCTTATCCCTTACAATTTAATGAGGAAATAGGTGTGTGCATTGGTGACTTGAGTGCAAGATATGCTCGCCCTTGACTGCCCCGTACAGTGGCGTAGCCAGGATTTTATGTAAGGTGGGTCCGAATTTTTTTTTATATTGCAAGAAAATTTTGAGTCATTGCAATGCCACATAATGTGTGTTCATATATGGACGAACTTTTATTCATATGATATGGATGTAAATATACCTAATAAAATAATAATTCATGATTTTGTCACTCATTAGATACCAAAGAGTGTTTTCATGTAGCTCATTGAAAATGTCATTTCAATACTTGCAGTGGAGCCTTAGTTAGCAACAACAATAAGTTACTTCTTTCAACTACCATGATTCGAAAAATAACTCCTAATTCTATATAGTTTTTGACAATAGCTAGCCTATATTCACGTCAAAGTATAAATATAATAATCTAGTTGACGTTTAAAATCTGATATATTGAATTTATTATTAGGATAAAAAGAATCTAGCGAGACAAAAGAAAGTTTTGACGATATATAATGAATAAACCTGAAATGATTGAACCACGATTAAACCACGTTTTCAACATAGAATATCATACCATTGACTTGTCCGATATAACTTTTGGTACGATTTTTAATCCTTATTATTTAAGCGTACATATTTTCTCCCGAACCAAGGTGGGTCGTATGCACTGGTTCCGCCACTGGCCCCGTAGGCACAATTTTAGATTAAATTATCCTCGTATCGCGCGAATCCCACTTGCATCCCTTGTCAGCGTTGCATCCGCACAAAATTAATCCCCAAGCACAGTAAAGCTTTGGGATCATGTCGACTTTACTTTCTTTTTTCTTTTTCTTTTTTTTCCTTCCACGTTGAGTATTCTTCATTAGTCTATGCATTTCGCTCTCTGGGATTCCTTTAAAAACGCGTTATCTTCGTTCAATGTTTCTCTTGTAAAGTAGAAAGGAAGCAGGGATCTCATTACGCGGCCAACCCACGACCCAGACGCAGATCAACGCTCACAGCTGATCAGGAGGAAGAGAGTCAATAATTAACTCACCTTCTTTCCCTTCTATATAAATCAAATCAAATATATACTCTGTATTCATAACTAGTACTACACTCACAAAGCTGCTGCTCTCAACTAATGGCGGGTCTGCTGGAGAAGGCGAAGGACTTGATGGCGTCGGCCGTCAAAACCCCTGAAGCGACCGTCACCGACGTGGATCTGAACGGCGTACGCTTCGACCACGTCGAATACCTCGCCAAGGTCGCCGTCGACAACCCGTACCCGACTCCGATCCCAATCATGGAGATCTCCTACAACCTCAAGAGCGGCGCCAGGTTTTTGATTCTCCTCCACTTCTCAAACCATCTTCCTTTCATAACCCAACAAAACAGAGCAGAAACAGAGGACTCTGGTGAAACAGAGCAAATTTTTTTTTTCATATATACGTTGTTTGGTCTCTGTTGTTGCTGCAGGGTGATTGCACATGGGACGATCCCGGACCCAGGAAGCCTGAAGGCGAACGGGAAGACGGATCTGGATGTGATAGTGAAAGTGGCGCACACCGTGCTGGTCAGCTTGGTGGTCGACATTTCCAAAGATTGGGATATCGACTATGAACTTGAGATTGGGCTTATCATTGATCTCCCCATAATTGGTAGCTTCACCATTCCTATAACTAGCAAGGGTGAAATCAAGCTCCCTACGCTCTCTGATGTCTTCTTCTCTTCCAAAGAGTCCAACGAGACCGAAGAGTGAGAGCTAGAGCTAGAGCAAGATCATGTGGTGGATCTGGGTTTGAACTAGGGTTTTCAAATGTGTTTGTACCTCTGTGTTTTTTTTGTTTGTAGCTCGTCCACTGTTTAGGTGAATAAAACTTGCAAGAGAGTATGCATATCTCGATGAAATTATTGGTTTCAGTTACATTTCTCATCTTAACTACAAAGGTCGAACAAGTACATCGTCAATAATATCTTCACAGCCTGCACCATTTCGCTCCATTATAGTATTCGACACATTTCACAATCAAAACCTCAATGATCACCAAGTTTGAGGCTAGGCGCTCAAATCTACAACATTTAAATTTGATTGATTACACATTGCAAACAACGGCGGATCCAGGGGGCGCCCCGGGCCGCGGCCCAGCCCTCCTCTGGATTTCGAGCTAGTATAGCACTTGTAATTTCCGATTTTTGGTATTCGTTTTAGTGTTTTTCACATTACGGCCCAACCCTCTTCGTCTTTTTTCAAAGGTGGCCCAGTAGTACTCTACCGTATCCTAGATCCGCCACTGATTACAAACCTTTCTGTCAACCTGCAATAGGAGCATGTGCCCAATCCAATGGAAAGACAGTATATGTATAACTGGTTGATGACGAACTACGAACAGAAAAGGAGAAAGTTTTGTGCACCAGTGACACTTGTGAGATATGAAAACAAGAACCCTGGAATCTACAGAGCAAATTCTGAGACACTGCTCCAATACTAAAAGGGTCTGGGTGGCTTCTCCAGGACAGCGGAGAAGAACACTTCTCGATCATCCTTGTCCACTTTCGGAACCACAATCCATCTCCGCTTCCTGTACCTCAGCATCTTGAACGACTCCAAGTAATCATCCAGCTCCTCTTTCAAACAGAAGAAGCTGTCGATCCACAGCAACCCTCCGGGCCTCAGAACTCTGTCCCAGTCGTACAGTATGAAGTCGAGCAGCACGAAGTCGATCCACCCGTCGAGAAACCTCGTCGTGTGGATCAAATCCAGCGTGTTGTCGAAGAACGGGAGCCGCTGGTTTATGCTGAGGTAGATCGGCAGCAGCCCCCTGAGCGCAATCATCTCGTTGAATGGCGCCCCGAGGTTGATGGTCCCCGTGGCAATGGTGACGTTGAACTCCCTCATCCGAGCTGCAAACGTCCCCGTCCCGACGCTGAAGTCCAGCCCGATCCTGACCTCCCCTGGCTTGATGCTCAGCACGTCCGAGATGAGGATATCCGCGGTCTGATTCGTCTGGGGATCGAGCTTCAGCTCCATCCATCGGGGCATCTCGTGGTGCGTCAGGTTGAAGCAATCGGCACACTTGAAGAAGCCCTTTCGAGTCCCATTCGCCGCCAGGCAGGTGAAGTTCTTGCACCTGTAGCCGCTCCACCGCACGTTTCGATGGTCGGGGAGCTTCCACAGCGATTCGGTTATGGGGAACGGCTTGATGTAGAGCTGTGGAGCTCTGGAGAAACACCTCCTCCGTGGCAAGGGGTCGCAACCGTGAACCATCAGCTTCTGGGCTAGCTTCCAATCGTCCTTGCAGATCTCTCCCACGTCGTAGTCCATGTACTCCTCCAGATCCTGCTTCATTGCGAAACAGGCGTGACCGATGCTGGTGAAAGTTCCATTGGCTCCCATGAAGTTCTGCTTCCCCAACCTGTTCGGTTTGATCCTCACGTACTTGCGAATCTCCTCGATCAGGAAGAACTCCGCCGCTGCTTCGTCGTGTTTCGGCCTCATCGCAAGAGGGTGGATTTGGGTTGTTTTTTCAACAGGGGAAGCCAGAGATTGGACGAGAAGAAGCTCCAGAATCTCGGCGAGGAAAGCATTGTACCTTGAGCTTGGAATTACTGATGCAGCAGCCCCCGTCTCCTTCATTTCATCACGGATTTTCTGGATAACCGTCTCCAGAGCTGCTCTTGAACCATCATCTGCAGCAGAAAACCTGCTCGGGGACTCGATGTTCACGACCCGGCTGCATAAGGTGTCTGAGATTGAGAGAGATGTGATGGAGTAGAACTTGGACAGGGTGGCGATGGATAACAGAATCACCAAGATGATCAGAGTAAAGATTGACTTGTGAAACCCATTCCATCGCCCCAATAGCTTGAGGCAACAATTGGGTTTTGGCATTTTGTCACTGGGAAAAGCAGAGAACTTTCGGCCGGATAGAGCACCTGAAAACTGGAAGACTGGTTGCAAGGAGATAGATGCTGAAAGATTTCCGAGATCCGAGCTCTGAAATCACCCCCTGAATTTTATAATCCGTGATTTGTCGAACTCCGAGCTTCTTCAACTTTGAGAGCACTAGCTTCCATCCTGACGCTATTCCATTCCACCGCCATTAAAATTTAAAACAAGTAAACTAATAGTGTGCAATCAAGTCAACGGCTTACTGACAACGTTACCAGCAAATAAAGGAGATACCCACCTTCTTTCTGCTTATTAATCAATCTTTTTTCTGCAGCTGATTGCTTCTTCTTGAGCGAGTTATGAGCAACCCAGTTCCCACTTGCCCGCCAAATAACGTTTCGGAAGGCTGAGATTGCATTAGAAGCAAAGTGTTCTTCTGGCAGATTTGCAGGACATTCCCCAATGGAGTATTATGCTAAGAAATTATACAATTCATGGAGTTGAGAGAAGAAGGGAGGAAAAAAAATCAAATCTTTCTTACAGTTCCAACTTCCAATTGAACGAAATCCAAAAGAGAAGGTGTTCCCTTTCGACTTTGTTTACACTTGCGAATCTGCCTACCAAAATACCCAAATCACGATCTCTCTACTCTATCAATTATCTTGGAAACTCCTACATCCACAAATGACAAATGGCCCAAAAGATTTTTACAAAATGAGTTCTCAAAAACCAAACGCCATTCGTTCACCTCCGCCTCCTCCGATCTGCGGCGTACTGCGACAGGGGCACGACCTCCGACAGCGGCGTGGAGAGCGGGGTCGGGAGAGGGGAATTCCGGCAGACGGGGCAAGATCCGTTGAGCTTGAGCCAGGCGTCGATGCACCACAAGTGGAAGAAGTGGCGGCACTCGGGCATCATCCTCAGCATCTCCAAATCCTTGTACTCGCAGAGGCAGATCGAGCAGGTGGCGTCACCGCCGTTATTCCCGCCGGCAGCCGCCTCCTTGGAGAACTGAAACTTAGGGTACGAGTTGATTACCGCCTGGTCGAGCCCAACAGCGGCGCTGTCCCCGTCCCGTCCCTGGCCCCCCTCGCCGTCGTCGTCGTCGTCCTCCGCGACGAAGATAATGCGGGGGAGAATGATCCCATCGGAAGAACGATGATGGGTCCGGGTGGCTGCCGGATTCGGGTCGGAATTAGGGTTGCGATTGCGGGAGACGCGGCAGCAGATGTAGGAGGCGAGGAGGATGGTGGAGAGGAGGACTAGGAAGCCGAGGGCAATGGCGATTGAGTAGCCGAGGCCGAGATTCGCGAGGTAATTGGAAGGGGTGGTTGGGGAATTGTGAATGATTGGTGGGGAGGGAGTGGTGGGGACGGCGGTGGCGGTGGCGGCGGCGGCGGCGGCGGAGGAGGAGGAGGACATTTGAAAGGAAGTGGGGGAGTGGAAGTTGGAGGTGGATCCATTAGGCGGAGGAGGAAGAAGGAAATGGAGAATGGAGATTTTTGGGTGGTGGTGGTGGGTGGATTCTCCAGCTGCTGCATTTAATTAGCGGAGGAGTTTTGGGAAACTGAGCGACCACCCGCATTTAATTCTCTTTTGCGGAAGTGGGAGACTCAGTGGGGAAAAGGAAAGGGATGACCGGACGGACGAAAGCATTTCACCACCAAATTAAAATTACCAAAGAATGAAAGGAAATACGCGAGTGGACGCTCCATGGGCTTCGGGCTGTTTACTGAAATCCCTTCTTGGGCCCTGGGCATCTGTTGATAAAGCCCATTACAAATGTTGAGCCTGAGCAATCGCTGGTGATGGACTGGGCTGTTCAAATGGATGATTTAAGCGGTAGGCTTTCTCAATCTGTGGCCCAGGATGAAATGTACAATGACGGGCAATGTAATTAACTAATTATATTTAGGTCTCGTTTGGTATCTGTTTCCCCTAATGACAGGGATTTCTCACAGAAAAGTGGTGGCCGTCCATTTCGGCCGATCCCTCCACTCACGATCGCCACGTGTCGGCCTTTTTGTGGTCGGTCCTTTCCATGACATCCATCCCCACCGTCCTCCCCGTTATATTCTGCAGTCATCATAAAGCAATTGCGTCGCCTGTAATTCTTTTCTCAAACTAAACGCCGTCACTCCTCGGGTCTCGGGAATCTTAACGTCGTCAGATTTCAAATTCTACCCGAGCCAACCTCCGAGCCTCAGCCTCGGACTCTTTTCTTACGGTATATTTATATCTGCACACACTGCAGCAGAGCCATTCCCCTCCCTCACTGTGTTCCCACTTCCTTTGCTTTGCTGCTCCCTTTTCAACTTGCTTCTCTGCTCAGAGCCACTAGGGTTTTGGATCCAAGGTCTCGTAGATCTAACTGCAATGGCGGAGGAGCATTCTGAGAGTCCGATTGAGTCCGTGATGGACAAGATAAGCGAGAAGATCCATTCTCACGATTCTTCGTCCTCTTCTTCCTCCGACTCCGATTCCGATTCCGAGAAGAAGAAGACAACAGAATCGCCGTCTTCGGTGAAGGAGAAGATTTTCAGGTTGTTTGGTAGGGAGAGGCCTGTTCACCACGTTCTCGGCGGCGGCAAAGGTAAGCAGCTGGACTGCCATTGCAGATTAAGTTCACTGATTGACAAGCGATTCGATTTCTTTTTGAGTTATACTTCGTTTAGAAAAAGCTTGATTTGTAGCTTTAGTTGAAATAGATCGAGGAAAATCAGTTGGATTTTCAGATCAGCTCGGTCTCCTTTGTCTGTTTGGTTTCTTCGTAGCGTAGGTATGCTGTGATGTTCATATCGTTGATCTGATAGGAAATGAGAAAGAAACATAGAAACAGTGCTCGAGCTTTATAATTGACGCATTTGAAGATCTGAGTAACATCGATGTACATGCTCTCAAATTACAAGATTATTGGTCTGAATTTTTCGCTGCGCCGTGATTTGTGCAGCTGCTGATGTGATGTTGTGGAGAAACAAGAAGTCTACTGGCATCATTCTTGGTGGTGCTACCCTAATCTGGGTTCTGTTTGAATTGGTTGAATATCACTTGCTGACCTTGGTCTGCCACACCTTGATACTCTCACTTGCTCTGTTGTTCTTGTGGTCTAATGCCCATACATTCATCCACAAGTAAGATCTTGTGATTCTAACCAATAGTTGATCTTATTGCATTCGGTTTCTTGGATTGTTTTACCGAAGACTTCAATTGTATGTCCGGGATCTTGCTCACGGTTGCTTTTACTGATGTTTCTGCAGGAGTCCGCCAAAGATACCGGAGGTCCATCTTCCAGAGGAACCAGTGCTGCAGGCTGCTGCAGGGCTGGCAGTTGAGATCAACCAAGTTCTTGCCCTGTTGCGGAACATCGCTTTAGGAAAGGATTTGAAGAAGTTTCTAATGGTATGGATTCCGGTGTTGAATTTGCTGATTACTGATTATGAACATTTGTAGATGCGCAAACTTGAATTCTGCCACGTCTCTTTTGATATAAACTGCTAGTCATTTATGTCTTAATTCCTTGCAATCCTTCCACTGAGATTGTCTGTCTAAGCTTGTCATTTGGCAAATGCATTCTGAATCAGGTCATTGCTGGCTTGTGGCTCATGTCGATTCTGGGAAGTGGCTGCAATTTCTTGACCTTGTTTTACACAGGTGAGGACAATGAAAGCTCATTTCACTTGTGTTATATTATGTTGGATTCAAAGATATACTCAGATGTTATTTATAGTTGAGCAAATACTAATACGATTCAAATTCCCGCTCTGATTTTGGTCACAGCTTTTGTTCTACTGCACACTGTTCCTCTGATCTACGAGAAGTACGAGCACAAAATCGACCCACTAGCAGAGAAGGCGACGATCGAGATTAAAAAGCAGTATGCTGTTTTCGATGCAAAGGTGCTGAGTAAGATCCCAACAACTGCTGCGGCACTGAAAGCAAAGAAGTTTTAGAAGCCCCGTGTCCGATGATCGTGGATGTTTTTTGAGTTTTTTTCACTTTGAATCTCCATATTATCCTAGTTAGTGCTGCTCCTTTGTTGATTCCCCAGTAGACCGTTTTCTAAGCTTTTGGGGGTAAACGAACTTGGCAATTACTCTATCAAGTGAAAATCGTTAGGATTGTAACTTGTGAACAATGAGATGAGCGATTTACCAAGTCTAGCATCTTTCACAATTGGTCAATGCTGTCCGCCGTTTTGCTTGATTTTGGGAAGCTCGAGACCACTTACCAATTTGTTGTAACTTGTTTCATGGTAGTTGGATTGTCAAGGAGGTGACTCTCTAACTTTACAAAATCAAACGTCCCATTGGCTGAAGAGAAACTCGTGCTCGTCTCTTAATACGCTGAGATTGAGCTAAGTCTTGCCTAGCTCTCGAGCTAGTTTGACTCCTTGGTGAGTTCAACTCATGAGTAGATAGCTAATGAGCTAACTCGATCATGGGAAAACAATTTTATCTATATCTTATGAGTAGGTTGATTGATGATCATAGATTTGTTGAGATTTCAAGGCAATAAAATCAGCAGCGTTAATGATTATTCACAAGGTTGGTACCATTGCAAAGAGCTCGTCTCCAAGAGTATCGTGGAGTTGGCAGAATAAGTTTGGTGTCATTACGAGGGAGATTCGAGGCTAGTGAGTTTTTAAGTGAAGCTTCTGAGTTTAAAAGTTCATGTATTGTTCCTGACTATTCGTAAAGTAACGAATCTCTTTTTAATTTTCCATGGGAAAATAATTACTAATGAGTCTCTGTGACTCTCCAATTTGTTCATGTTCGACCATTGACTTGCAGTCTTCTCATTTGACGTCTATACGAAAAACCGTCTTCGCCTAAGAAACTGTGAGAACTAGAGATATCTTTAAAGATCAAATCTAAAATAAAAATAATTCGAGCAGAATTCATTGGAAATTGAGGTATGTGGGTCCGTCACTAAATAGGAAATTATTGGCTGCTGAAATATAATTGTTGACTATATGTTACTTGGTGATAAGTATTATGAGTTCATAATGATTAATATGGATATAATGGGAAAAAATGGTTAAAATATACGTTTACGTTTAAGGTTGATAAATTGAGATTTTGGCATGTTGACATATGTTTTGCTAAGTTCTTGGATTTATGGAAAAGTATGTCTTTCATGAAACAAAAGATATTGTAATAATTATCCATATATTTTTTTAAATGTGATATTTGGCTTTGAAAATATTAAAAAATGGTAAAATGGAATTTGTTATATGCTAAAGAAAATGGGTTTTATGAGTATGACTGTCATTGTATGAATTTGGTTAATGAGGTCATAAGAATGATTGGTCGTTAGTTGGATGCTTGATGACTTGTTATTGATGTTGATGATTGAAAATGGATCTTTGCTGAAAATTGATGATACGGTAATTCTGTGCAATTACATAGAATTGGAGAAATGAAATATTGTGATTCTCATGAGATGTAAAAATGTTAATTGGATTTGAGAAGAATGATTGGAGAAATGATCTTCATGATTAAATATTAAGTTGAGGATGATGGTGAGATGATTGACATGAGATATGTGTGGGATGGAAATTGATTTATAGATCGATTGCGATAAGGATGAAAGAGAGAATTTGATAGTGTTGTAATGTGATCGTGTAAATCATTTACACGTAGAAGAACATGTACTTATCCCCCAACCTTTTTGTGAATAGATTTAGCGAGATTCTTCTTGGATTATGATTGTGATATCACAAATTGGCCACAAATGACGAAGATGATGCTCTAGGGGAATGGGCGTATGGTGACCTTGGTGCCTAATGACAATAATAACTGAAGTGTGTGCATTTCATCCATATGCATTCTGTTGTTTCTATTCGTGTGATGACGTGTTTTGGATGAAACTATGATGAAGTGAGATTGATATGTTATATGCGATAGTTGATATGACAATAGATGTTTGTTATGAGATTAACTTTTGGATAAAGGAGTTTGGATATTAAGTTGACGATGTGAACATGATGATTTGATTGATGTTAATGACATGAATCGGTAAAATGAATCAATGATATTTACCTGAATTAATGATTAAATGGGTGATTAATAATGTCTTGGTTTGATTCTTTATTGATGTATGAGTGAAGAAAACCCGATGTCTTTATCATGATATTTTCTAAGAATAAACAAGAAATTGGATGTTTAACTGACGATCTATTTGATGAATGGATCAACATGGATGATATGAAATGACTGAATGAAAAACTGAGGGATATCCAAGTATATGACAAAATTGCTGGAAATGATGTTTTGTAAAATCTACTTAAGATCTTAATGAATGATAAATGTTGGTGGATCTATAATTTTATCTAGGATGAATTGATTTGAGTAATTGATTACGTGAACAAACTTTTTTCACTCTCTTTTTTCCTCCAACCTGTACATATGTTCGCTTTTAGAAGTCAGATTCCTCGTCTTCAAATTTGCAAACGCATACAAAGTGAAACAACTCGCCAAGCATACAACCTTTCTAAGAGAAAGCGTGCCGATGATATTCAAAAAACAACAAATAATGCAGTGTGACGAAATGACAACTGAATCCTATTCATAGCAAAAATGAAAGAATCGAAGGGATTACATTACTTTCTCACCCTATCCACCACAATAATAAAATTTACAACACTTTGATTACTTACATGAGGGTAGACGTCTATTTTATTATCAATGTTTCTGGGCAAATCTAGGAAGGCGAGGGTTGCTATCAAAGGATGTCAAGGGAACTGTAGAAAACTCGGAATCCGAAGACTGTTCGTAGCGTCCTAAACTGCCTTGAGACGGCAGAGGACTGGAGTTCGAGGAGAAATTCGGTCTGCCAAAGCCCGACACTTGATCGCCTGTAGTGCTCGTTCTATGATCAGAAGAAGATGGGCTAGACCCTGGAAGAACCGTCGGGCTACCCTCTCCTGCATCTGCAGCAGACTCCCTCCTCTCCCGCTCCTCGGTCTCCTTGAGAAGAAAGTCGACCCATAGATCTGCAAAGGACTGGAGAGCAGGCAAAAAGTAACATTCAGATACTGTAAAACAACAAAGAGACCGGATATGAACACTGAAAGTTCTCTAAATACATGGTTTTCAGGGGCCGCCTTGGCTTGTGCATCAGCCGATCCTCCGCCGAGAATTCCACCAACTAGGCGACCAGGTAGTCCGAGAACACCACGAACAACCCCTTTGCCACCTTGCTGGGCCACACCAATTCTTTGCCTGTCTTCGTCAGAAAACCCTAGCATGCGGACCATAAGATCCAGGACCTGGAGGGATATCACAAAGATATAATATTTCAGAGAGGATGCGAGAGGAATTCAGTGTTTTCATGTGTAAACGTATGGCGAAGATGAAAAGAGAAATACCTCTTTGCTGTGGTTCCTCTGGAAGTAAGTCACCAGCAATTTGATTACGATTCGCCTGCAAAAAGAGGGGGGAAAGCTATTCCTGTTATGTATGGAATCCAATAATGCATCGCCATATACACACATCCGTCTTTCTTGACTAGAATGCAAATTAACAATACTGAGTAGGTATCCGTTTGCCAAACCTGTCAACTAGAAAATCTGAATCCATGGACATTCTGCTAAGTCTGGTCATGCTCTGTTCAACTGCGCGACGTAGTTTTGCATTATCCTCCTCAAGCTTATTTACCCTGTTTCTTCCCTCCTCTAGCTTCTTTTCAGTGCTTGAAAGTCTAACTATAATGTCTTCCTTCTCCTTCTTTAAAGCCTCAGATCCTTGTTCGGCATCCTAAGGGGGGGAAAGGACAGCAAAATTAGTACTGCGTTAACTTATACATGGCATGGCGACTTGAATCTTAATACAATCAGAAAACCATGTTTTTTTACTTCCTAGAAGAGTCATTCTTAGAGTTGGAAAAATTATCAAGAGTTCTGAAGTCTAGATATGGATAGTCGAGAAAAGAAGAGGATGTAGACATACTTTTAGAACGGCTGAAAGCTTTGCTAATTCTTCTCTTGTTAGAGCCAATTGTCGCTCAAAATGTTCCTGAACCAACAACCCAGAGGATGATAAACAAAAATGAGAGACTGCATAACATCCAACAGAAATTATGACTTGAAAACAGATATAATAATTCACCTTGGCTTCAGTTTCAGCAAAGTACTGTCCAAGGGCAGTTTGTAGATTTAGAAGTTCCACATTCTTAGATTCTATTATGCTCGTGTATTCTGCCAATTTTCTGTTCAAATCCTCAATGATTTCCCTGGACTTCAACACTTCATTGTTGTTTCTTGTCTTGATATCATCCTGATTTGCAATTGTTTGTTTGAGAGCTTTCTCCAGATGCGATATCTGAGCCTTCTGATACTCATTATTCTGACGAAGCTCATCTATAATTTGACTGTCTTGATCCATTTTCTCAGATTCTTCCGACTCCTAAGTTCACAAAACAACAAAGTTAATCTTCAAAAGATATCAACCACACTATAACGAGCAATGTACCATGTGAAACTGAAAAAGACAAGCAAACCTATTACTAACTGTATAGAAGAATCATTTAGATAAAAAGACTAACACAACTAACAGGCTGAATCATTGCCATTGCAAAAGACCTTTTCTAGTAAATGTTGCTTAAGACGATTCAACTCTTGTAAGGCTCTTTCCTTGTCACTGTGTGCCTCCCTGAGATTACTCTCCAGCTTCAGCAGTGAGGCTTCGAGTTCCTTCTTCCCAGGGAAACTACCAGATAAATTTACTTTCTGGTAAAAGCAAAGAGGGTATAATCAGTGAAACAGCAATGATTAATGACAGTGAATCACATTTAGACGGAAAAATTACCCCATCTGATGCAATCCTCTCCTCTGAAGAAGTCATGCTCTTTTCCAAAGCAGCTTCGACTTCCTCCTTCGCTGCCTACATGATCAACATATAAACAATTACAACAGCCAGATAACATACAGTACATCTCTTGAATGAATTAGATTGCAAAGAAAAGTAAAGAAACAAATAATAACTTGAGAAGTTACCAGCAGGCGAACCTTTAGGGCGATGTTTTCTCTTTTTAGATCTTCAACAGTTCTCCTTAAACTCTCTGCTTCTTCATCTGCATTTTCATCTCCCCGTCGAGTTAACTCCATCTGCAGTCGATTTATCTCGGATAACTTTCCATTTAAGTCAGTTTGCAGTCTGTTCAACTCCATGGTGGCCTGCAGTTGTTTACAAACTACTTGAGTATACTTTGAAACTCCAGTGACAAATAAGATACAAGACTGAATGGGTCAGCTAGAAGGTTTACATCTTAGCAAACTAAAAAAGAAAACTGACGTTATAGGATAAGTAGAATATCTGAAAATCTAACAGCAGGAAGTACTATTTAGAATAATCAAAAGAAATATACACCAACATTCTTTGCAACCATGCAACAAGAGAAAAATGTAACTTAAAAAAATCCTAGTTATTCAGAAAATTTCACAGTAACAATATGTTATTGTAACTTTAATAGATTAGCATTAACAATATGTCACTGATGTTTAATCTTTTACTATTAGCAATGTACTCAATTAAACAAGAAACAGTGGATAAGCATGAAAAACTAACCTACTATTTCAAACAAATGAATTTCACGATATCTTTAGGAATTCCTTTCAAAATAAAAAAATTTGTGAGTTTGAAACATTGAGGATTTCATTTCG